CAATTGACAACTACGGTGTAGGAAGGTCATGGAATCTGCATGTCAAAACGTGCCAAATGAAGCTGAATAATTGGATCTCACGAGAATGACGCGAGAATGGCGCCTCAGGCAACAAGGCATACAATAAGGCATAATTTCATTCCTCAGGCATCAATTCAGCATGTGATGTGCTAACCGTATTGGGGATAGTGTATTGACTCTCGTCCCTCCCGTTTGTTATTATGGTCGTTGCCATAGAGCTCACTCTTTTCTCTCTTGCTCCCATTGAGACGGTCTCGCACATCTGACATTCTCCTTTCAGACCAACCTACCCCATATAACCTGCTGTCTTCCGCTGCAAACCCCTTGTTCCCACCTGCCCTCGCTCGTGTTGATACCCCACGTTCTCCTGCAAAATGGCGGAGGGTCTTGGAGCTTTGTTGGAGGCGAGCTTGGATCCCCGGCGCAACAAGGAGGGTGAGTGATCAAGACTTCTTCCATCGCAGAGAATTGTGCTAACCTCTTACTCTGGGTGTCCAGCCGAGCTTGCCCTTCGTCAAGAAGAACAGAAACCCGGTTTTTCACTGCAGCTCCTCCAGATCACCGCCACCGAATCCTATCCCTACAACATCCGGCTGGCCAGCGCCCTTTTCTTCAAGAACTTTATCAAGCGCAACTGGACCGACGAGGATGGGAACTACAAGCTGCCGCTCGACGAGGTGGCGACCATCAAGCGGGAGCTGATCAGCTTGATGATCTCGGTCCCTTCTGGCATCCAGAGCCAGTTGGGTGAAGCCGTCAGCGCGATTGCGGACAGTGACTTCTGGGAGCGATGGGATACCCTGGTGGATGTGAGTCTTTTTGGGTACACCCGGATGGTCAAGGCTAACATGTGTTTTACTTAGGATCTCGTGTCGAAAATGTCGCCCGACAACCCTGCCGTCAACATTGGCGTGCTTCAGGTCGCACACTCTATTTTCAAGCGATGGAGGCCCTTGTTCCAATCCAACGAGCTGTACACGGAGATTAACCACGTCCTCAACAAGTTCGGGAATCCGTTCCTGGCCCTCTTCGAGGTACGGGCCCTCAGCTTTTACTTGTGTGGGTTGTTGCATGCTAACAATGCTGCAGGGATTGGATACCTATCTTGAACAAAACAAAACCAATAAGGAAAACCTCACCCTGGGCTTCACTCAGCTCAACTTGATGGTCAAGCTGTTTTATGATCTCTCCTGCCACGACCTCCCGCCCATGTTTGAAGACCATCTTTCGGCAATCTCGTCGATTCTGCTCAAGTATCTGACGTACGACAACCAACTACTACACACGGACGATGAAGAAGCTGGCCCTCTGGAGTACGTTCGCGCCGGCATTTTCGAGGCTCTGACCTTGTACGTGCAGAAGTTCATGGATGCGTTCCAGCCGCACGTTGGGCAGTTCATCGACAGCTCCTGGAATTTTTTGACCACCATCGGCCCGGACACCAAATACGACATTCTTGTCAGCCGAGCATTGCACTTCCTGAGTTCGGTGGCCAGCATGCCCGAACATGCCACTGCCTTCCAGGCAGAGGGGACGTTGGGTCAGATCGTGGAGAAGGTCATCCTGCCAAATGTGAGCCTGCGGGAAGCGGACGAGGAGTTGTTCGAGGACGAGCCCATTGAATTCATTCGGCGAGACTTGGAAGGCTCTGACAGTGAGACCAGACGCCGGGCCGCTACAGATTTCCTCCGACGACTGGCAGAGAAGTTTGAGCAGTCCGTGACCAAGGTCGTTCTTCAGTACACGGAGCACTATCTGGGTGAATATGCCAAAGACCCGGCGTCCAACTGGAAGTCCAAGGATACGGCAACCTACCTTTACTCTGCCATCGCGGCCAAGGGTGTTGCAACCTCCACCCACGGTGTTACCGCCACCAACACTCTGGTCAGCATCACGGACTTCTTCCAGCAGCACCTTGCTGCAGACCTAATCGCAGAGGACGGTGTGCACCCAATCCTCAAGGTCGATGCGATCAAATACCTGTACACTTTCCGCAGCATCATCACAAAGGAGCAGTGGCAACAGGTTTTGCCTGTGCTGGTGAAACATCTGGCTTCATCCAACTACGTGGTCTACACTTATGCCGCAATTGCAGTGGAGCGGGCCCTCTTTTTAAGTGATGCCCAAGGACAACCCATTATCTCGCCCTCTGAAATCACCCCGCTCGCAAAGGATCTCCTCGAGCATATCTTCCAGCTAATCCAGAAGGACCCGGCACCTCCGAAAGTGCAGGAGAATGAGTTCCTCATGCGATGTGTCATGAGAGTGTTGATTGTCATCAAGGAGGGCGTGGTGCCGTTTACGGATACGGTGCTGCAACGATTCATCACCATCACTGAGATTATCAGCACAAATCCGAGCAACCCGAGGTTCTACTACTTCCATTTCGAAGCCATGGGTGCTTTCATTCGGTTCGCGGCCCCGGCTAACCCGGACAAGCTTGAGCAGGCGCTGTACCAGCCTTTTGCCAAGATTCTCCAGGGAGACGTGCAAGAGTTCATGCCGTACATTTTCCAGCTATTTGCCGCCCTCCTCGAGGCTAACCCGTCAGCGACTCTGCCAACCTACTACCAGGAACTGATTGGTCCGATTCTGATGCCTGTGATGTGGGATTCTAAAGGAAACATTCCCGCCCTCGTGCGGCTTCTGTCCTCTATCATTCCTCGTGGATCGCAGTACATCCTCGAGCACAACCAGATCGAGCCTATCCTGGGCATCTTCCAGAAACTGGTTTCGACCAAGGCCAACGAAGCCTACGGATTTGATCTGTTGGAAAGCGTTGTTGCAAACTTCCCATCGTATGTTTCTGCCAATGCCATCGGATTAGAAAATGCATTGCTAACCTTGATTTTAGGACTGCGTTGGAGCCATACTTTGTCTCAATCATGCAGATCATTCTCACTCGCTTGCAAAATTCCAAGACCGAGACTCTAACGCTTCGCTTCGTTCGCTTCTACCACTTCATCTCCGCCCATGACGACAAGGGTTACAGCGCCGATTTTGTCATCCAAGTCACGGACAAGGTGCAGGGAGAGTAAGTTTATTTCCCGTCTGTTGCATCGGGCATATACTCACATACTTCAGCCTCTTTACTCCTATCTACCTCACCATCATCCTTCCCGACACCCAGAAACTAGCCCGGCCCCTGGATCGCAAGACCGCAGTGCTGTCCTTCACCAAGACCCTAGCCAACTCTGAGGCCTTCGCGACTCGATACGCAAAGGGCTGGGGCTTCACATGCACGGCGCTGCTCAAGCTCCTCGAGCTCCCTCCGCTACCAGCCAGCAAGGACGACCTCATTGCCGAAGCAGACATTGAAGACATGTCGTTCGGCGTCGGATTCACTCCTCTAAACACTGTGCGCGCCGTGCCGAAGGACCCGTGGCCCGAAACGGGTGCTGATCTTAAGGCCTGGGTGGGCGCATACCTGAAGGAAGCGGATAAGAAGCAGAATGGCCGCGTGGCGCAGTTTGCCCAGGAGCGTCTGGATGATGAGTCCAAGACTATGCTGAGCAGCTACATTGCTTAAGTATGCGGGAAGTGAGGGGGGATGATCTTAAGAGAGATGCTGTTGGCCAGAAAAAAGACTTGATTTTGAATACTGGTTAAATATGAGGATCTGTGAAATTGACGCCCAGAATGGCCGCTTCCGAGGTCAGGAGCAGCTGCCTTTCCACCCGTAACCTGTACCTGAGCTCACTAACTATTTGCACTCGACCCCTTGGTCATATTTATGTACCAATGTTGATTATGCGACAGCCTATGGGGCGTCAATTAAAACAAAAGGCAAACCAACCGCGTACGGAATATTCACAAGTCCTCGTTTTACAACAATCGATGAGGTTCCGAAATCAATGGATTATGGTAAACATATAGACACCCAAACCCCCAACCCGATGATATAGTTACAGTGGGTAAGGAGCATGCTACGATTCCGGGGTCAGCCTCTTTTCTTCCCCAATGCCCTCCCCTCCCTCTTGACCAGACATCCCATCCTCACCCTCATCCGTATTCTTCTCCGACAAATCCCGATACTTCCTCTTACTCTTCTTCATCTTACTCGCCTTCTTCTTCCGCGCCGCCTCGGCCTTCATCGCCGCGCGACTGTCCTCCCCCTTCTCCCGCGCCTCTACTTTATCCGCCAGCAACTGACGCGCGATCTTCTCGTTCTGCGACTGCGACCGCGTCGCTTGGCATTTAACCACCACGCCGCTGGGTTTGTGGATGATCTGCACGGCAGAGTTGGTTTTGTTCTGCACGCGATGCCGTATTAGTATTGGTTATCTGTGACTGGGAATATAGCTGGATTTCTCGGCTGAATGCACATACAATCTTCTGACCCCCCGGTCCGGTACCTTTTAGGTACGAGACTGTCACGTCGGCGTCGTTGATGGTCATGCGTGGAGGGAGTGGTTTCGCGCGGTGCGCCGGTGAGGACACTAAGGACAGGCGTGGGCTGGTAGACAACCATCTTGTTGGTATGGTGGCTTGGAGCCAGCTGCGGTGCGGGCGCAGCATGTTAGGGCTGCCATTCGAGAGGAGAGAGAGGGAGAGAGATGGGAGTGGGAGAAGGTGAGGATAAAGGGAAGGTCCGATAAGATAAGGAATAGAGATAAGCTTTTCCATTCTATTTATATTTGAGACAACAACTCATTGCTTTCTCCCGTCTCTACCCACAATGCTAGGTGACGGTATAATATTATTGCCCTACATCCTAGCCTAGACTAGGGAATCAAGTCAGTAAGACTGACCACACCACAGGGCCCCCAGTTGCACGAGTTATCGGATACCATGTTGCCCTTGCTGCTCAGAAACAACAACGTTACATCCGCATTGTCGATAATCCGCAAGGCTGGTCGAAGAAAGTAATTTCCAGAAATCAGTTTTGACATAGGATTGGTCCTAAGTCCACTTAATAAAGTACTCGGCAACATCCGGCTAGAAAGCGAATACCAGACCAAAAGTATGTATGTCATAACTCAAGCCCCGTCATCCTCTAGCGCATACACCTCACACTCAGCAATCCGAGTGCCTGCAGGAATCGTCACGCAGATGGGAAACGATCCATAATCGGGATCTTCCCCAGGCATGATAGCCAGTTTTCCACTCCGAGTCTCGTCACCATTGAGCATTCGCACCGAGCGCATCTCACCCGTCGTCTCATTCACGACCTCCTTCTCTGTGAATTGAAGAATACCCGTAAAGCAGGCATTGCTCTTCAGAGACTCGAATCTGACATGGAATCCTTCGCCGACGAGGAGGAAACGAGCGGGTCCCTTCTGGATGACGAGCCCAAACCCGGGTCCTGGTTTGCCAAATACAAAAGCTCTTTCGATAACTAGACGCCAGCCTCCCATGGTGGCTATCACCGGAGGGGATGTATCTGGGATCGTGAACTCATCAAAGAAGAACCCCACCATGGTGCCAGGGACACGTTGCGCCTCGAGGACATGGGAAGAAACCTTGGCCAACAGCCCAAAGTGCTTGGTGAACGGATTCTCTCCGAGCGGCCCCAACGTGTCGATTCCGAACGGTGATGCCCCCAGGGCGTAAAACCTACCATACGCCGCCCAGATCCGCCGCGCTCCGTACTCGTCCCGTCGCTGCTCCGGAATAAACAGCGGATTGCCCGGCCGGAAGTAAGCGGCACACAGCGTCTCATAGTCATTGAGGTAGATATCCGGAGCGATAAGGTCGAGCGATGGGGCGAAAGCTCGCCATATATCTAGCACATGAGCCACAGCACCTCCAGAAGGATAGTCTCCGGGATGCCCGCCGCCGCCCACCACGACAGGCAAGTCAATGGTCTGATCACCATCATCTCCAGCAAGGTTCTGCCATACGTTTGTAAAGCTTGGAATTGGGTATGCAGCCTTCCCTGCACTGGCAATATGTTCCAGATACAGGGCATAGTGATAGGCCATGAAAAGCTCATCTGTTTGCTGGCTGGGCCCAAGCACCGCTTCCCATGACCTATTCTCCGCTGCCGGGTTCTCATTGAAAAGCCTCAGATGACGCTGTATGGTGTCTGGGAAGTTATTTGCCATGGGTTTCAACACGTTCATGAGCGCTGAGGGTACAGGTGAGCAAAATCGTTCGTTGGCTGCGGATCCCCGATCCCTCGAATCTCCCAGGAGTCCAACCTCATTCTCCACCTGGACCATGATGACCGTGGAGTGCTCCTGATCTACCTCTTTCAGGTGTTGCATGAGGCGCTGGAATGCTTGAGCATCGGCAGCTGCAGATTCCTCATGGAAGATGGATAGCGTGTCCGTCATTTGGAGGCCACCTGTGTTTGAATCATGGATTTTTGCTCGTGGGAATCGACGAGTATTGGTCTTTACCCAATGCGGAACATAGTTTGAAAGCCCTAGCCACATGATCTGTTAAAAAAAGATGAAAAGGAAGTAAAAGGAAGTCCGCCGACATCAAGCGGCGACGACGAAAAAATGAAGCATACCGTTTTTGAAAGACCCAAACCATAGTAGAATGAGATGCAGACCGTGGGATCGAGCATCTTGGAGGATCCGGTCGAGATCGTCGAAAACAAAGGTCCCTTCACTGGGTTCAATCTGCTCCCAAGCCACGCAGCCCAGTACGGTGTTGATATTTGCCTGCACTAGCTTTGGCCAAACTCCTTTCATGAAATCTGCCGAGCTCATCGACGAGTTCTGTAGCTCTGCGGGACGCATCAAAAACGGTGCCCCCTTGACGACCAACTGCTTTGCAGTTGGGGTGTCTTCAAGATAGGGGGCTTTAAGATGCATGTCTAATCAAAGAGGCCAAATTTATTTTGAGAACAGATAGCAGAGAAAGAGAGACATATAATGAAGGGTGTTTTGCCGTCGAAGATGTTTAAGAGGAAGATGGAAAAAGGAAAGAGGAAAGACTAGACGAAATAATTTTGACCAACAAACTAAATCCTTCTCCCCACCGGAGTTCTACCTTAAGCGTCTTCGACCTCACTGAATGGGATTTTGGGTGTAGTTGCTACTGCGGAGTCGCAATGTTCTGATAGGTCGGTTTCCGCACACGGTTCCGCCGCCACTAACTGGACCCCAGCTTGGTCGTGATCATGGAATTTGCGTATCCGAAGCATCGAGGGAAAATGGCTACCCTGTACAGTACCGTATGGTGGGTCGGCTGGATAATTGCTGCATGGACCGTCTACGGGACCATCAGATATTCTGGCAGTGTTGCTTGGAGAGTTACTGTGGCTCTCCAGGCTCTCCAGGCCCTCATGCCGCTTATCCAGCTCGTCGGGGCTTTTTCTCTTCAAGAAAGCCCAACTTGTCCATAATAGTGCAATAGTATCTCAATACAAGCCTAAACCTCTCACTTTTATGAGAAATACTGGAAGGCCACCAGCTTCACGAATCCATGAGGCTCAGAATCATCCGCTTCGATAAATCCTCGAAACTGCTCAAAGCCTGCTCTCAGTACATATAAGTGTCCCAACTTCACTATGATCGACGATATTAGATACTACGTATATATGCCCAAGATGACATTGTTTTGTCTCAAGTGTTCTAAGGCTCAACTGGCACATCCGTCTTTGAGGATTATATTAAGCAGCGTCTATCGCACTGTGGGAAATGGCCTGAGCCGGAGCCCGTGTTAGTCAGAGACAACGCTTCTTTTTATCACTCGTGCCGGATAGAATAGATATACTCAGAAGCCGGCGTAAAGCTAGTGTATTTGCCTCTATATTCCCTAGACTTAAATCCTATTAAGGAGTTCTTTGCTAAGCTCAAGGCCTTGATCCAGTGGAATTGGCAATCCTACGAAGAAGATTCGGATCAGGGATTCGATAAATTCCTCGAATAGTATGTTAACATCGTTGGTGCAAGGGGGAAAGCGCAAAGGGACACTTTCAGCAAGCAGGCCTGAACGTTGGCGAAGTATAGCACATCTATCATCATGTCACCTGTACCAATCTTTCTACACTCGCCATTGAAATTTCGGCGTCGAGAGGTTTCAATCCCAAAATGTCAGGGCGTACTTTAGTCTACTGATTGCATTAGTGCCAAAAGTACTACGCTAATCTATATACAGATAGGCATTGATCCCCCGCTCCCTAAACAGATCCTGTATTTTATCATATTGCGCTGTTACCATGTATTAAACACTATACGCTAAGTGGTTGCGGCCGATACCTGCTAGCTCAGCCTCACTCTCACCTGGTTGAGGCCTTTATCTTATAAGCGAGGCTGATCTCCATAAACAAGATTCTCTACTACAACATAATCATACGAATCTAGTGCAATGGGGCAACCATCCAATACCGATATTTCTCTCAATCCTATCGGCGACCGACCTCCGTCTTACGATAACGTGATCGACACCTCATCCGCTGACGAGGTCGAAACCTCCATTCCTGGCGCTCAGAAGGTCGTTTGGCGCAAGAAGTCCGGGACTAAGACGCTATCGCCATCGCTCACTGATAGCCCACGCAGCCTTTATCGCCTCATTGCCCAACAAGCCCAACTGCCACCGCGGCAGTACGTCCACATTGAGGGCTATAGGGCCACGGGCACGGGCAAAGACCGCGTATTCGAAACGCAGTTCGATTTCTCGCTTGACTTGACGCCCACCTTGCTAGACCTCAGTGACGATAATAGGGAATGGCATGAACTACGCGTTGTTCGCGATAGGGACGGTCAGGAAGCGTTCCGTGGTGGGATGTTTCCTTCTCTCGAGGAACCTTCCCGTCTCAAAGGCCTAGTAACGAACTTACAAGAGTACGGGAACCAGGAGTTAGAGGATCAAAGTCTGCTAGGCGCAGCCTCGGATGGCTCGAACGAAGGCATCCCTAGTCTGATGGGCTGGTGTGAGAGGTTTTGTCGCGATCCTGCTCCGGTCAGATCGTATGTTGAAAGGATGACATAGAGATCATAGACTGACCCTAATATAGGTTTACTTTCATACGAGAGCTGAACGGTTTTGATGTTAACCCTATACGTTCTGAGCTCAAGTCCTACATCCGTTCGCTTAACTACCGCGGTAGCATTAAAATAACAGCCTCTATCCCGAACGAATTCGTCACTATCTACTCGCCGCATTGGATCAACCGACTACGGAACAACACATTCGTTTGGTGGCTTTGCATTATCTTACAGCTATGGATTGTGACGTGGCCGGCGATAGTGCTACTTGAGAAACGCTACCAGGTCGTGCAATCAGTGTGGAGGTCATCCCGTCTCGTAGAGGATGTCACTACACTATCTAGATGGAGGAAGATTTATGCGCATGGGCGTAGTGAAGCGGAATTGGCAGACTTCTGGGCAGCCGCAGTAACACAGGCAGCCTGGGAACAAAAGGATAGCGGCGAAATTCTAACGGAGCATGACCTACCACGTCTCCTACGGCGGGGACAAGAACGCATTGAGCGGATTGGATGGTTAGGGCCACCGCGGAACGAAACAGCGACTGATTCGATGGCCGAGGACACGCCGAATAGTAGACGTGGGCCTGCGATTCCCAACCTTGCAGCTGGCGGATATGATTTCCAAGCGGGATGGGGAGGGAATCCTCATTCGACGAGCTCATAGTCTACAGGGTGCTTTAAATACTGGCTGTGTTGGCTAGTCAATTGCTGTTGTTGTCCGGACAGTCATTGCTCTGCTGGGAAGCCCCGCGAATTCATTTGCTACGTACTGTACCAAGCATACATCATTATTCTCTATATCACAAGAAAGGCAATGTTTGAACATTATAAACACAAAGAGAGTGCTTTAATTGTACTACTGCGCCTCGGTCATCGTTATACGATTGAGGAGAATCAGACATCATTAAAGGCATTTGGGCGAGCGATCTCTCCTATGATTTTTAGATATCAAAGTCAACAATCTGAGGGTTTTCTAGCCATCGAAAGGGCCTAGCATTGGTCACTCGCTTAATCATGGAAGGTGCGGTTGAATGGTACAAAAGGCGCATAGTCTTGGGTATACTGTAGAGCTACAATAACAATATCAAGGATTTACCTGAGGTGTCAGCGACCAGCGCTCTAGTACTGTAGTGCAGTTATTTCGGCAAACTCTTTATTAGAGCGAGTCAACAACCTTATTCGTAACAATACTGAAGAAATCCGGTCGGAGTATTTTTGCTATATAGACCATAGACGACGTAAATCTGATTCTCCCTTAATCGGCCTCACTTGAGCCATGTGCAATAAGCAGCCACGCATTCTGTCACAACGGTAATTACTGTGCTAAAATGTCGTGTTGTAGGATTATTCATAGTGTTGCGATTCATTTTCTTTTTCTCGAATTGGAGAGACGGAACCCCTACCAAGGCCCAAGGAACCCGACCCATGGGTCAGCTTCTGGTGAGGTAGGTGAGCACCCCGCTTGTCGCCACTTTTTTGCGATGCCATCCCCAGAGTTCTCCGTGCCGATTTATATAATCACGTCAGGTCATGCTGCCCTGAAATCTGTGCTAAATTTGCCCTCCGGCTTAGGCTTCGGGCTACCTGCGATCCTTTTATCACTGATACCAATCCAGTCTACAATGCTCCGCTTCCTCTGATGCTCCGTCTGGCCGCATAGCGGTTGAGTTGAGCAAATGTTCAATTTCGATTCCACCAACGGCGTCCGGGGAGGATACGACGGGAACAACTATGCTGTCAAAGTCACCTTCACCACGTTCCTGGTGGTCGCACTGTACAACTCAATCGAACTCGTCATCCTCATCTTCTCGACGTTCAAACACTATCGGGGATTGTACTTCTGGAGTCTGATGCTCTCCGTCGTGCTCGGCGTCATCCCGCAGGCTGTCAGCTTCATTCTCAAATACTACTCGCTTGCTCCCCTCTGGTTTACGCTTACCTTCTCGACCATCGGCTGGTATTTCATGGTCACCGGGCAGGCCGTCGTCCTCTATTCGCGGCTCAACCTCGTCCTACATAACCCCAAGGTCCTGCACCGTGTGCTAGTTATGATCGTGTTTAATGCGATTTGCTTGCACATTCCCACCACCGTCCTGACTTATGGCTCTAACTTCAGTACCAAACCTGCCTACATCAACGGCTACGGGGTCATGGAACGCATCCAGCTAGTCGGCTTCACCCTGCAAGAGTTCATTATTTCAGGTCTATACATCCTTGAGACCGTCAAGATGTTCCGCTTGGACATGCAGACGTACGACCAAACCCATCGCACCACGAACATCCTGTACCAGCTTATCGGCATCAACGTATTGATCATTCTGCTCGACATTGTCTTGCTGACGGTTGAGTTCTTGAATCTCTTTGTCATCCAGACGACGCTCAAACCCATGGTCTACAGCATCAAGTTGAAGCTGGAGTTGGCCGTCCTAGGCCGGCTAGTGGTGTTAGTCCGTTCGCATCGCCTTTCTAGTTCGGGTATCTCGACTGTTTAGTGAGTGGCTCACCCGGTGATATCAGAGCCGATCGCTGCCCGAGGCGGCAGGTTTACCGTCACCTTTTTGACAACAAGTAAATATGAGGATAATCGCTTCATTGTGATGAACTGGGAAAATGATATTGACCGAAATTAATAGGAGGACCCTTGTATTTATTTATATACGAGAAACCCGATCTATTTCATTGCCATTTATACATACAATTAATCGCTCAGATCAGCAGCTGTTGTTTTACCGCTTTTCAATAATCATCAATACCACCCCGGTGCTCTCAAACGCTTACTAGGATTCTTGGGGCGCGGTCAATCCCAGACACGACAATGACTAGATCGTCTGGGTTGTGGCACCAGTTTCGAGACAAACTGTCAAACGCCGATTGACTTTTTGCGTCTGTATGCGAACGATTTTATTATTTGGCATATCTCGAATCGAAGTGCATATTACCACTTGAATATTTGATAAATGAAATGAAATATCTCTACATACGATATCATTCTTCTCTTTCTGGAATCCGGCAGGGTACACTTTCAAGTCGGAATGAATAGGGTGAAATCTGGTGTGAATATGGCAGTATTTGTGGATTTCTTCTTGACTAGGTCCAGTGAGGCGGATTCCGTCTGCAAAGAAAAAGTCTTAGCGACTAGTGACTCATGTAACCATGTCTTACTTTAATTACCTTTAGTTGCCCTTTCTACTACCACCTCGTATTAATAACTCAATATTTGACTTCAGGTTGGGAAGTCATTTCCTATCTTACTAATTGCCATCATTTTGAGGCTGTGCTGGCAGACCCCTAGAACTAGATAGAAGCAATGGATATGTGAATAAAAAATGGACTCTTTCTCTCTACCTCTTATCATTTACCAACTGATAGTTACCTCTTCCAGATCACAATCATGTCCAAATTGAATTTTGACACCTATTACAACGTGAGCTATGCGCTTTGTCTACTCTGTGGGATTCGTCAGACTAAACGACCCTCCCGCTACAGGTGATTAATGGCCAATTGAAGGGGTCAGACGAGCAATACTTCAGCATCAACCCTTTCAACGAGGAGAAGCTCTGGCCGGTTCCCGTTGCAACTGCGGATGATCTGGACGAGGCTGTGAACGCTGGCAATGCTGCCTTTGAGAAATGGCAGCATTCCTCCATGGAGGAGCGGCGGAGACGATGCAACGAGTTTGCTGATGCCCTTCTTGCGCAGAAGAATGATTGGGTTGAGCCGATTTCGAAGGAAACGGGGCAGCCAAAAGAATTGGCCGAAACAGAAGTTGACGCCGCCCACGAGTGGCTAACGACTATCGGTATGGACACCCCATCTTCCGAACTGACGATCCTGTACAGTTCTAAGAATTGCGCCAGCGAATATTGACTTACCCGAGTATATCACGCACGACGACGAAGAAGTCAAGGTAGTCACGAAATACTTCCCGCTTGGCGTCGTCGCCGGGATCTGTCCCTGGAACTTTCCCATCTTTCTCGCCGCGGGCAAGATTGCTAGCGCCGTGTCGACTGGCAACACGATTATCATCAAGCCGTCGTAAGTTGCACGGGCCCCAATCAAGCTTCTGCCTCTGATCTTGCTCAGACCATATACGCCGTACACAGCGCTCAAGCTGGCAGAGCTGGCGCAACATTTCTTCCCTCCAGGAGTTGTTCAAGCCCTGGGAGGCGATGGCAGCTTGGGTCCGTGGATCACGAAACACCCGGGAATTGCGAAGATCTCCTTCACGGGGTCGTCTGCCACGGGGAAAAAGATTATGGCAGCTGCTGCGCCGACGCTGAAGCGTGTCACGTTGGAACTGTTCGATATCCCCTTCCGTCTTTTCTCTTTCAGTCACTAACAGCCGCAAGTGGCGGCAATGATGCCTCGATAGTCTGCCCTGACGTCGACATTGATGCTATTATCCCAACAATTGTCGACGATGGTAAGTGCAGTACCCTCGCAAAGTGGAACCCATACTGATCCAACCATGCAGCATTCAGCCATGCGGGCCAAGTCTGTGTCGCTGCAAAGCGCATCTACGTGCATGCATCCATCTACAACGAATTCATAGACAAATTCGCTGCAGCATGCAAGAAATTGACCCCCGGACAACGATACCTCAGTCCAATTCAGAACAAGATGCAGTACGATAAGGTCAAGGCCATATTCGAAGACTCCCGGAGCCAGCAGCATGAATTCGTACTTGGCAATGCGGAACTAGAGACCAAGAAACCCGGTTATTTCATGTCACCAGCCATTGTGTCCCGGCCGCCGGAGCAGTCGCGTCTAGTGCAAGAAGAGCCGTTTGGGCCGATCGTCCCTGTGCTTGTGTGGGAGGATGAAGAGGATGTGATTCGGCGCGCTAATGACACTGACCAGGGACTCGGAGCGACGCTGTGGTGCCGCGACCCCGAGCGGGCGGAGCGTATCGCTATGCGCCTTGAGGCTGGGAGCGTGTGGGTGAATCGGGGTGCGATGCCGATGCCCACAGCGCTTTTTGGGGGTATCAAGCAGAGCGGTCTCGGGGGAGAATGGGGACCATTGGGACTGTTGAATTATTGCAGCGCGCGGACATTCCACTTTGCGAAGCAGTAGTTGGTTCGTACATAGCAGTTTCAATATCTAGTTCGTTAATGCCAAGAGTTTGGTGGATAAGGGGGACAGGAAATGGTCGGCGGTGAACGGCTAGACTCTCTTCGTCGCTTCCCTCCTCTCACCACCTGTGCCATGGCCATCTAGAACTCTCACCAATTCATCACAGTCCTTTATTCTTCTTTCTCTGGTGTCAATCATCCCGTGCGCCCGGCCTTCCTTCCCTCCCTGAACCTCCGGGACGTACCACTCCTCGAATCTCCTGATCAAAAGCGGCCTACCGCCCCGACCACACCTCCTCTCGCGACCTCTTAAGAAATCCTTCCCTACACATCCGCCATGACCATCATCCTCTACTTCCTAACGGCCTTGGTCCGCTGGATCCGGTTGAAGATCTACCAGTACGAGGTGACCTTTGCAATCTACATGCTCACCCCGACGGAAAAAATCATCTTCAGTGCGTGATCCTTTTCCCCTCCCTCCCACCTCTCCGACCATGCTAACAGTCAAAAATAGACTCCCTCCTTCTCACCCTCGTCACCATGATCGCTACCGGCATCTACATCTACCTGCCCGATCACCTCCGTTCCATCTACGGCCACCTGTACTACTACTGGGCCGGCGAGCGCCCGCTCATGGTCACCCGCTTCGCATCCATCAATTCCGTATTCGGGGAGACGGCGACACAGAATTTGAAAGTTGTGTACGAGACGGCGAAGAACGCTGCTGCCGCCGCTGCGGCTAATACCGCCCCCGCGGAGCATTTCGTCGGCGGCGAGCTGTGATTCGATCCATGTGTCTATAAGTTGGGACCGGGAGATGCGACTATTATTAATTCCGGCATTTGTTATGAGGTGTTCAGTGCATTCGAGGCGTTATTGGGAGGCGGAGGGTTTGTTCTTCTTGGCTTGCATCATTGCAGTGCGGTGCCGTTGACTGGAAGATCGTACATACGCCCTCTGCTGATAGAGTGAGAGGAACGCAGAGTTTCATCTTTAATTGGTACTCGTCTGTGACGTTGATGCTCAGACGCATATATAATAATAATTGAGACATAGTTATGTAATTTTGTACAGAAATGAGAATAATAAAACACTCCCAAACTCCATCATGCACTGAGTAGAGTCGTATGGTACAAATAACCCCTGTGTAACTCCCATCGAGATGCGGATCTTTTTTGATTGTTGGGTTGTCAGACCAAGGCCAAAAAAATGCCGAAGCTTTTTCCACCCACGATCATCTCCTTGAGAAGACGAACCAAACGTGTTGGCCCCGAGCAATACCCATGGATATCTGCTTATTGCCCGTTGTGTGATGCAGCCTGAGCCTCAGCCCGAGCCCTGGCTTGCGCCTCCTCGGCTTCGCGCTGTTTGCGTCGCTCACTCCGCACGGCATCCACCATGCGCATCCGCGACAACTCCTGGTCGATCTCTTCCTTGTCGAGCGGGATCTTATGCGATTGTTCGGCGGTGGGCCAGAAGCCCTTGACGCTGAAGCGGTCGTCGAGATTGGTGCCAAAGTAGTACATCCAGCCGATGGGGAACATGATGTACACGCCGAACTGTGAGGGGATCAGTACAAATGGCCCAAATAGGAGGGAGAGGAATAGCGGACTTTGAATACTTCGAGGTTGCCACCTCGCAGTTTGTTTAGAAGGGACGACATGGTGGGTGCTGCTGTCGTGGAATGCATTCATCAATCAATCACTTGGTTGAAGCCAAATTCGACCACGACCATGACTCAGCATCCATTCCTGGTCACCTGATCCAGCCGCGGGCCTCGGCTGTTCAATTGTTTCCCCAGCTCTTTAAGATCCCCGCAAGGACGATAATGGACGATTATTATTTCTGTGTCTCTGGAGACTGAACAATTGCCCTTTCATCCACTCTACTCTGCCCACCATGTCCAACGACCAGCTCATCACCGTCTCCTACCGCGACCGCGTCGCTATCGTTACCCTTAACCGGCCCGATAAGCTCAACGCCCTCAATCAGGATCTGTACTACCTGCTCGGCGAGCGGCTACGTGAGATTGACCAGCGTGATGATATCTACATCACCGTGTTGACGGGAACTGGCCGCTTCTTCTCTGCGTACGTCCCAATGACCACGTTAATACATCCATTGAACGAACTAACATCTATACCTACCACAGTGGAGCAGACGTAACCAGCAGCCGCCCCAGCGGGGACCTCAGCTCAAATGTGCGCCGGGAGCTAGTCAAAGGCTTCGTGTCCAACAATGTCGACGTCACGCGCACCTTCTACAACCACTCCAAGATCCTCGTGGTAGCGCTCAACGGCCCCGCCGTCGGCTTGTCCGCCGCCCTTATCGCGCACGCGGACTTCATCTACGCCGCCCCACATGCCTTCCTGCTCACCCCGTTCTCATCGCTGGGCCTAGTCGCCGAAGGCGGTGCCAGCCGCGCCTTCGTGGAGCGTCTCGGTATCGCCAAGGCCAATGAGGCGCTTATCATGAGCAAGCGGATCACCTGTGACGAGCTGGTGGCTGCGAGCTTTGTGAACAAGGTTATCAAGGCGCCTTCGGGTCGGCCGGAGGACTCGGATGGCTTCTTGAAGAAGGTTCTCGAGGAGGTGGAGGACAGGCTGGGTACGCATTTGAATCAGTCGAGTTTGCTCAAGATCAAGGAGCTGGTGCGGAGGCCTGAGCGGGAGCTCTTGGATCGTCAGAATGGCCTTGAGGCGTTTATGGGGCTGGAGCGCTTCTTGAGTGGTGTGCCGCAGGAGGAGTTTAGGCGGTTGGCTTCCGGTGAGAAGAAGCATAAGCTGTGAGTGTGTTGACATACATTCTATACATATACACTAGGATGGGTATAGACCTGTCCCGCTTGAAATGTATATAGCAGCAGACCACGCAAGAATATACATACTTTCATCAAGATTATGGATCTATACCAAATCAATTTGGAACTCTATGCAAAACATATCAAGTCAAGTAATGTGCAGCACTGAGCGTTTGTATCGCAGTCAGAACGCCTTGCTGGGCTGTTTTCGGCCATCGTAGCGATGCGGCTGGATCTGATACTAGAACACCAAACAAATCTCCCACGCCAGGCTTGTTTTCAATTAGTCCGACTCACTGCCGGCCGCGCGCTCTTCATCCATCTGTTTCTGCAAAATCTGGTGCCACTGGCCCATAAACTCGCTCATCCCACCAGGTCCAGCTAGAGACGCATCAACCACATCCTTGGGTACCTTATGCGCCGAGTACTGCGCCGAGTTGAACGCATATGCCTCCGGATCATCTTTCTTCACCAGACGGAGCTCCGGCAAAAAGGGTGCAAGATCGTCATCGTCACCATCGTCACCACTTTCTTCTTCCTCGTCCTCCGACTCGGTGCCTTCGTCGATTCCATTCGGGCCCGAGGTAATAATACTCCCATCATGAAGCGAGAGCCGAACAAAGCCCTCTGTCTCATCATCATCTTCAACAATACCCACGGGGTCCTTCATCTGTAGAATTTCTAACCAGCTGAATAGCAATGGATCCGTGCGCTGAGCCCATGGATTAATATCGATCAACCACACCCGCTGATGCGGCGGCGGGAGATACACATCAAACACAAAATTGGGATCGGGGAAGGTATCCCGCAGCTTCTCGTCGAAGAAGGACTGGATGCGAGACCGCAACGCATCTCGCATCGGGAACAGAAAGTCGAAATGGTTCGGGTCCCGCTGGGTCATGCAGAGCAAGGTCCGATTGCGGACGAAGCACCGGAATTCGAGAGATGGGTTGAAGTTGACGTATTTGCGGAGGATGAGGTGGTAGGGTACTTGGGGTGGAGTGGCATTTGCTGTTGTTGTGTCTGGAACGCAGCCATCGAACGGATGTTCCAAGTCATGCGTGATGAAGTCGCTGCTTTTCAGGAGGAGGTAGATATCGTTCGGCGTGCGGCACTTCGTGTCGTTGGTGGCGTTCATGAAAGTTGCGTCTTTCGGTGAACTCCAGTTAAGCTTCGGCGTGACCCAGCCCCCGAACTCGCTGATGGTTTCCTTAATCTGCGTGTGAATATCCCGCCACTCTGCGGACGGGTCGGGTGCCGCCTCGTCGCCGGCGTCGGAGAAGGTGTCTTCATCGTCATCGTCTGTTGGTGGGGCTTGTTCGGTGGGTAAAACGATGCCGTCGGCGCGGAGGTAGGATACAAAGGTTTCTGGAAGAGGAATTACTCGCGATTTTGGAGCCAGAGTGCGGTAGCTGTAAAGGACTGCTGTTAGATATGCTTGCAATCGAGTCACCGACGAAGAACAAACCGAGGATGCCAGTCATGGTAGGAACAATGCATGATATGGGAATAGGTAACCGGGGGAAATGGGAGACGGTCCGGCAGACCATCTGAGTCTGCCGGGACATCTGATTCGATCAGTGGCATGATTGTAACTGTCTTGCGGTGCGCAGGTAAAAGTTAAGATGGAGGTGACTTTTTGAACCAGTCACCTGACGATAAGATAAGAATACGCTGACATAATATAACCTGCCTGAGGCTGCGGCTGTTGATTGATTGACAACTTGTTCCGTTCGGTCAGATCTCTGTACTCGCTCACGTCCAGCATGGCCCCCGAGGCCCCAGATCCCCAGAGCCTCAAGACCTGGAAAGATGCCTTCCAGTACCCGATCCCCACCGTCCGCCGTGTGGAGCAGGAACTGCGCCGGGACATTGCCAGCAATAAGGAGAAGCTCCGCGCTCTCGTGGGGTAGGTGTCTCAACCGAGCCATTGCGGCATACAACGCTGACATACTGCATCTAGCACGAGATACCGAGAGCTAGTCGGCACGGCGGAAACGATTGTGTCTATGAATTCGCAGATCCAGGATGTGGAATCGGTCTTGACGGAGATTGGTCGGCGATGTAACCCTCGCCTGGTGGAAAAGAAGCACTTGCATGCGCGGCAGATCAGAAGCGATGCTGCGGAGAAAGGTATTCTCTTTACAAAAATGCACCGGGTGACTTGCTAATGGCTCCCTGCAGATGTCGAGAAACATACTTTCGGTGCACAGCTCGCTCTCCTCCACCGATGCACTACCTCCATTGCACGGCTGCTGAGACGACGCGCTTCTTTGCTACTAATCGCAAAGATCCTGGTAGTCTCCAGACGACTGCACAGTGCCCTTTCACAGCACGAATCCCTGCCGCCATTCCTCGATGACTTGCGCAACCAACTAGCGTCCCTCCGAAAAACCCTCTTGAAAAGAATCGACAGGCGCTTAGCTTCTGCCAATGCCACGGAGGACCAGATCGTCGAATCTCTGGCCGCTTACTGTCTCGCAACGAGCTCTTCGTCCGACGATGCCATTCATCATTTTCACCAGGTGCGCTTGGAGGTTATCACCAGCCAGATAGAATCATCACGCGAGAATATCCCCAAGATTTTGAGGCTGTTCATTCGGACGTTGCAGACTTCAAAGGCTCTGCGGTCACGCCAGTTCTCAGATGTGCTCTCGAAGCTCAAGGCACGACCTATTCTCTCTGACCCGGAGATCCGCAGCCTAGACGGCCTGGAAATCGAGGTTCTGGGTCGCTGGGTGGCCCCAGATGTTGAAAACTTTACACCATGGATCAAATTGAGTGATTTGTCCCGGACAGAAGGCGTGGAGATGACCAAAGAATGGTCTCTGCAGGCCTTTGAGAAATTCTGCATAGGCTGCCAAAAGAGTCTCGCATATAGTGACGACTTCTCTGAATTACTGTCACTGCGCTCTGACACTGTCGAACTGTGGCTGTCCTCCTGGGGTTCAACGCTCACACACCCATCTGTTGATGTCCTCGAACGCCTTCGTACCATCTTCAACGACCAGCTCACCCGGGTCCTGACAGCACAGGCCCACAAACTTGACGAATTCGGGTCCCAAGTTGTGTCGATCGTCTCTGACTGGAAACACACTGAAGACAACGAGCTGGGATCCCTATGGGACATGGATCTCATCGGCGCAGATTATATCAACGGCGCTACTTCGTTCAAACAAACCGTCATAGACCGACTGCTTGGCCGCGATGACTCCGTCTCTCAAGCATTAAAGCAGTACCAATCCTGGCTTGAATCTATCCAAGAAGTTAACTCATCCATCGACTCATTGCGTCGTATCAGATGGCCCGATCTTCTCGTGGGAGCCGAAGAAGAAGACGACGATGTTGAAGTCACCCCCGACCTGAACGAGGCCGATCCGCGGCTGTTGACAGACGCACTTCATGTCGCTGTCCGCAAGGCATTTGATGCTCTACAAACTTCATTTGGCCAAGCCTTCAAGGCCCTCGGCTCGTCGCACGCAAGGGAAAAGGCCACTTTCCTCCTCCGCATGGCCCGTCTCATCCGCAGAGATATTCCCACAGACTTCGTGGCAGAAGACTTTGTTTTCTCCAGTGACACCGTTCCTGATCTGCAGAAGTTGCTTGCAACAGAAACTCTTGCCCAGGCTGGCTCTTTCACCCTCATACCGGCTTTAAGGACTAATCCACAGACGGGCTTACTGAGGATTGTCCCTGGTCGGTCCCTCTGGGAAGGCGAACCGGTTACCCCAGTTCAGCCTTCACCTTTGACATTCAAATTCCTTCGCCATCTCACGGCGACGATGGATGAAAGCGGTCCAGACCTTTGGGATCCGTCTACCCTCCACATTTTGAAGAGTACACTTCAAAAGCAACTGGAGGAAGCAATCACATCTGCACTGAAAGATCTAGATACTTCAAGTACATCTGAAGCCAAGCCCCAGCCAAACGGAAACCAGCCAGCCCAAGAAGACTCACGGGACGAAACAAAATCTGAGAATGAGGGCGAATCCTCGAAATCGGAAGCACGCACTGCCGATGCTCCAAGTCAAACTGAGATCCTGCATGACTGGAAATTGCAGCTGTTTTTCGATTCTGTCTATCTGGCACAGATGCTGGGCGATTCGAACAAGCTGTCTGGCGCTATTGAGAAGGTTCAGAAAGACGCAGAACTGAGCGCCCCTGTTGTGAAGACCACCAGACAGCTTGCTCAGGACTATTGGAAACGGACGGAGCTGTTGTTTGGTCTTCTTGCACAGCGTTGAGCTTGAGCCATCTCTCCTCCTGATCAGTCCTTTTAAATGAATAGACAATGTCTCTATCAACCTATCCACTTTCTACATAGAGCAATACTTGGGGTTTATACGAACTTCAATACTTCAAACAAGTCACATTCTCGTGATAGTCGTACAAGATCGTAGATCATAAATCAGAACATCAAGCATAGCTCATACAAGGTACATCGGCCGTCGTAAAATCGTGAAATCGTAATGGAAAACGGAATCAACGATAACATCGAAGAGAAGAAAAGAAAGAGATTCAACAAGACAAAGTGCTGCCAGTGACGGCGTGGATTTTCGCGGATTTTCAAGTTTTTTTTTGCTTTTTTGGGGGTTTTCTTTTTGGCGGAGTTGTTGATTTCAAAGCCTCTTAGGCCTGGAAGGGCTAGCAAAAGCGTTGAGCTGATACTTAACCACTTCTGCCTCCTGCTTGGCGGCCCAAAGGTCGCGGATTGCCTCGCACGCATGCTGCTCCAGGGTCCGTGGAGACATGATCAAGATCACCGACCCGATCCACTTGAGAGACCACTTCGTCGTGAGAGCGTCCAGCCCAGCATCGACGTGGTTGATGCAGGCGCGGATTGTATCCAGCTCTTCGATTTCTGCGAGGGCGAAGGTGTTCAAGAACAAAGCTTTGCAGGTATCCTTTAGACGCTGGACGTTGGCCGCCACTGTTTCCAGCTCAACCAGGATCTTGAGAACGTCGGTGAAAAGCACCTTCCGCAGGCGGACTTTGTTCTTGATAGACAGGCGCGAGTGGCTAGGGAGTGAGCTGAACTTCAAAGAACACACCCTCTGCAAGGAAGCGATGATCTTTCCCTCGGGTGTTTCTCGCATGCGGCGTTTCTCTTCAATCAACTTCATCACTCGCCGCCAACATCGCTGGAGATTCATGATCATGTTGAGTTCATGTCCGGAATACTCCTCCCCAGCTGTCGAATCCTCACATTTGAGCATGGCTAGGGGATTTTCTGCAAGCCGCGAGGATCTCAGAGCCGTAGTCAGCGTCTCAAACCGGCCGTGACTTTCAATGAAACCTCGGAAGTGAAGAGGAGGCTGGCTCTGGTTGTCGAGCGAGATGACGTACAGCTCATCCTTGCCATTGTATGCTGTATAGAGACGTATGGACTCCTCTCGAAGCTTTTGGAAACCGCGGGTTGTTATCACGCTCTGGGGAGCTGTGAACGCAAGCGTCTATTCATGTTTGTCAGCCTCGTATACATGCATCGTCAAGAAGGGAACATGTGATACCTTCTGAATCTGACTCCAGACGTCCACGAACCCCTTTGGGATGATGGGCCAGTGGCTCAAATTCAGAGCGACTGTTGTGAGATAATCAGTGTTTCGTCTCTTAATCATCCCTGCTGGAACCCTGCGACGTCCCATAAATCCCAACTCGTGAGTGTTGATTGCGAACTCCATCTTGTCCAGTAGACGGCAGAAGCTCGAAACCATGATGGTGAGGAAACTCAGGTGCGACATCTTGACACTATCCGTGAGCGCAACACTACTGGCAGAGGAAGATTGCATGGCGATGGGCAAATGGAATAGAGCCCACGACCAAGGGATAACGACGGCGTTCCCCGGGTTGATCAAGCAAAGCTGTATATAAAATTAGTCGATGTTCGTAACATGATTATGAGGTTGACATACTACATATGTGGTTGCGAGTTCGACAACGGACAGCAACGCTGGAAACCAGGTAAGCGAATTCATTTCGATTCTTTCCATGCTGGCCAGGAATTCTCGCATTCCCTCATACTGCTTTCCATTAGCATTACCCATGCTCAAAGATGGAGATTTACATACGAACTCCCAGGTATCCCGTCTCGCCACACCCGAGTAAATCATCTCGGCGCCATGGAATCCTTGGCATGCTGTCTTCAGGGGATCGATAGAGACCCCTTTTCGAGGATGAGACAGGTTGTATCTAACATTGCTCAGTAGTGCTCGATGAAACCCGTGAGCAACTTGGGGACCTGTAAATAGAGTAAGTATGGCGGTTTGTTCTCGTTTCCCACTTTGTAGAGGATGTTGGAAGCATACCGAGTTGATGGGCTTGCTGCATTTGCTCCAGGATGGCGGTGAAGCTCTGGCGCTGTTGCCATTCCCGATCCAAACGGTGGAAAAGCAACTCTTCAAGACAGCCGACAGTCGCTTGACGATTTTTGGGGGCGTGAAGGATAGAAAGAGTTGACATTATCACAGTTGCGGATTGTTCGTGAGATGATACGAACGTAAGTTCTTCGAGCACGAGCTCTAGCCAATGTCGCCCTAAAATAGAAAAAGAGTCAAATCGATCATACTAAATGATTTTGACTTCAAAAACTCACTCCGTTTCAAGAACGTCTCTTGAAACTCACTGCCCATGACTCGTTGGATGTAAAGGGGGGTAAGTCTGGCGAAAAGTTCACAAACGCGCAAGAGACACTTGAATAATTCTGCGTTAGTATATTTCCTGGTTGGAGCGTGGCTGAGATGACATACGGTGACTTTTGAATTACATGATTCGAGGGTCGGCTTTTCATGAAGAAAAGCACACTCTGTTCGGTGACAGAAGCCTGCAATTCTGTCAACAAAGAAAGCTCGTCGTCATATCAAGAGTGATTTCACTCACCTCTCTCGAGAAAATACCCGCATACTTTGGGAAATCCTCTTCGTACAAGAGAAACAGCCCTTTCGTGGAACTGAGTAACCGTCACCGCAAATTTCTTTCGGATCCAGGTTTTGGCACTGCTGAACAACTCACCAGGGGATGCAGTTTCAAGATATGTGTCGTCTCCAGCCCGTTTGAGAGGTGACCACTGAAGCAGAGTGCAGGATTTCGGTGTCTCAGGGTTGTTAAACAGGCCACAGAGAAGCTTCAGACAGTTTGATGCGGTTTTGCTTTCAAACTCAAGGGCATGGATCAGACTTTTCGCTCGAAGCATGACATCCCCCGGAAGAAACATAATCTTCGTTTTGTTGACAACATTCACCTCAAATGCAATCACCTGCTGCTGTCAGTTCAATATCAAATAGGCGAATAAAAGTTTAGACGAACATAAAGACAGAAGAAGTCTCTTGGGATACCGTCTTCCAGTCGCTTCCAATCGACGGGTCGATTCTCGTCTGCAGCCCACCGGATCATCTCAAACACCACCTGCCATTGCCCAGCAAGTCTTTCTAAGGAAGCTGCCTTGGCACTTTTCAGTAGATTCTCATCTCCCTCAGGCAGATCATTGGCAAAACCCTTGTGAGTGATAAGGGATTCAGCGACAGCATAATGAAAGACCATCTCGGCGGTTTTCTTATTAGCCGTTAAGATCAGGTTGTGGGAAAGCAGAGCGTCCATCGCGGAAGTGAGATCGCCCGCTGAAATTGACATTTCGTAGAATTCAAGCCATCTGCCTTTCTTTTCGTAGAAAAGACGGAGTTGGTCGAACATCTCAAACTCTTTGAAGAAAGCCTCTTTATCCACATCCGGTCCAAGGAGGTCGATGGCCGCCGCCCTCAAGCCAGCCGAAATGCGGTCTTGCTTAACCAGAATGTTGCAGAGTCTCGAATAGCGATGAAGAGTGCTGGCGTTGAGAAGACTTTTATTGCTTAAAATAATGTCAGCATTTTCCCCCAGCGACTTATTTTGAGAGGTAAATACCCAGTGAGGTAAGCGATGAGCTGGTCGAATTGATCACCTCGGCGCAGGACTTCCACTGCCTGTTCATACTCCCCCTTTGAATGATAACATTCCGAGGCCTCTCCAAAAAGGCTTGCCTTCTCGTAATACAGGGCAGCTTTGCGGTACTCGCCTCGGTCTTTCCAAAGCTCTATACTGTCATTTAGCACTGTTCTGTCGGTGGAATGAATAGGCACAAACCTGCAACCTTTCCATACTGTCCCAGTCCTTCAAGGCAACTAGCTGCTTCTGGAGTAAGCTCAAGCTGTAAGAAAAGAGCGATTGCTTTCTCATAGCAAGCAGATAAACCTTCGTGGTCGTTGACCGCACGACAAGTTCGTCCTTCTTGCTCAAACAAGCAAGCCTGCGCATGAGATATGCCGCGCGGGTCGTTGGCCTTTTTGTAACAGAAGAGTGCCTTTAAATCCATCAGTAAATATTCTTCCCCATACGGTCCAGGTGACTTGCGTCCGCAAAATTCTTCTGGTGCAGAAGGTGCGCTGCTCTTTTAAGCCATCTTGCGGGGTCTACAGAGCCACCAGCCCGCAAGACCATGACTTTTTCCGCAACCTGAAAGGAGGTCAGTATGTTATCTTACTATTTTTTGCTGCAAACTAACATTCGGGTCCTTCTGTTTCACGAGATCCGCGAGTCGGGGATTGTCGCTTTCGGAGAGCGCCTGAAGAACGGGCTCCACGCTGTTCTCGCTGGTTTCGATGAACCACAGTTGCTTTCGTGCTCTCGTAACTGAAACATACAGATGCTATTTATCATTTATTAGTATTCTGTTGACTATGTTGTGCCTATGGCATACCTTGAGTTCCGAGCACAATGCCTAATTTCGTGACGTGTTAGAAGCTGCTTGTGGCTATCTGGGTCACGAATAGACACGTACCGCATGCTTCTGAGAATCAAATTGAGCCCGTGCCCCTCGAGCCAGCAGGTTCAAACATCGGTAGCTGCTTCCCAGCCCACTGGAGCCGAAGAAGTCATAAACGAGGACGTCGTCAAACTCCATACCTTTACTCTCCAGGATGGTCAAAACCAGAGCGACCTCGCCAATTTGGCCCTGCAGTTTGTCTTTAGACATGTCATCCCGGACAAGAATGACTTGTTCAGCACCGAAGTCCGCTACTTGGTCATTGAGCTTGACCAATCCGATCATCTTCGCCGACAAGATCGATGAATCAAACCCGGCTAAATAAGCCCAAAGTCAGTGCACGGTCGTCAAATACAGAAAGGTCATACCGAAAATAATGGGCCGCGGTCCCCATGTCTGTCCCACTTCTGGCTCTAACTTGTCGATGGTGTCTGGGAACCCTAAAAGGGAACAGGATCAGTTTTTTGCAAGTTTTGTTCTTGGTTATGGCGCTCACCATTCCAGAGCAGCTGCATCACCCAGGAAGCAAAGCTCAGTATGCCTTGGTGGGAACGATAGTTCTTGGCCAGGGAGAACTGGACGGGCTTTGCGAAAGAAGGCTGCTTCAGCTCGTTCGCAATGACTTCATAGTACTCGTAAAACAACGCCTTGATCTCCGAGAAACGAAAAGCCGAGTCCTTGGAGATACATTGAGCAGTATCGCCAGCTTCAATTTTTTGGTGTCAGTTGAGAGATCCTTGACTCCAATTAGAGCTCACTCACCCAGATGAATGCCTCTAGCATCGCTGAGACAGCTGAGGAGCAGCACGATGTCCAGGCACCGCAGGTCCTGGATCTCTGTATCCATGGTTAGTTATTCTAGGGTAAAACAGAAAAAGTATCCTAGTTTGCATACCATCGACGTAAATCTCCTCAAAACAGCGGCGAATGAGTTGCTCGAGGGTGGCGTTGTTTTTCAGCAACTTCAACAAATCGCTGACCCGGTCAAGCTCGTCGATCTCTTTCAGTTGCTTCTTTTGTCTCTCGTATCGCTCAAAAGCCGCATAAACCTTTTCACGGTCCGTCTCCGCCGCAAAAGCAGGGGATGCTTTGGCTTTTCGTCGGACATACTCTGGCCGAGTGAGCGATTTTAGGGTTTTGGCGGAGGTACCAGACCCCTTGATTACACCCATGATTTCCGCAAAAAGAAGCTCGGCAGAACAGGAGGTAGGTGCAATGCCAGACAGGCAACCCCAGTACTCCGTCTTGAAAATGTGGAAGTCGATGACCCTGGGGTTGTTCACAACCAGGTCAACAGCCTTCGACTTGTCCGTGCTCTCAAGGAAATCTTTGCGATCCGCCCTCCTAGAAAGTATTAGGAATTTCAATTAATTGAAAGAAAGAATTATGCAAACCTGATTGTATTTTCAAGCAGGCCTAAGAAGTCGTCGTAGGTGCAGACAAAAGGGAAGTCTACATTCTTCAAGGCAAAGAACGACATTGGCTTCGAATCACTTGGCGCGTCTTCGGTTGATGCGCCGCCGGAGTAGGTTTCAACCAAACTCTTTGCATATACCCGCAGCTTAGATGCCAGGTATACAGAGCGAGTCAGGAGAAGCTAGCACGCTGTCAGTCTTGAAGATTTAATGCCCTCGGTCAAACTTTACCTGCCGAATTGTTTGTTCCTCCGGAGCTGATTTTCTAGCACTGTATTTGGCAAGGATCTTGAAGAGTAGGCAAGTGGTCTTGCCGGTCCCACTTCTTGCAAGAATCAAAGAGGATGTGTCAAAGTGCCCGACAATCTCAAGCTCTTCCGGAGACAAGTCGAAAGGAAATTCCTCTCTGCCTGTTGCCGCCGCAATGGACTTGAGAAATGGTTCCGTTAGATTGTAGAACTTGTCTGGGTTGAAAGCATTAACTCTGATCCTTGCAATATAAAAGTTCATGCAAAGCACACGGTAGCTCTTACTTGGCATCTCAACAATGGCTTGGTCAGTCTTGGATGGCTTGATGCATGCCATCTGAGCGGATGTGGAACCTTTGGCATTGCCAAACTTTTGTGGAAGGAATGTCCCATCTGTATGCTCAACGGGACGTGCCAGACAGAACTTGGTGAACTCAGGCGTGTAATTATTCTGGAAAGCAATGATGTTGCCGATAGCAGGATCCAGCTATAATCCCCAGTCAGTAGGGCACTCGATTTTGAAGAAGCAAACAAACCTCGTCGTTTGCAGTAACAATTTTCCAGACTTTCACGATCTGCTGCTGTATCCATGGAAGTTCATCGTAGAAACCAACATCCAGCTGCCATAAGATTGACACGGATTGAGAAACAATAACTTGCAGCACAGGAACTTGCATCGTCTCCTTTTGCTTCTTGGAGCCTGCGCGCTGGGACAATGCTTTCCCTTTCCACTCGCCACTCGCCAGCTCCCTGAGTTTCTTCGCTGTGGGAGCAAATGTGCCTGTTATGTATCAGCCGAGGATACAGAATAAAATGGTCAAAACAATTACCTGCCCAGGCCAGCTTTCTTACATCGGACAAAGCTCTCTCAGATAACAGAACTTTCCACGGCCCGACGCGCTTCCCAAAGATGTCATACGAATGTCCTGAGACTTGGGTTGGAAACAGCTGGACATCTGCTGGCTTTGAGAATGCGACCGTTTCTCCAGTCAAGCGTTCCATGCAGGGCCTGCAAGGGAAGCTCTTCAGAGCAGTACGCATCATGGATGGTATGGTTTTGTTTTCAAGTTGCTCGAGTGAATCGGTCAGACCGCGCATCGACGCCTGTGCTTGGAGCCCAAAGAAATGCAGATCCTCGAGAATGTTGGCGGGAATCTCGATATTCGGAACAGAGTCTTGAAGAGCATGATGAGATTTCTTGTCGTCTACGCCAAGAGCCTTCATTTGCTCTAGGGGAGGAAGGTTCTCGATCTTTTGAGACTTCTGCTTATTCTCCTGAGCAGCTCGGATCAGCGACCTTAGAGATTCCATCAAAGTCTTTGCTTTTTCTAAGACTTCTGGGGTGGCGACCGTGCCATGATCCGCCGTGCAAGCATCGCAAAGGTCGATCAGGCGCTTTACGATCTGAATCACAACGTCCAGATCCAGGTTATGCCGCTTAGAAAGCAGCCACATATTCAACAGTATACTGTACTTTTCATGGGCAATTAGTATGTCGAGAAGATGTGCAATAGGCAACAGAGTGCCCGCAAGTTGGTGGAGGTAGGGCGAAGAGGGGTGGCGAGTGACTAGAGGCAGTCCTGAGCCGACCAGGTTCGCACATTGCATGATTGTGAGGATATTATCTTGTGGAGGGATCAACGGTAGCACAAGAGACGTGAATAACTCGCCTGAGATTGGAGCAGACAGCTTCTTGGTTCTCAGAATTTCGAAGCATTTCTGAAGGCGCCGCAGGACCCGGCTGGGATTGAGCACGATCTGGTCATGGACCATTTCATCCTGCATCTCATCACGGAGACGGTGGTGGTACTTGTCAATACTAGAAAGAACATGATTGTACTCATGAAGGCCAAGTTCGGCCTCTTGCACTAGGAGCGCAGTCAACGGCGTCAACGGAGAGCCCATGAGTATGGCTTCTAGTAGTCAACTGGCCCGTCAAACGGTGTTGATAGAACAAAGGAGGCGAAGAAATTTGTTTTGTTATGCACAAAACTGGTCGTTCATGCACGGAAGCTGATTGAAGTGGTCGAGTAAACCGAGGGGACGAGATGTGACGAAAAGAGGAAGTTGTCAAGAAGGGTGGCATACAAGTAGAAGATGATTTTGAAGGTGAAACAGGAAGAAGAGGGTGAAAAAGAGGGAAAGGGAAGGTGGAGATGGAGGGATGGATGGATGAAGGCGAACAGGAGAAAACAAACAAGAAGTGTGATATCGCCCAAAATGGCAAGAGCGGTTTTTGGCACCCTCGCGCCTGCCTAAACTGGACATTCACTGCACAACTCACAAACAAAGACCAACAATAGCCCTTCAAAACGTATAGGTACGTATTTGTATAGAACGTGTCTTTTTCTAAGTATACACTGTTTGTTTTCAAACAGACAAGAGATAATTAGCTGCCGTTGGCTCAGCGCTAGAAGATAACACGTAGGTTCATGTATCCTCAAATTAGAACATCCTAAATTGTGCTCTTATAGATATTAAATTCACTCAAATTGATCTACCTTCTATAGAATACGTACATCCTCTTAGGGTGAGCTCTGCCACCTTTAACTAACCTATACTTACCGCTTACCTAATCCTACTTACCCGCGGGGATCAACGTGATGTTCCCGCACCATCGGAAAACTCTCGCCTTCAGTCCTTCACTCACACTCACTCACTCACTCTCCGACCGACTCCAGCCATGGCAACCCCACGGCTACCATTCCTCTACCCGAATCTGATGCGCGCAGTGAGAGCATGCGAGCCTACTCCCTACCGCTCAGCTCGCCTCCCTCGGCCCGGCCCCTATAGCTTCCAGACCACTCGGCATCACAACCAAGAGGCCTACCAGCGCCGCTACGGCCCAGCGGTCGACCCAAATCTGCCCCCTCCTTCGAAGCCGAAGGGTCGAAAGCCCACCAAGGCGGTGGAGGGCGCTGCAGCATCAGAAAATGAGGGCGCGGCCAACGCCACCGAGCGCGAGAACACTCCGCCCGAACAGTCGCAGCAGGCGCAGTCTCAAGACGTCTCCCCGGGTACTGCCGATGCGCAGCCTGATCAAGGGCAGGCTGCTGCAGACTCCACCCAGAGCCCCTCCACCCCGCAACCCGATCAGCTCGATGAGAGTCCTGCGCCAGGGGACATCGACGAAGATGTCTCGGCAGCTGCAACCACACCAGCCCCTGAAGCAGCAGCGAACGAAGAAAATCCCGAGCCGGCTCCCGCCCCAAACACAAATCAGAGCGCATTCGATGATGTCTACCACATGCCTGGCCCGTCCGCTTCTCTCTTTCCAACAGGGCCGTCGCCATCCGACCAACACACGCCGCCCCATCTAACCCCAGGGCCATACGTGCACCATTTCGATACATACTCGCTAGTACGCGATCTCTCGAATGGCGGCTTTACAAACGATCAATCCATCACAATCATGAAAGCCGTGCGGAACATCCTCCAAAAGAATCTCGATCTGGCCAGGGAGAGCTTGACCTCGAAATCAGACGTCGAGAACGAGGAGTATCTGTTCAAGGCAGCATGCTCGGAGCTCCAGTCCTCTCTACAGACCGCTCGCAGCTCGGAAATGCAGAGACAGCGTGCTTCGCGCACGCAACTGCAGCACGAAATCGATATCCTCTCCCAGCGCCTCAATCAGGAACTCTCTGGCATGAAAGATGATATCAAGGGCATGTTCAATGACCATAGCATGCTCACGCGAGAGCAGCAGCGGAGTATCGATACTTCGGTCCAGGAGCTGAATTATAAGATCACCGTGTCGCTCAATAGTGATGGGAAGAGCGAGATTGAAGGACTGCGCTGGGTTCTCACGAGGCGCGCTGCTTTGACGGTGGGCATTTGTGCTTGTAAGTCTTTTTGCACTCTGTGGGTTTCATTAACTGGTTGCTGACGTCTGTTCTAGTCATGATTATCGTCTTCCTCAAATACTCGTCCACCCGAAAGGTACAGGACACACCCAAGGTGGTCAAGGAGGTGGAGAAGCCAATTCCCAAAGAAGGATCAGAGACTCGTCCTGTCCACGATGCGGGAGCCCAGACAGAGGGCGCATCTCTTGCTCAACTCGGCGAGTCCCTGGGTTGAACCTCATCTACGAGCCATTGCTTTCCTCATCCTCATCCCTCACACTTTTCTGTCACTACCTCTGTTACTTCCCTTTGTCTTTCGATTCCACTTCTCTCCCACCTGCCTCTCCCAAGGCGGGCTGTACCACTATCAAATAGACCAACCTGATACCCCCAATATATATTCTCTGCCTCGGCACATTCAAACATATTGATTCATGACATATATTCACCAACAATCAAGAATACAATGCAACACTCCCTCCACAAAGATATCCTCCCCTAGGCTTAGCTTCCTTTAACCACGGCAACTCGTGCGGCAGATACTTATACGCGCGAAAGACTGCATTACTCTGATACGAAAACCCCATCATCTCCATCTGACCCCGTTCCTTCGGATCCATAACCCGTCTGTAATCATCCAGCTGCGGCACAACAAACTCCCACACCATCTGCCCCTGCTCCGTAACCTCGATAATCCGCCCCGTGGCAGCTTCGCAGATCAGCACGTTGCCATTCTGCAGTTTCTGCGCCGAGCCCATGAACGGTGTGAAGAAGCCTAGTCCGCCCGTGGTGCGGTCTTTGTATTCCCAGATCACCTCCTTGGCGCGGTTGACGATAATGGCCCGGGAGAAGGGGACGGAGATCTCGGGTCGAAACACGCCGTTATCGAGAATGAGAATGTCGCCTGCGGCGTTGATTTCGTGGGCGCAGTGCTGCTGGCACACCGTTGGTGCGGATATTTCCCATGTCACGGATCCGGTTTGGCGGGAGATGATGAAGACGCTGGACGCATTGCGGGTCGACGCTATGATGTTGCCATCCGAGTTAATGGAGACGCTGTTGATCAGCGGCCAGTGTTCGCGTGAGTAGTGTGGGTGCGCTGCGAATTGGGTTGGGGCGAGGTGGTCGATGGCTCGCCAGGACCAGAGGAGCTTGGCTCCGCCGGTTCCGCCTGTGCCGTCGAAGTCGGCGGAGGAGGACTTGGTGGTCTTTGACCATGGGTCTACTAGTTTGATGCAGTCACCGTATACCACGCCTCCCGGTGCCTCGCTGCCGGGGATCCCGCCTTTTATCTGGGCTGCCTCTTCGGGCGTAAAAGGTTCTAAAGTCGTGTAGAGGAGAGTGCCGTCGTCAAGATGGTTCTGGTCGTGATGTGCAAGTGGATCGGAGTACTGTCGCAGAATCTCGCCCTTGTCGTTCACCTGCATCATGACACCGCCGCGGTACTTGGACCACATAGGGAACAGTGTCGGAGCATCAGGGTGTGCGCCATTGTAGGCCAGTGTTCCGTCGCGCAGGATTCGGGCATGGCGGCCTGATCTGTGAGGTAGAATCCATCGATGCACTTCATGGCCGGATGCTGAGACTAGATGGGCTGTGTTGGAGGTAAGAGGCGAGTAAAGCACGTAGCCTGGAGACACCTGTTGTGGATCGACCCCGCGAAGACCGAGACCTCGGCGACGGAAGGTGTGCTGCTCCATTTATGAGTAATCTTGTTGAGACAAGGTGTAATCGACACAATCCTCTCACAAAAACAATGACGACAGGCTTCGTTATATTTAAAGTTGATTGCATGGGCTTAGGGCCCGGCGGACCGGCTTACCTCGGTCGGTTCCGCGGCGGAGATCATAGCCAACAATATCGGCATGGATATGGCGTCAAAGATCGTATAGGTTGCAAGTGTTTTGGGTGGAAAAAATTCCGATAGTATTGACCCGAATATAACACAGACGTCCTCAACCAGGCGTCATATTTGGGGGGCTCTGTGGGAAAAATGTCAAGTTCGACAGGAGGTCCCATCCGCCATCCACCGTGGTCCCCAGTCCCAGAAATTCAGGGAAATAGTAATTGTTGAAGTTTTCATCGGGAAACTCATCCGCAAGCGCAGTGAGCGGCGTTTTCTCGACTCGAGGACGCAGTTTCTGATGCACCTTGGCGATGATATTGCCAAGGGTATGCGCAGCATGGCAAGGTAACCCGATGCAGGGAAGCCACTCCACAAGACTGTGGATCAGAGAGTCCAGCTCTGCGATATTGTGTGTAAATGTCAATTGGCCTTCATAGACATTGAGTAAGCGGCAAATCACAATAGCTGCAAAGGTAATCATGTGGTAGATGTGGTCACTGAGATGGCGAGTCTGATCATCGACTGTGTCCATGGCAAGTTGAATGATAGTAGTGGAATGGCGGATCATTTCGGAAACGATTGAGTCGCGCGCTTGAGCTGATTTGGATTTCAATGCGTGTTCGTATAGAAGCAGGTTGGAGAAATGGAATCCCATCATGAGGAATTGCGATCGAGGTTGTTCTAAATGACTGTTAGATTTGAAACCCAGTATTCTTGAGAGAATGCCATACCGAGCAAGAATTCCCACTTTCGTTTCCAGGCCTGCAGCGCCGCAACGGACTTGAGGAGATCAACAGATTCCCCGATCAGATTTTCATAAACAGTCCAGTAAAGATGAATCTCAGCAACCATGCGCACTTCAAAATTAAGGGCATGATCCAAATCGATGATATTTTGGCACCTCTCAATCTGCCAGGCCTGCAGAGTAGATCTGCGGCTCGTCCCGACGCAGTAGTGCAGATGAGCAAGGCACAGGTGGTTCCACAAATAACAACGGTCCGTGGTGGCGTCGTCCAGCCTGGCAGGAGGTTTGGACTGGGTGGTGGCCACGGTGAACAGGGGACTAGATTGGCAGTGCTGCAAAGCAAATCCGCTGAGCAGCCAGCTATCAATGCTCAACGGCACCTGTCCCACGGTTGTGGACCACATGCACAGGATAAGAGTGCCCTGAAAGAATTCAATGGGTTGTGGCGACACGAGAATGTTGGTCGACACCAGAGACCGGGCGCATTCATAGAGTTTGGGCGCCAAACTGGCGGCCAGGTCCTCAGAGGTATGTCGCACGGCGATCAAGCAGCAAGCGCAGAAGAGGAGAGACGACTTGCTCACTCGCTTGAGAATGACATTTGGGTCATCTTGCGGCTCGTAGAGAATCCATCGGCCATAATACTCCAGAAAGCTGGTTCGACAGTCAGTGATGTCGATCCAATCGAAAAAAAGGCACAGCGACAACATACATCGAGATAAGAGTCAAGGCAAGATCGGGCGAGATCAGATCATCCAATACTGCATCAACCGATTTTGTATTGGCCGTTGGGCGCACCGCGGTCTCCGTAGCCAAATCGCGGATCATGATCACCGGGGCGTCGGCCGACTCCGTGGTGTCTTTGTACGCCACATCGCCCGACTCCGGGGTCGTGAAAGCCGCAGCAGACTTGTGCAATTGCCGGTCAGGGATCCTGTCAGGGTTCTCTCCTAGCCGATCGAGGAGAATAGCCACAGTTTGCTCCAGGCGTTCCAGTCTATGTATGGATCGTTATCAGTCCGCCCAGAAATCAAGTAGGGGGTTATCCGCCATACCGCGCATCCGTCCCAGGTGCGGAGACAGCACCAACCTCTTCTGCGGGGGACTCGATCTCCACAAGGGAGCAAGGCTGGCGCAATCGCTCGCATCGAAGGCATGGTCTTCCGGGGGTTCCAGGTTCATAGCATCGTGTCTTTTGCTTTCTGCAAGAGGCGCATGCTCGGGAAGCGCGGCCTCGGTCCGCTGGCATGTCGACGGCGAGGACCAGGAATTAGGAGGTGGAGAGGAAGGTCTCTCTCCAGCAATTCTAATTCTTATGAGCCGCCTTCGAATATTTCCAGAAATTAAAATCGGACCAAGTACAAAAGCCGGCGCTAAGACACAGGGCATAGCGTCACCTGATGGCGATAAGACGATAAGGGTCATGCCACTCTGGGATTATTCACCCTCGTGCGATTGGCTGAGGCCTATGTATATGGACTGAATTGGAACTAGAGCTTCTAGATATCTAGACGGGGATACTCCTATCGACAAGTGGATGCAATCCGACCGCATCCGGGATCCATAAATATTTATTAAAAATCCATCCGCAAAGCAATACTCGGCGCCGCCTGCTGAGCGCTTTCGGCGGAATCAGCATCCGTCCTTGCCGCGGCAGCACCCACCCCGCCACTGCGCAGGATTTCCTCCAAAAGTGACTTTTGATCGGGGTTCATGCCGGCCACCAGCGTCCGGAATACCAGCTGGTCTGCCTTAGCAAGCTCAAGGAGATGGCCCGCAGACTCCTTGTGCACGGAGGGTCCCTCGCGGGTGGCGCGTGCCAGCAAGGCGGATACCACTAGCGAAACAGCCGTAGGCAGCTCAGTGCTGGAGAAAGTGGCGTTGGTCACGCAAGAGACGAGCGTGCGCGCAACGACGGAGCGGGAATTCTCAGGGTCGTTGGGGATTTCGCCGCTGTCGAGCGGGCAGCCGATGAGGAAGGCGATAAGGCGAGGAGTGAGATATCGGGCGATCACCTCATCGGTCGTGGAGCGAGGGTGAGGTTTGAGCAAAATGGAGCGGATACAGCCGGCGGCCACGGTGGCTAGACCGATATCCTGGAGACAGTCGAGGAGCTCGTTTAGAACGCGGACGATGACTGGGTCGTTGGATGGGATGACATGTCCGCCCGCCGTGAGGAGGAACGTGATGGCCAGGAGGGTGTTCTTGGCGCAGGGGAGAGATGTTTCGGACTCCCGGCGTTGGGCGATGGTGAGGATGGTCAAGAAGCGGGTGAGGCACCCACGAATCTGGAAGGACACCACGTCGAGGTCCTCGGGCTGGTCCTGCGCATGGGTGATACCGTGGACGAATTGCCGGAAGATCGGGAGAGCCTGAGGCACGACTGCAGACTGACATATGCCCGTAGCAAGAATGGTAGTGAATATATGCAAGATGCAAGCATGGAGGTCGTTGCGGATGATGGACGGGAAGACCGATGCCACCTCGACGAGGGAACTGAGTGCCAGGCGAATGAGAGTCAGAGAGTCATCTGACGTGACATGGAATCGCGCGAGGGGGTTTGACTCGCGAAGATTGGGCAGCATCCCTGCAAGGACAAGGATGATGCTTCTGGTGAGCTCGAAGAGTTGTTCAATGTCATCGGAAAGATGGTCGCCTCGTTCCTGGTCGCCCTTGGCCGCGGGGTGATCCAGCGAGAGATTCTGCGCGATATCGACAATGACAGATTGGATGGGAGTGCCTTCGGTCAGAACAAGCCGGTCGAAAGTGTCCATGGTTTCCGAGAAGATGGCGTCTTGGTAGATGGCATTGCCAGAGATGACAGGCCGGAGGATTCTCTTGAGAGCCAGGAGAATAGCCATTCGTTGGGCGGGGAGAGTTGCTTGATCGACCAGAGACTCAAACGCCAGGCCGAACAAAACGAAAAAGAAAGCAACTGGCTCTTCGCGGTAATTGATATCGTGTCCCTTTCCTTCTGGCTTGCCGTTGGTGATCTCCTTCTCTTGCTTCTCTTCTTTTTCTTTCCCATCTGCTTCTTCATTCTCCTCCTCCACTTCCTCTTTCTCCACTTCCTCCTCCTCCGTCCCCTCCTCGGTGTCTTCTTTCTTCATCTCTTCACTCTCAGTCTCCTCCTCCACTTCCTCTTCCTTCATCTCCTTCTTTTCCGTCTCCATCTCCTTCTCCTTCTCTTCCTCCTCCGTTTCACTATGCTCTTCAGTCAGCTGCAGCTTACCATCCAAGGCATCAAAGACAAAATCAATATCCTTCTCAACCAAGCCCGCGATTGCATCAACGAGGTATAACCACGAATCCTGGTAAAATTTCAACAGAGTTTCCCGGTTCAGCGCGGCGTAAACCTCGTCTAGATTGCCACTCTGTGGACTGGTGCCCAGACTTCCAGAAATATCCGGCTCAAAGCGCAGTCTGGCAAATTCCTGCAAAGAGGAAAGCCACAAGGGAGTAAGTTTGGCAAGATACGGTTGGACCACCCGGTTCAAATACTCTTGCTCAATGCTTGCAATTTGGAGCCGAGCCCACGCAGAGAATAGGGCGAGTTTGACCATCACCCGGGCATTCGAGTTCAGGCCTTTGAGATCACCGATGTCGGTAGTCTCGGGGTTTTCTGTGCAGAATTAGTTAGGCATATTCCGCTCGTATTGGGAATAGAAAAAGCTTACTGGCGAAATTCTCCAGGCCAAGGACCAGGAGTCTGAGAATTCTTCCCATGCGATCAACGTTTGTGACTATGCCCGTAGCGATGAATGTGGCAGAGACATTGATCGCTTCAGAAGCGAGTTCCGCTGACGAATCAGCGGCAAAGGCAGGAGTAAGAGCTGATCCGATCTGAGCTTGGTACTGCTCGAGGAGGGATGCCTCCGAGAAATCCGGATCGGGGGTTTTGCCGAACATGGTAAGAACTTGGTCGATAATCTTCAAACCCCATACTCGCAGCTCGATGACGTTGGCAGTGGACGCCGAGAATGCCATGCGGATGATGTCTCCTACTTTCGACTGCAGCGCGAGCTCAGCCGGAATGGTTTGGTCTGGAAGGATGGCCTCTTGCACTGTTGCCAGTAGCCCAGAGAGACAGCTCATGGCAAAGTTGCGGGTCTGCCACTTGAGCAATTCCTGGCCGGAGGCGCCATCGCCGGTCGAATCACCCTGTCCTTCTGCAACGGCAAATCCCGCGACCTCGTCATCTGGGATATCGGCAGCTGGGACAGCCGTGGTTGCGGTGGCCTCCCCCTTGTGGCGCGTTCTGGTCATAATATGTTGGCATCGTTGGATCCACAGCTCAGTTTCGGTGAGGGAAGTCTGCTGTAGCCAGTCTTGAATCATTGTCTTGAGAGACAGGTTATCCGGGGCATCATCAAACGCCAGCCAGATATCATCCTCGAGAGTTTCGGTTGCTGTCCGTACAACAGACGCCGCATCTCGTTTCATGAGGTTGTTCAGTCCGCGGACTGCCACGGCTCGCATCAAGGGGTCGCTAGCGCACAGCTCGCTTTGGAGTCGGTGGACATAGCCGGAGAAGTCCACGAAGTTGGAGGCGTACAGAGAGAAGTGGTCCAAACACTTGGAGCTCTCGGTAACCAAAGCAGGGTTGTCCTCCAGTTGAAACTGGCGGAGAAGAGTAAGGATAAGGTTCCTCGTCTTTGCAATATCTTGGAGGTCTGGTCCAAGAACATTGATTAAGGAATCCACACATCGGCTGATCACCACGGGCGTCAGGAAGGACATTTCGACGTTGGAAGTCGCCAACGCAGCCGCTTCTTCGTTATGGCTATCGGCATTGTAAAGTTGTGCGAGCATTCCCAGGGAGCTGGAAACAAACGGTGAGAAAGTCAAGCCGGCAGAATTGGCAACTCTTTCCAACCCGCCAAGTGCCCAAAAATGAACGACGGGGTGAGGGTCATTGCAGAGTGACATCAACACGCCGACAATGGTCTTGAGGTGCAGACCAGCTGCCATACCGCCGACTTGAGAATGGATACACCCCAAAGCGGAGGCGCAGCCCGCACGGGCGTTTGGTTCTCGATTGTCGACAATAGTGTCCACAAGCCATTTGACCTGGGTATTCGTGCAGGCATTTCCAGCACTATCGCAGAGCCGTCCCAATGCCTCAACGCCAATCGTGCGGACAATAGGATCGACATCAGTGACAAATTTCTGTGGAAGAGTAAGTTTCCAATTCTGCTTGAAAGCATCACCATCACTAAGACAGAACCACTGACCTGTAAAAGCTCCTGCAAAATCTTATCCGTAGAAGTACTCAACTTGCCAGCCGAAAAATCCGTCTCCTTAACCGCAACCTTAAGGGCAAGCAAAAGAGCCACAGAAATATTGACAGCCAACGCTGCCTTTCTACCAGGGTTTCGCTGCAATGCCGGAGAACTGAGAAAGGTGGCGATTTGTTCGACGCTGCTCTCTTGGATCTTGGGAGAGTGGAGCGCGACTGCGACAGAGAACAGCTCGATGGCTGAGTTGACGACTCCTGTCGTGGGCGGATCGGCAGAGAGGGTATCCTCCGCTCGCAGACTGTAAAGAAGGACGGCGTCGTGTTCGCTGGCTTGGCAGACGGGGAATGTCAACTGAAATGATGTTAGGTCTCTAATCACTTCGATGGGAAAGAAGGGGCACTCACAGCATCATCCACACCGTCATCTGCAGAGTCAACGGCAGACCACGCCGGTCCGTGGTCTTTGCCATTTGTGCCAGACAAGGTAATACGAATATACTCTCTGGCCAGTCCAGTGACGCCAAAGCCATAATTATCGCAAAGATCCCACAGTCCATCAAATTGGCCCGTCGAGCCGGCAATTGAGCTTTCCAGCGGCCGGTACTGAGCATCGGGGTCGGCGAAGGACGAGACAGCAAGACTGAGCAGCCTGGACTGAGAGATTATGTCTCCGTGACTGGGATGATGCACATGCACGAGCTTTGAGAAACACTGTAGCACTCGGCGGCGCACCATGGTCGTGAAATCGTGCAGCTGCAAGGAAGGGTGCAGTCGCTGTGAGATATCTTCCACGGACTTGGGCCGCGGCAGATCGTCCAAGAAGTCAACGGTGTTCTGGAGCATGGTTGCTATTCTCTTGGCACCGTCGGCGGTGATCAATTTGCTGTTGAATTCCATGAAGACCAGCAGTGAACTCATGGCGCATTCTCGGACGTGTGCGAGGAAGCTTGTCTCGAGGGTTCCGCGTTTAGCGGCATTTTCTTTGCTGAGGTGTATTGGGAGAGCATTCTTCCAAAGCAGCATCAGCTGGGACAAATGGATTTTGACGAAACTGGGTCCGAGGGGCATCAATCCGCCGATCAGGATCCACGCCACCTGGATTTGTGTGCTTGCGACTCGCAGCTCAGATGTGCTGCTCGTTTTCAGGAGATCGGTTGCCTGGGAGAATATGCGCGCGAAGACATCCACGGAGCCATAGAGCGGTTGCAGGCGAGAGGTGCTCAGCATGGCTGACAGACCATTCGCGAAACCAACACAGCGTCGAGGTGATTGTCGAGGTGTCGCGAGCTGGCCGAGCTCTCTCGTCAAGCTGTTCATGCTGATGGTCACGCATGACAGAAACTGGTGGGGGCATGCAAGGACGAAACTACGCAGGCAGTGCGCTGTATGCACTTGTACCGTATAGCTGGGATGGGAGAGTATTTGAATCAAAGCATCTCGGCAACCGTCAGCATGCACACCGAAAGCTGAGCCAAGAGATGAGATGAAAGCCGACAAGGCGCTGACGGCGCTTGTCAATGTGTACTTGCTCGGCTCGCGACGCTCCTGCATGACTTGTGGGTAGTCCTTGAGAATATCATTAATGAGCCACTTGGCAGCGTTAAGCTGGCTGTTCTCGCGCAGCAGTTCTCGACCAATGGTGTCTTCGAGAATGCTCTTGACGAACTTGCGGGTCATCAAAAGACGGAACCGGTTGTATGTCACAGTCGGGTGATTCAGCAGTTCGACAAGCAGGTTGGCCGCAATCTGTCCATAGCGTTCTTCAACAACTTTGTCACCCAAGTTCCGCACGACGTATTTGTAGCAGATGCAGATGCCCGCGCGTGCACGGTTGGAGGTCGTACTCCGCACATAGTGCGATGAAAGCTGGCGCAACAAGTCCGGCAGTAAAAAGTAGAGTCGCGACTCTGATTTCTTCGGGGCAGAGGAAGATTCGGACACCTCGGCTTCCTCCTCATCGCCGGGGCGCGCCTGAGACTTCTTGGACACCTTTTTAGACTTCTTCGATTTGGACTTCGGGGCCGCCGTTATATGCGCATCCGTCGCATGTAATTTCACCAATGCCCGACCAAGACAGGCAGCCGTGGCGTGTCGAACCGGAGCCGCGGGGCTGTCAATGACCTTCCAGACCAGGGTTTTCAGATTGTCAAAGTCATTCGCATTATCGAAGTAGGGATTCGTGTTGAGCAATTGCTCCAGGCAGCGACAGGCATGGACCTGGACGAAAGTCGACTTGTCGCTGGTCGCCGCATTGCGCGCCTGTTTCCAAATGTCCCGCGCGGTCGACTCGTCGAGCGGAACGCCAACGCCCACGACGATCTTGCGCAACACCGCAAAAATAACCCCGCGAAGACCGGTATGGTTACTGGCCGACTTGAGCAGCTTGATCATGCTCGAGCTAGCCACGCTTGACTGCATGAAGGCACTCCCGCCCGCGACGGCAAAGATCTCGCCGAGACAATGCGCGGCCGCGAACTTGGTCTTCAGCTCCGCCTCACTTTTGCTAGCATTGACGAGCCCGAGAAGGTCGGTCACGGTCTCAAAGAGGATCCCACGATCCCCTTTCCCCAGAATGGCGCCAAAGCATCGTCCCAGGTTATTGCGGAGCACGCGCGTGAGGGTGGGGGAGGGCAGGGTCAAGATCTTGAACAATTCCTTTTTCAGGTCTTTCTGCTGCGACGAGACCTGCGCTGTGTCTAGGCCGGAGATGTATTGTACCAGGTCGGAGGTGAAGGTGAGCATATAAAGATCCTGCTGTTCGGAGGGGAGCGCATGCAGCTTGGCCACGTCCAGCTCCGGGGCCGCATTTTCGGGGTGTGGGGGTTGTTCGGGGGGAGCAGTGGGCGTTGCGGGCGCAGGAGATGCTGGGGTCGAGTTCGGTGCAGACATGGCGAGGTAAAGAAGGGAGGGCAAACCAATTCGTTGCCCCTCCGAGTGAGTGAGTGCGTAGGTGACAGCATCATCAACAACAGACCAACTCCTTATCGTGTGGGACGGGCCTGCGGAGGCCGGAGAAAGTGCCGGCCCGGGGAATGTATAAGGCCGGGTTGGGCCAGACCTTTTCCTCAAACCATGGCCATCCGGCTGAACAGGCTGCTGCGACAGCCATACAACAGTGGCTGTGGTAGACGCTTCAGCACATCTGCTGGACTCTTTGCCGGACACAGCAAGTGGTCCACCATCAAGCATGACAAGGCCAAGAACGACAAGGCCAAGAGCAAAGAGCGCCAGCTGGTGAGCAAAGAGATCCGCAATGCCACCCAGTGTATGCACGCTCTTCCCCCACTGATAGTATTTCGGTTCATCATGGCTAACCACTTATTAGTATGGGGCCCCGACCCCAAATTCAACCCCCGTCTCACGCTCGCCCTCTCCAACGCCAAACGCGCATCCATCCCCAAAACCGTGATCGAGGCCGCCATTGCCCGCGGCCAGGGCCTAAGCGTGACAGGACAAGCATTGGAGTCCATCACTATTGAAGCCATTCTCCCCGGATCCGTGGCAGCGGTCATCGAGTGCCAGACAGACCAGAAGGCGCGCGTGCTGCAGGATCTCCGGTTTCTGATCAAGGATAACGGCGGCAGTATCGCGCCGACGACATACTTGTTTGAAAAGAAAGGGAGGGTGGTGATGGAGAAGAAAGACCGTGTTGATGTGGATAATTACCTGGACCAGGCGATTGAGGCCGGCGCGGCGGATCTGACGGCCGATGAACAGGGTCGTTTGGTGGTCTTCACGGATCCGTCGGAGACAAAGGGTGTGGGCGAGAGGTTTTCCAAGCTTTCTGGGTTGGAGATTGAGGAGATTGAGATTATCTGGGATCCGAATCAGGATGGATTGGTCAAGGAGGTGGGTGAGGAGCATGCGAAGACTCTGGATTATCTCTTGACTGCTTTGCGCGAGGATCCCAGTGTGCAGGAGATTTACTTGAACCCTCCTGATATTCTTTGATCAGGATAGACTCGGACGATGTGAAACTGGACTGCCCCTGTCTGAGGGCGGATGTACAACATTGGATACATATACCCACGGCGTTCATGGCAAAGGAAGAATCGGATAAATAGAGAATTAAAGTAGATATCAAGCGTACTCCATATTCATTCACTCCTTCCGTAACGCCTTCATCGTGCTCCTCATCAACTCACTCGTGCCCCGGCATCCAACCGCCTCCAGCCAGTCAAGCATCTGCACCCGATATTCCTGCCAAGTGACCTTCGCCCCGCCGTCTTTCTCAAGTGCCTGCAAGAACTTCTGAGTAACCGGTTTCCGCAGTCGGGGGCGATCGTCCCCGATATTTTGGTCATTCTCGATGTCCGCAAAGCATGCCGCGGAGAAATTGCACAGCGCGGCGTGGTAGCTGATTGAGAAGATGGATGTGACGGTGGACTGAAAGGCGCTTTCTCGGTCGTATCGTCTGGATGCTTCGTTGGACACTCGGAGGTACTCTGTGAGTGCAGCGATTGATTTTGCGGGTATCAGACAGCCCAGCGCATTGGGGTCGTCTTTGTTCAGGGCGCGGTTGCGCCAGACCAGATTGCACATGTCCATCACGTAGCCGTTGAACTGGCCGACCAGCTCATTGGGGTACAGGGGATCTGGTGGGTTGGGAGGTTGAAGGAATTTGGAGCTCAAGGAAGTCTCAAAGGCGGATTTGTAGCCTGCTAGGATGGAATTGAGCATGGAGAGAAAGGAGGCGGATGAGGTGAAAGCGAGGGTGTAGACAGTCGGTGAGAGCGGGATCGTGAGTCGAATGTGCGCGTTCTCTGAGGCGTACGAGAACAGCTCTGCTAAGACTTTGTAGAACTGAAGCACAGAGAGTGTCCCGGGTTTGGTCTGGTTGCCGTCGGCCACAGCAGGTAGAAACTCGAGCATGGATGAGGCCAGCAGTCCTGCGTGCACAATCAAACGGCTCAGAGGGACTGACTCTTCGGAGACAGAGGGCTGCAGCTGCAGTTTGACGCCCCATTGACTGATCAGAGCGGAATAAAAGTCCAGCAAGGCCGTTCTGGATGCAAGTGTGCCATCCAGCACGGCGGCCTCCGTAGGTGACAGTAATTCCTCTTGCAAGGACTCGAAGGACTCCACGGGGAGATACTCAAGGAGTCGAAGGATATGTTCACGGTTATCTTTGCCGTTCCAGATCGTAAGATATGACTTTAAAAAAGAACGGACGGAGACCGGGAGTTCCTGTGATATTCAGCATCTTGAATCCATAATACCACGAACGATCTTACCTTCGTGTACGAAGCATATCCCACCACAAAATCCAAGACATAGGATAATGTCTCCGGCTCGTCATCCACATCCTCCCGAAGCTGTTCCAGCTTATCCTCCAAAAAGCTCCTCAACCACTCATCCAAGCGACGATGTGCCGCTTCCGGCTGAACCAGGAACAAATACTTCTGAGCAATGGCATCACCAAGCGTCGAAATGATCTGATTCGGAAGCTCGATCCTGTCAATTTTCTCGACGAAGTGACCGATATCACGAATCTCTTCCAGCGAGGTATGTTTCGGCGGCACGCGAGACGTCTGCAGGGTCGGGATCACCACTTCGATCTTGCTCCTCTTCACCGTGCCTCGATGAACGACCTGAAACAGTCGGTCATTGCCAGCCTGCGCCGCCCGTTCTGCATTCTGATCATGAAGGTTCTTCGCGTGGCTCGACCACTCCGGGTCTGGGTGCTTGAAAATCAACCCCATTCTTCTGGTCAATCCCAGATCCCCGACAATGATCTCGGGGTAATAGTTCTTGAAGATCCTCAGCAGACTAACGAGCTCTTTTTCCTCGCTCCCTCCCGCCCGAAGCAGCTCCATCAAAGCTTGGATGCGAAACGGCTTGACGTGTTTCCGCCGCGTGATCAACGATAGCAGATGACACAGGGGCTTCCGTAGACTGATCATATCGAGATGATTGAAGAGCACTGCATATAGCTTGGCAAGATGCGCCCTGTCTTCGAGCAGATCATACGCCAGAATCAGCCAGCGCAGCAGCAGCGCCTGCGTCGCGGCGCTGGGCTTGTTCTTGCTTGGTCCCAGACAACAAACCACCTGCGTGATCAGCTTGGACGCAATCTTCTCTTGCGGATATAGATTCTTAACCAGGGTGGTGACCGTGCCTTGGTCCAGACTGTTTTTCGTCGTGAGGATCTTCAATAGCCGGGCCAGCGTGGTCGGTGGAATACCGTTCTCGTACGCGTCCGAGGCAATTGTCTTAGCTAAGTCGCTGGCATCTGTGTATCTTTGCTTGACGGGCAGAAACGCAACTGTCAAAAGGTCAGTTGACGCGAGACCACGGGCTCGTCTGTGGTCTGGTCTTACCGGCTTCCAGGTGTTCGACCGCGTCCAGCAGCCGAACTGACAGGCGGGTGTTCCCTGCGGCCATCAGCGATTATCCAGGAACTTAAAGCGTCCACTGAAACATACCCGGATTTTCCATCGCGCCGTCTATCCCAGTCTAGGCACTGGGGGATCGGGGCTGGTGATCAGGCCTCGGGAATACGCGTTGGGGTTCCCGTTCAAAAACAAATATCCGCGCCCCAACACGGAATTCGTCAATAACTCGATATTATTATTATTATCTCAGGGCAACAAATCATCGACATTCGAGCTTGGATGAAAGTCGGTCCAAGTCGTGGAACGTGCGCGCAACGGGAAGAAATGGCCTTAAACCCAATCAGGAAATCAACAACAATGTACAACTATTTGCGCGAACGGATTCTTATTCTCGACCAAAATAATCATGTCTAGATTCAACTATGCTTCTGGCCACATCGCCAATTCCCCAAGTAATGACTGCCAATACAAGGAATCCCAGCTCGGTCTAAACTACTTCAACACTCATTCATTTCCTCTTCCGGGTCGACGCCTTGGACGAGCTGGGCTGGGCGGCCGACGTCTGAGCAGTCACCTCGGGCGACTTGTCGGTCTTAGCAGCTGTGGGCGCAGACTCGTCCTCCTCGTCGCTCTCACCACCCTGTCCGAACTCGTTGACGCGCGTATAGTCTACCTTGTACTTCCAGCTCTGGTACACCCAGACAAAGAAGATGACGTCGTCGCGCAGGGTGGCCAGGCGGTGCAGCCAGGGCATCTTGACCGTGAAGGCGAAGAGGTCATCGATGAAGGTGTTGAGGAACTTGTACGTCAGGGCCTTGCCGGGCAAGTGGGCAACGGACTGGAACATGAATTAGTGAATATTCGCGGCTGCCGGGACAAGGAGACTCACCTTCAAGCGATAGTTGATATACAAACTGGGAACCATCATGAGGAATCCGTAAGCGTAGACACTGCCCACGAGCGTCTGAATGATGTACGAGTACCACGACTTGTGGGTGTTGTAGATCAGGCTGTACGCGGCATAGGCGGCCAGCAGGGGCACGGCGAGGATGTATAGATAGCGGAAAGCGATCTCGTCATACTCCTTGGTCTTCTCCTCGGTCTCCGAGAGCTTGTGCTTGTCCTCAAAGACAATAACATACGGCAAGAACGAAAAGAAGGACCCGGCGGGCGGTGGACGAACACGAACGTCGACCGTCTTGGTGATCTTCCAGGCTTCCAGTAGAATACCGAATCCCTGACTGGCGAGAATCATCCATGAGGTGTTCTCACTGTTGTCCATCAGATAGAGGAAGATGACGGCCTGCATGAAGACATTGGCCAGGATCGTTCGGACCGAAGTGCCGACAATGTCCTTCTTCTTGCGCCAGTGAGCCTATAATCGGGTCAGTAATTGCCGCTCACATTCAAAGGGGTAGAACTGACGATATCGTTCTTGAAAGCCAGAGTCTCGAACAACATATGCAGAATAGTGACCACACCAGTGGTACCCAGGAGGTAAATGTTTGTGTCCAGGAGAATCTCCTTGACCATCTCCCACTCGGTTCCATCGCCACCACCAGGCGCAGAGCCGCCGTACGCGGCCTGGCGAGCACTTTGCTTGGCACCTTCATCAATACTAGTGATGATGCTGAACTTCCAGTTTGCCATGTTGTTGAGAGTGATGCGCAGCGGGACCGTTTCGACCGTCGAGTTCAATTCCGTCATGTGGGTTTTCAGCTGCCAGAAGGTGTTCAGGAACACAATCGGGTAGTACCAGCCGTTTTGGCCGCTCAGATCCCGGGCACCACTTCGTTCGAGTTGCACATACTGGCGGACTGCCGGCTGTATCTGGGCGAATTTCTGGGTTCCGGAATCGGGGATGATAGAGACGGTGAAGTTAGGATGATAGTACGACACGGTCTGCACATCCGGGGTGGAATCTTCCTCCTCTTCCACCTCGGTTCCGTCACTGGACAGGAGGTTCTTCAGCTTCTTGGCCTTCTTTTTGGGAAGGTACTGGTTCAGCGGGCGCTGGAAGTGGACGGCATTCTCGGGGCTGTAACCCTTGGCGGCGGGATCGAGTTGGTAACCCGTCTGAGCGACAAAGAAGTGCGCCCAGAGGGTTCCATTCTGCTGGACCTGCTTCGGAACTTTAATGATCGTATCGATCTCCCGGCTGTCGCTGTAGTTGCCAATTGTGAAGTTCTTCTCGCTCAGGACCAGCTCGGCCGACTTCAGGTTCGGAATCACGGGAGACGGCGCCACATAGATACTGATATCGAGGGCGCTGTTGGACGGCCAGATTGGGGCGATGAGATTGGGGATGGCGCTGTAGTCAGAGACCTGGCTGGGGTCGGGACGGTCAACAAAGGCGGGTATGTTGCCCGGCTTGACGTCGGAAGCAGCATCTTGCTTGTTGCCAAAAAACCGGCCGATGACGAATTGCACTAGCAGAAAGATTCCCAGGCCTTGGAGGGCAGCCTTGAAGCCGGACTATAGTTTACGCCGTCAGCAACCCCGCGACAGTAAGACGCGATTGATTCCACACGTACATTGGCCTCGGGCTCATCCCTGCGTTGGCGCTGCTCGGGCATGATGGATAATAAAGTTGGGGGGAAAGGGGAATAGAGAAGGGAAGAGAAGAAAAGAACAGAAAAGAAAGGAGGGACAAGATGGTCACTTCCGTCCGGCCTTGGCACATTTGTTCTCCAACTTTGCTTTCCCCAACTTTCTTAGCTAACCGTTCGAACGAACTACACACTCTCGAGTCCTTCCTTTCTTCTTACCCATACTCCCTATACAATTTCCATCTATCGTCGCAACCGCGATGGGCGCGCCCATACCCCCGACATGACGGACACTCATTCCTCCTCCGACGCCTCCCGCGCGCACTTTCCGTCGCATACCGAGCCGCGAGTCTGGCTGATCACGGCCGGCGACTCGCCCATTGGCATCTCCGTCGCGCGACAGGTGCTTGCGCATGGGGATTCAGTGCTTTTGGGACTCGCGCACTCAATTCTAGACCGCGACGAGCGCCGTCGCGATGGGTTCGAGGCATTTCTCGCCGAGGTGGAGAGGCACCAGAGCGAGGGATGGGGGCAGCGCATGAAGACAGTTCCCCTGGATATCAGGTGCGCATCCCTCCTGACACTTATCGGAACTCTCTAACAGAACCCTCGCACGGCAGGATGATGGGCGAATGCCAAGCTGTCTTCGCGGAAGCTGTTGCGACATTTGGAAGAGTCGATATCCTTCTGTGCTGCACGAGTCAAGGTATACGATACCCGTATACCTTGTTAAAATATATATATATATATATTGACTTCCTCTACAGCTCTCATTGGAACGGTAGAAGAACTTGCTGCGTCGCAGCAGACTCTCAACCTCGTCCGCGATCAATTCGAGATCAATTACTTCGGTCCTCTGAACATCATTAAGGCCGCGCTGCCTCATATGCGCCGAGAACAATCAGGCCATATAATGATCATATCCGGAATTAGTATGATTCCCCTACACTCTATTGGGGGGTTCTTCTAACAATATCAGCGGCGCACATCGGCACCCCAGGATTGGGCATGTACTGCGCAGCAGGCTGGGCTCTCGAAGGATTCTGCGACGTAAGACCTCTTTCTTTCTTTTCTTCCTATAAGCATATCTAATGATATAATCACAGAGCCTCGCATACGAAATTGCTCCTTTCGACGTCAAACTCACCATCTTCCAATGCAGCATCGAAATCGGCATCCTCACCAACCTCGTCACCAGCGTGCCCCCAATCTTCCCAGCCTATTCACCCGCAGGCAACAGTGCGCCTCTCTTCCGCGGGATCCTCAACCATCTGGTCCCGCGTCTCCCAGACGCTCCCGCTACGCAAACAACCACCAAGTCCTCCACCGCCTCGAGTCGGGGAAGTAATGACTCGCAAGAAAACACACGAGTCCACGCCGCAGAGACCGGCCCCTTCTCCGTTCCGGAGATCGTATCCATGCACCCCCCGCTCAGCGGCGCGCATCTCGAAGTCCTCGTCTCTGAAACCGTTTATGCCATCACGGCGATCGGAGGGCATGAGAATCCGCCCTCCCGCCATATTGTCGGGCAAGAAGGTGTTGCGAGCGTCAAGGAGAAACTCAAAACCGTCAGTGAGGAACTGGAGGATTTTATTCAGGCGAGCTTTGCGGTTGATGTGGCTGCGGATGCGGAACCTGTGCCGACGAGAGACGAGGCGATGGGTGGGATGAACGAGGGATTATTCTAGTCATGCTTCATACCTCCTACTACCATATATAATGAATGCCATTTACAATTACGGATAGCTCTTTAGCACATTAATTCCACAAGTTGATCTGAGTAGATGTCAGCACGGGCTAAGACTGAGTGATCATGCTTAACTGTTCCGAAACTGCCATAGTGGATATTTTCAATGTGATTGGTCGCTGCTTTCTATGCTAGCTTCCGATGGCAAAAGGCCTGATGATTCGCTTTTCTTCTCGGCTGTTTATCCTAGACTACTCCCACACCAGAGCTGACATATTAAGGGATCATTGAAGGTAATCGGGATCCTTCTAAAAGCTGACCGGATTTTCGGACGTGATGACCCCGCGTTAGTTCCCTTGTCTAGGGCCGATACGAGTGTGGGTGGGCTAAGCAAGTATAGGATGTATCGACTGCCGCATCGCCACCGGCTGAGTTTGTGAGTACAGCTCGGCACCCCTAGCCATGGCTTACCTGCTGCGAATCCTTTGTGGCGGTTCCCGGTCCTTGTTTACCTATATTACTGCCTCACGTCTGGTCGTCCCTTCAGTCTCTTCACTTCTAGACGCCATTGTATTTTGATGAGCTTAGCGGATCAACATGTCGAGCGAACGGTATGGCATGGTACGTGAAGCTACCGTATACATACTTCGACATACGCGAGAAGGAAAAGTGCTAACGCTTGATGAAGATGCTTTGGCATCCAACGCCGCCGGAATCTGATGCTGATTGCCTTGTTGAGTACGATCTTCCGTTGTAAGACTTTGCTTCGATATTTACAATAACGCAGTATTGTCTTTCTCCACGGACTAAACGGCTCCATCGGAAACACTTTCACACAGAACACTGGGCGGATAGGCCGCAGGGCCCATGTGACTTGGCCGAAAGATCTTCTCCAGCATGATCTTACTGCGGACGGCGTTCTTCAAGCAAGGATAATGGGGGTGGGTGCACTCGCCGGCTATTTGGCTTCCATCGGTCTAAGGTCTTATAGTTCGGCTTCGACGCTGATGTCTTCAACTTCTTCGGCCGAGCGGGCCGTGAAACTATCGCCAGCACGGCAGATACCTTCCTGGCAGCTTTAGCTGATATGCGACGGGAAGACTATCAGCGTGAACGTCCGCTTATATTTTTCGGACACAGTTTAGGGGGCTTGATTATCAAGAGAGTAGGTCTTTTCACAGGTCATATTATTCCGTATGTAGAATGCTTACACACTGTTTCTTAAAGGCCCTATCCAAAGCTTGGCACGAAGACGATCCAAGCAGCGGAGACGTGTTCCGCCGAAGGAGACTAACAGCGTCGAGCACGAGAGCAATCATCTTCGCAGGCACACCACATCGCGGCGCAAATGCTGCCCATTTGGCAACATGGGGCACAGCATGGCTGGCTGCGTTTGGAGTTCAGACATCGACTGAGAATATCAGAGAGCTACAGATAGGTGCCAACACAACTCAGATGCTCCGAGATGAATTCTTGATTTTCAGGCGCAGAATACGGGACCAGAGGACGAAGATGACGCCTCCGCGGCCGGATATCACAATATATACTTTCTGCGAAAGTCTTCCTATGCCTATTGGAGGAATAGTAAGTCTGAAAGCCGTGCAAAATGAAGCTACCGCACTTTACTGATTACCTTTTCTCAGATTGTGACTAGGGAGTCTGCAGTCATTGATGGTCAGAATGAAATAGTCGCATCCGTTCTCCAGCGCGACCATCGGACTATGGTAAAATTCGGCAGTCGGGATGAAATAGGATACAAGCAGTTCGTTAGTGCTATGAAGGATGTGATTGATGAAGTGCGAAGGGAGAGAACGTCTTCTAGTACGTTGGTTAGAATCAGGTAGTTCTGGCTAATTGAGCTATAGCTATCTAGTACTGCAATTTTGAGCGTGTTCTGACTCGTTCGATTGGCAGGAAGTCCCCTGTTACCGTATACAATAGCCTCATCCCCTTCGACGCCCGTGAGCTACGGCTCCCTGGCGCAAGGGCATGAATGGGCTCTCAACTCTGGTCTACACCAAGTCAACCAGCAAACTCCCCCGCAACACATTCTTTACCATCGACCATCTGCTTTTCTAGCAGAATACAGCTCTCATCCACCCCAACAACTCGTTCCTTACTTTGCACCGTCAGGAGCTTACCTCTCTTCGCGTGACTCGAGTGAATCTAGTCGATCCCCACAAAGTGTCTCACCGGCCATAGTTTCAGCTTATCAGCCCTACGAACCTTTTTCAGTACATTGGGACTCGGATACAGAGGAAATCGCGAACCTTCTTGTTTCTGGAACAGATCGACGGCTTTCAGCAGTACATAGGACTGATACGGAACACGCAATTACTCTATTTGAACGAGCACTGCACAGATCGCAACAGTCCCGCAAACCTGACCCTCGCCATCAAACAAAAGCTTACTTTGGCATAGCCGACTGCTTCAGTGATCTCAGTGAGAGTCCAAGCCGCAGACTTAATGCTTCCCAAAAGCTTGACTACCACGAAAGGGCTAAAAATGCCTGTCGCGAGGCCTTGCAGCTGGCGCAAGAAAGCGATAGCCCCGGACAGCTCAGGCGGGCGCGGGTATACCAGGCCCGTTTCGCCGCGCAAGAAGTGATTCTCAAAAGCCAACGTGGTCACATAGACTCTGATCAGCTGAGGAGATCAAAAGACGCGGCGGAAACTGCGCTTCGGAACGTTATGTTCGAATTGGAGCGGGATGTGCACAGAGACCATTCACTGTGGGATATAGCAGAAAGAAAATTGCTCCAGCTAGAACACATCAGGGTTTGAAGTTCTTACGAAGAGATAACCATCTTCAGTGTATTAAGAGATATCAATATATCCTAAACTTCTTGTTGTCTGGTCAATGCTTTGCAATCAATAATTCTCATAACGACCAGTGTCCCATGGAACGACGGACGGGCCTGAGAGGACACTTGGCGGTCGTATTCTCTGGCTTGGTGGATCAGCCTCATGATTTGAACGGAGCTCGGCTCCTTCGGACGCAGAATCCGTAGGACTTTTGTGGCTGCGGAAAACAGCGAAGATCCAATTCCTTGACTTCGGCACAGCGAGAGCGATTAAGATGCATATGAAAAAGAAGCCACCAACAGCGATACCGGCAATTGCCCCATTACTGAGCGGTGGAGGATTATGGTGTGATACACCTGCAGGGGTCGTCGAAGTACCAGCACTAGGAGTAGCTGTATTGATAGCGCTGGTGGCATTGGTGGCAGAAGAAGAGGTCTGAAAAGTAGACGACGTAGTTGAGGCTGTCGTATCTGATGGGTTTATGATCCCGGAAAGCACGTCCTCCTTGGAGGGAGAGGGCGCACAGCCAAACCCAGATAGCGGTGTTGGGCCGAGCCAGGACCGAGTGTAGCAGTACGAATATTCGGCGAATGTGCTGTACATCTTGAATTAGATGTGAATTTGCCGTTCATGAGGAGAGCTAGGTACTTGCCATTTTAGAATAGACGAGTTTTCTAGACACGAGTTGTCACAGATACCATTTGAGACATCAGTTGCGGCATAGCAGGTTGTGGGCATCACGCAACTATTAGGATCTTGGCAGCAGAAATGAACACTGTTTACTAAGTTCGAGGCGCATGTCGAGCCTGCAGCGCAAGTAACAGGGGAATCTTAAATGAATTAGACTTCTATATTCTGGAATGGCTTCAGATCAAGAGTAACATACTGGAGCTTCCGTCAACATATCCACAAGTAGCGGCTTCATCCGCCTGGCGCATCAATATTTTGGCAACTAGGGCTGCGTCTGGCGCAGGAGTAATGAGTGGAGGTTCTGCCTGCATGGTGAGACTTCCGGACCTGGGAATATCTTGTGGATGTGCCAAGCTGGGAAGAAGAGCAGACAATGTGGCGCATACTGCAGACATAGCTCTTTTTAAATAGAGCCCTGAATCTCATGTCAGACGCATTATGGGGTATCAGTGAATGCTGAGTCCAAAAGGGACACTCTAATCAAGTGCCAAATACTCTTGTGGCTTTGCGACTGGAAACCTAACGAACCTAGTAGACTTGGTGCATCTAGCCGACTCGCCACCCAAAAAAGCAATAGCGATCCATTTTGACCCTACAGAAGTCTCCGTCGGTCTGAAGTACTAGTTTAAAGAGAAAGGTTCGTCATTCCATTTAGGGGTTATCTTAGTGCCACCCCGCGTGCTGAGGGATGGATTGCAGCTACAGCAGGCACAATGCCACAAGGAAAGCAATTCCTTCACGGAAACAATTCACCGACTGGAAGGCCAAGGTCGCGACCTGAGTCTGGAGCTCGATCGCACCCACCGACGGTTAGACGAGGTCCTTAGTGAATGTTGTCAGTGCCAGGCACGAATTGAGCGACTCTAGGAAGAGCTCAAAGGCCGCCGATCGGGCGACTCGACTCGACCGTGAGCTCGTACCCATAAGGGCGGACGTAGTGGAGGCCATGCAGGTGCTGCAGAAAATCGAGCACAGGGAATCCATAGAGATGTCTTATCAGCAAAGAAATGAATCACACAACCGACGCGGGGTGGAATAGCCGACGGCGAAACAGCGTTGCGCCCGATTTAGCTAGGCGCGATGTCAAGTGATGCACCTGAATCCTCTGATCCTAGCATAGCTGACTTGATCCTAGCCTTGCTCTTTCGCGAGGCAAACCGAGTCATTAAATCGAGTCTTATTTTGGGACAGGGACACTATGAGTTGTTTTGGTGTAGCTTCATGGAGAACTTCCTACGGACGGGATGGTCTCAAGTTCTCTCTTTATTAAGTTATGCCCGCTATAAGAGGGCAGGCATGGCTTTAGGGCATCAACGGACACCCGGGATAATCCAAGAGCAAACACTCTTCGCTTCACTTCTCTGGTCGTAAATCGTCACTGTCGGCCCCCGAATCAATTATTCCTCGTATTCCTCATCCTCATCATCCTTTTCATTATTCTCCTGACTGAGAAACCACGCCTGCCTCACATCCCAGAGACTGCCCATATCCTGATTGTTGCGGTAGCAGCGAAACTCCCGCCAGGAATTCGGGTTTCTGACACCGGACCTGCGTCCGTCGACTTCCAGGATCTTGGTCACCAGAGTGTTCGGGTTGGAGACTTCGCAGACGAGGATCTCGCCTGGTCGATGGGCAGTTGTTTCGTGCGGCTGGGGCAGCTTGGTATGGGATGTCGTGTCTTCTTCTCCTTCATTCTCTTGCTTTGGGGCGTCGCGTTCGGGGTTGCTCTGCTGTTCAGTAGGATCTTCTGCCATCGCTATTTTCTCGTTGGATGATGGGATATCAAGTACGGGCTGCGGTTCGAGTTCTTTCACTGGAGCCGATGCTGGAGGAGAGGTTGGAACGTCCCAGATAGAAGGGTCATCATCGGGTTTCTCCTCTGGCTTTTTCGGATGCTTGGGTGGTCTGCCTCGTTTCCTTTTGGCAGGAGGTTGAGGCTCTGGGGAAGCGGCACGTTTCTCTTGTCCTTCACCATTCGAGGGCTGCTTGTGTGGGTTCGGGCTGAGGACGACAACCGATGCAGGGGCACACTGGTCTTGTGAATTCAAAGCTGTCTCTGTCTCCTTCGCCATAGGTGGTTCGGAAACTGTTGTCGTCTTTGTCTCGGGAGACTGCGGCTCCTGCTGCACACTGGACAGGAAGACACGTTGGCCATCGGGTATCACAAAGGTCAACTTGGAGCCCGTGATTTCAAGGATCTTGAAACGGGTAGTTAGAAAAGTGGCAAAATAGAAGCGAATAGTCCCTGCCCATACCTTGGCCTCCTTCTCCACATGCACTCTTTCCTGATTTCGGCCGAAAACGTTGGAGTACTTCCAGATATCACCCGGTAGAAAGACTCCTTCTTTCACAAGAGTCTCCAGCCTCACGCGCGAGCTTTCCCCAGTCAGTACTTTGTAGTCGACTTTCTGTTTTTGGCCCCAGAACTGCTCAAACTCGCGTTCCTTGAAGGCGTCAAAGTCTCCCTCGGTGCGCTGCTGCCGCGCCTTCTCGGCTTGGCGCAGCCAGCCAGCACCATACCGGCCACTCTGCAGGTCGAGCTGGAACTGCCGAATCCCGTCCCGCCAGTTATTGGAGTATCGGACGAAGGACTGCGGTAGAGGTGCGATCTTAGGGTGTGGGTCTTCGGGTGTGGCCTCGGGTTCGGGGTTTGGGTGCGTGCCTTCTGGCAGCAGAGCCAGGATCTCACGTTTCTCGTCTTCTTCGAGGCAGTTCCATGCCTCGGGGTTTGCTAGGAGTTGCTGAGACATTACTCACATGTTAGTTCCGGTTGTGACCAGTGACTGCAGTACATACCACTAGATCGATGTCGATTAGTTGGGACTTGTTGCTGGTCAACAGCTGTTCCTCGTCCCAGCGGCCGCGGGCAGCCTTGCGCGGCGCACGTTTCGGAGTTCGTTTCGGTGTCCGTTTAGGCGTCGGTTGTGATTTGGCCGGGGTGGTGTCACATCCGACTGGCGACATCGCAGGGTCCTGTTGCTGCGACTGCTCGGCAATACCTTGTTGGGGCGAGGGCTGTGATTTAGCCGGAGATATCTCCATGGCCGACGACATTGCAGGGACCTCCGTCTCTGCAATCTGCGCAGAACGGGCAGCGACACGACTAAGTCATTATTATGGTTAGAATTCCTGTACCTGCGTAACTAGCTCGGAAGCTCACCTGGACCGCCGCGTACTGCCGACAGCCACCGCCTTTCGGCCCATTTGTGGCTGTTTACTGCGTATCTGGCACTTTCCTAGCTTGATTCTTCTCTCCGCTGCCCACGATGGTGAGATCAACGCAGATTGCAAGGCTTGATGGTAAGTGTGGCTTTTTCTGCAATGGAGAGTGAGCGTGTTGTCGCTGACATGAAGGTGTGGGAACAGGCCTGATGCTGGCGGCGTCGGTGGATGATGAGCAGGTGAGAGAGAGGCTTTGCCTGGCAAACACCCACTCTAGGGCCTTTTGAAACTGACTTCCTCGCAGGCCGAGTCAGAGCTGTCGGAAATCAAATCGCAAGCCAAGATGATCTTTCGACGATTGAACCGCAACTCCGCACCCCAGGCCAGTATCGAGTCCAAGCAATACAACCTCCAGTAAGTCCGACTCGCCCTTTTGGATGTCTTGCTCCCATTTCTCACGACAATTGCTACATAGCTACCTGATCAAGGATGACGTCTGCTTCCTGTGCATCTGTGACAGCTCCTATCCACGCAAACTGGCCTTCACCTATCTGGCCGATCTGGCCTCCGAATTCACCACCACCTACACCCCCTCGCAGTATCTTTCCCCGAACCTCCGTCCATATGCCTTCGTCGAGTTCGACACCTTCATCCAGCGCACCAAGAAACTGTACCAGGACAGTCGCGCGTCGCAGAACTTGGACAAGTTGAACGACGAGCTGCGCGATGTTACCAAGGTCATGACCAAGAACATCGAGGATCTCTTGTACCGCGGTGATAGTCTGGAGCGGATGGGTGAGCTGTCGGGTCGGCTGCGCGAGGATAGCAAGAAATACCGACGGGCTGCCGTGCGCATAAATTGGGAGTTGATGCTGAAGCAGGTAAGTTGCAGGTCTGCTCATGATGGTTCTTGCCGTGCTGATATCTAGTCTGCAGTACGGACCTTTCGCCGGCGTCGGGTTTCTCGTGATCATTCTGCTGTGGTGGCGGTTCTTCTGATTTTCTCAGCTGCCCCCTGAACACTCTTGTATGAATGTACGCATAGTTAATATCCCCTGGTGGTTGCAGGACACAATCCACCCCTGTTCAGAAAGCATTCACACCCGCTGTAGTCATGTCGGAAGAGAGGTTCGTATGCATTGCCGTGTGGCTTCATCCCTAGATCTCATCCTCTTCTTCGTCGAAATCATCTTCCTCGCCCATATCATAAAGAATCCGACCACCTTCACCCGGCCCGTTCCCTTGCTGCGCATCGAAGTAAGGCAGCACAACGCCTTCCCTGTCGCGCCTCTGCCGCTCCGTAAGCCGCAATTCAAACGTCGACTCGGGCTCCTCGTCTCCAGCGGCAGGATCTTGCTGCACTGGCGGATTATACAAGACGTTATCGTCAAGCAAAGTCACGACCTCTTTCACGTGCTGTGGTGAGTATCGCGACGCGGGTGGGAGAAGATACCATTCCAAAACACCACGTCCGCTCTTCCGCCGATGTTCCAGCTCTAGCACGATTCCCTCGACAGTGTTGTCGGATCGGCCGAACAGAACGCCGTCTTGTTCTTCATCCAATCCGAAGACGGGTTCGGCGACGCTGCGGTCTCGAGCAGCTTTTTGTGCGAGAATGTGTGAGAATGAGTGGAGGGTGATTATGCTTGTGGCCATGTATGTGAGAAGGGACAAGGGAGAGGGAGAGTAGGGGTGCTGGGGAAAGGGTCCAGGACTATCTAGGTGGTATGTTACCACCAGAGATGTGTCAAGCTGTGCGGTTGCTGACGCAGATGGCGGGGCTAAGAACGAGCTCAAGAAAGAGGGTAGATGGAATCCCGGCTCGAATCGCTTCGAGTTCAGTAGTGGGTTGATGGAGTCGATGAGAATCAGACGGCCTGGCACTAGCGTCAGTTTGGCACCAATGTAATTCAAGACAGGCAACTCACGTCGCGAGGAATTAGATCCAGCTAGTTGCTGTGCCGCACCCACTTCCCTGGCGATTTCGGCCGAACTCTTCCGGCGCGCCGATACGAAAGAATCGACACCCTCGGGCTGTTTCAGCGTCTCAAATGCAACGAGCGTGACATGAACCTTGGAGAGCTGTTCGAGAGTTTCAGCATTTATTCCTTCATAGGGATTGCCACCTGTCTTACCTTGGCACGTCGAATATATTCGCGGATGAGTGGGGTGGCTGGTTGCTGCAGGGAGTCCAGGAGCAGGGTGAGCGGTGACGCCGTGTCTCTCAGACTCAATAACTTCGAGATCAGGAGCAGATTATGCGTGCGGCGATGCGCAAGATTGACCGGAGCCATGGCTGGGCTTGGATGGATGATGAGGATGATGGGTTGGGGAGAAGAAGCTGAAGTGGGGTGGGATTAGGTGGGAGCAAAAAATTCGAGTCGTGGTTAAAGTTGAGGCTCGACGGGACGGGCCGGGCTGCGTCTGCTTGCATTCATGGGTTATTTCTGTCGAAACATGGGATTGAATGCAGTTAATCCATTTGTATCTTCACATGGAGTGAGAGGCAGTGTTTCTATATCCTTTTGAGTGGCGCGTTAGGAGTTCTTCTTCCGCGTGGTGCAGCGCATGTCCCCTACGGCGGTCAATTTCACTGCTCAGATTCAAATTATTCAAATGTCCTCTAAGTAGTGGCTCAGCCTCAGGTAATAAAAACAGGGATGTGATCAAACTTGAGCAGTAATAGCATGAGAGCTGCTGGTTCATTCACCATGTAGTTGTGGGACAGTAGATACATAGTAATGCCTAGCTCTGCAAAGCGCTGGATTCTGCAGAGACTATTCTGTGTGTGAATGACATATTCATTCATCCCTTATATACCAGTGTCAATGCTTCCCTTCCTGTCGGGCAAGGCGGTATGGCCCAGTGTGGGCACCAGCTGCGGTAAACATTGACTGGCTCGCACCCAGCTACGGTGCTTGGCTCCCGGTGCAAATGTAGAGCTATATGGAGCGCCTTGGCTTTTTATGTTACTGGTATGTGGATCGAATCCGGCTACTATCATTCTTCTTTTCTTCTTTTGAGTACTGTTGAAGCAGTTGCCTAATCGGGATGCGAGGGCAGCGGGGGAGTTACAGTATGTAGGATTCGCGAACCCTTCAGGTCATAAATACATCATAGGACAAGTAGCTTTATGCGGCTATTCAAGTCAAGGTCATCTATCAAGAGAGGAGAATATTTCAACATCAATCTTTTTTCGTACTTATCGCCCATAAGTCCTCGCCCATATGCCGTAATATATAATGGAGTAGACATAGTCCAAGTGTTATACATTGACCTAACACAAGTTCAAACACCTCCACTAGTACTCACTCTCCTTCCTTATTTTATTTCACTGGCCATTAATTTGTACTGCTGTGTTTGTCTCGGAAACCAGGTATACCAAACGAGGCCGCCAGTCGCACTGCGCAAGTGGTCCGTCCCGGCCACCGGAATAAACTTCTCTTGCCGCGTGTGACAACGTCTTCAATGTTGAAACCCAAATCTCTATACCCAACCATGACAGTTTCCTGCACTATTGTTTAACAGCCGTCTGCGAACATTTAACTCGAGCAGACTTGCGCCCTAGATTTCTTCTTCCTGCCCAGACCCACGCCCTACCACCCGCGGCCAACGCCTGCGTCTCGGGCATCCTCCCACCATGGCGGAGCCACCAGCAAAACGGCCTCGACGGGTCGACAGCTCTACAATGTGGGAGAAGAACGATATCCAAACACGCTCGACGGAACCAGGCCCTGAACAGGACCGCCAACCTCGACGCTCGCCGCACCCCAGGGAGGCCCGACGCGACGCCCCCCGTGAGGGCCGTCGATACCGCTCGCGCTCACGAGATCGGAAGAACCAAAGGCGAGAAAGAAGCTGGTCTCGCGATCGCCGCGACAATGACCGAGACCGAAGAGATCGTGATGGACGCGGAGGAGGAAGAGACCGCAAGAGGAGCACCAGCCGCGAGCGTGCATACGACAGACGAGGTAGGCAGATTGCCATTGATCCTCACCCGAACATTGTGCTGATACTATTACCCAAAAAGGCCCAGGCAAAGGCGACAAAGTGCGTGACCGCTCACGCTCACGCTCACCCGCTCGGAACGGTACCCGGGCTCGGTCGACGACCCGTACACCTCCTCCTCGGGGATACAAGGGCGACCGCCGTGGCGACCGCAGAGAGCTGCGGTCGCATGAAGATGGACGGCAGGCCAATGGTGCCCCGGCGGGATCCGGTCGGTATAAGGAGGAGATGGAGCTGGACTTCAAGGAGGACGCAGACGAAGACGAGATGGAAACTCTCATGCGCAAGAGTATGGGGTTTACCCGGTTCCGCAGTACTAAGAACACTAAGATCCCTGGGAACGACATCTACGGTGTGCGGAAGGAGAAGAAGATCCAGTACCGCCAGTATATGAACCGCCAGGGTGGTTTCAACCGACCGCTCAGTCCCTCGCGGCAATAGAATTGTCTGGCCACATTGATCCCTTCTATCAATTGTTCAGACTGGTTGGGACTTTTCTGCTTTTTCGACATGATTTTGCATTTGCGGAGCACGGGTTTCCTGGCTTGTTCCTGTCCATTTCTTCTCACCCTTTGTGATATTATTACCAACAACCTTAACGGATTTTGTTTAGCGATACCAACATGTTTTGATCAGATTTCACATCCATTGTAGAATCTATCTGTGCTACAAGTACAATGAAAAGTTGAGGGAGTTCGGCACATGACTGGGCGAACCCCAACTCGCGGTGACGTAGTTGTCTGGAGATTGGAAGACAACACTCGTCGGTTCTTCTACAACTCCATCCTCCCCACCAATCTGGCTTCGCTACGATCCCTCACTTCAAAGTTCGCCCCCAACGTCAAAATGTCGGCGTCTGGAGACCGACGCGAGATCGTCGTCATTGGTAAGTTACGGCATGGCGCGACTCCGGATACCCCGCGGTCTTGCTCTATGAATCGAAACTGATCTCTCCAATATAGGTGGTGGCATCATCGGATGCTGCACCGCATACTATCTGACGCGACACCCATCTTACGACCCTACCCGCCACAAAGTGACTCTCCTCGAAGCCTCCGAGATTGCAGGCGGCGCATCAGGGAAAGCGGGCGGACTTCTTGCCCAATGGGCTTACCCAAGTAGCATCGTTCCACTGAGCTTCAGGCTGCATGCCGAACTCGCCAAGGAGTACGGCGGCAAAGATCGATGGGGATACCGGGAGGTGAATTGCGGGCAGCTTGTTGTTCGCGGTCGCGCGCTCAACGACAAGAAAACCGACGGCGCAAACTCCGAGTCCCTGCAGAAGCGCAGCGCAGCGGCTCTGTCGAAGCTGAAATCAGCTAAGATCCCACAGGACCTAGACTGGGTTGAGCCGGAGCTCTTGCGCGCCTACGAGAGTATGAGTGGCCCGGGCGAGACGGCCCAGGTTCATCCGTACCTCTTCACCACTTCGATGGCGAAGCTGGCCGAGGAGAAGGGCGCGCAGGTTATCCTGGGGCAGGTCACGGATATTGCTCGTTCGAATGATGCCGTGGAATCAGTCACTTACACCGACAAAGCATCAGGCGAAGCACGCACGATCTCTGCCACGGACGTGGTCATCACGGCCGGTCCTTGGACTCGGACGATTCTCCCCGAAGCGCCCATTTCTGCGATGCGCGCCCACAGCGTCGTTATCCGGCCAACAAGACCCATCAGCGCATACACTCTGTTTACGAACATTGAGATCCCCGCCAACTTCGACCCTTCCAAGAAGTCACGACCCACCGTGGCAGCACCGGAGATCTATGCGCGCCCCGACGAGACCGTCTATGCCTGCGGCGACGGCGACCGGACTGTTCCGTTGCCTGACACCTCTGCAGACGTAAAGGTGGACGCGGGGAAGTGCCAGGAGATCGTGGACCAGGTCGGCAGTATCTCAGACGCGTTGCGCGATGGCGAGGTCCGCACACGCCAGGCCTGCTATCTACCCAATGTGGACAGTGGTGGCGGGCCATTGGTCGGTTTGACGGGGGTGAAGGGTCTCTATCTGGCTGCGGGCCATACTTGCTGGGGCATCCAGAATGCCCCTGGTACTGGGAAGGTGATGAGTGAGTTTGTGTTCGATGGCCAGGCCAAGAGTGCGAAGATCGGGTCGCTGGATCCACGAACCTATCTGTAGATAATTATCCGAGTGGTATAATGTATCTATCTGGAAAGACGCCGCATAGGGCAACTCTTGGACCAGGTGGCTGGATCTTGCCTACCCTCTGTTAAGGGAACCTTTCTAGTTAGTGTATTATGAATAATCGTATACTTTCTCCGCCTTGTTCTGTGGTAGTGTAGCATGGATCGCCGTATACCGTCTGTATAGTTCCTCTCGTAGGGGTTGTTGAGCTCGGGCCAGGAGTGGAGCATTTCACATTACGTCTTGGGCAGCCCCAACTCCAAGTCCGACACATGTCCTCAATGCTGAAGGTGATGCCCGAACCATGCATCATCTACGTCTCTCCTTTATCCTCACATCGCTCCTAGTGGCCATTGGTGCCCTGGCAGCTCACGACCCTAACGATGTCTCCGTCCTGATCAAAGAGGCCGCCCGCGCCAACAATGAGTCCCTGCTCTGGGGCCCCTACAAGCCGAACCTCTACTTCGGCGTGCGCCCGCGCATCGGCAACAGTGTCTCCGCGGGCTTGATGTGGGCGAGAATCGATAGTCTCGAGGGCGTGCAACAAAGTATGTTTCCCCCCAAAGCATTGACAAATGGACAGATCAGCTAACATCAGTCCCCGCGCGTAGACTTTCGGCATACCTGCGAACAAAATGAGAACATGGCCGGCTATGGCTGGGATGAATACGATATCCGAAAGGGCGGTCGCGAAACGATCTACGATACCGGCAATGGTGTTGACCTGACTATCGATTTCATCAAGGTGCCTGGCGGCCAGCGTGGAGGGAACTGGGGGTTCCGCGTGAAGGGCACGCCGCGCGAGGATGCGGATCCAGATACACCAATCACAATGGTCTTCTATGCCAGCATGGAAGGACTGGGGCATCTGAGTGCGCAATCGCAGCCCGAGGATGAGCTGGGCTTCCGGGGGGATGTCAAGTTCGAGGGACACTCTCCCGAGCTTGGAGACTTCTCAATTGATGTCACCAAGGGTCCGGAAACGAACAAGCACCCCCGTCATCATCATCCCAGCTATGATGAGAAGCCGCTGGACCGCAGCATCGTGGCGAGTACGGATATTCCGCAGGAGGTTATCTGGGCGGCGAAGAGTAGGTTGTCCACTGTGTGTGCAGATATTCTCGAGTGCTAATTACCCACTAGGGTCTTTATTTATTCAGATCAAGTCGGAGCTTGACCGCTATATCGAGGAATATACCACCGACAACCTGCCTCCTGTAGAGCAACTATTTAGTGTCCCGAACAAGCCCGGACAAAGCAATTTCCACGTTGTCCAGAAGTTCTTCACTGGTCCCTTCGAGTTTGACGTCCTGTTCTCGTCTGCCTCTGCTCCTGAGCCGATGACCTCGGAGAGTATTGACAAGAATCTCGAGAAGACTGCGCTGTCGTTCGCAAAGCGCTTCGACGAGGTTCTTGCACCGCAGGCGCCGTTCAACTCTGCAGAGTACTCGCGATTCTCCAAGGCGATGCTATCCAATCTGGTTGGTGGCATTGGATATTTCCACGGTCAAGACATCGTCGACCGTACCGCGCACCCTGCCTACGACGAGGAGAATGAGGGCTTCTGGGAGGAAACCGAAGAGGCTCGGGTCACAGGTGCTTCAAAGCCAGATCTTGAGGGCCCCAAGGACCTATTCACTTGCGTTCCTTCTCGACCGTTCTTCCCGCGAGGATTTTTGTGGGATGAGGGATTCCACCTGATGCCTGTCATGGAATACGACCCTGATGTCGCGTATGTTCTTCGCAAGTCCATGCGTTTTACCACTGAGGTACTAACACTTTCCCAGACTTGAAATCATTAAGAGTTGGTTCCAGCTGATGGACGAGGATGGGTGGATCGCCCGCGAGCAGATTCTCGGCGCAGAGGCTCGCAGCAAGGTCCCTGCCGAGTTCACCATCCAGTATCCTCACTACGCGAACCCTCCCACGCTCTTTATGACCCTGGAGGCATTCCTGGACAAGGTGACGAGCAACCAAAGCACTCAGTCTGGGTCCATGGATCATACCGACATAGCTGAGAGCCTGCGATCTGCTACTGTCCGCAACAGGGAGCTGGCTCATGCGTATCTCCGTTCATTCTATCCGCTGCTGAAGAAGCACTACTTCTGGTACCGAAAGAACCAGCGCGGAGATGTCACCGCGTATGACCGTGAAGCCTTCTCGACTAAGGAAGCCTACCGATGGCGCGGCCGATCCAAGCAGCACGTCCTAACCTCCGGTCTGGACGATTACCCACGGGCCCAACCACCGCACCCCGGTGAGCTGCATGTAGATCTGATCAGTTGGGTGGGCATGATGACCCGCACAATGCGCCGCATTGCGGAGACCTTGGGTGAAGAAGAAGACGCCAAGGAATTCGAGTACTACGAGATGGCCATCACGCGCAACATCGACGACCTGCACTGGGACGACAGGCACAAGACCTACTGCGATGCCACGATTGATGACTTCGAGGAGGACGCGCATGTCTGCCACAAGGGCTATATCTCCCTCTTCCCCTTCCTGACCGGCATGTTGGCGCCGGACAACTTCCGACTCAAGCACGTCTTGGATCTCATCCAGGATCCCGAGGAACTCTGGAGCGACTACGGTATCCGCAGTCTGAGCAAGAAGGATAAGTTCTACGGTACAGAGGAGAACTATTGGAGGAGTCCAATCTGGGTGAACATTAACTATTTGGTGCTGAAGAGTCTCTATGTGCGTACCCCCTCCTTTCCTTTACTTTTGATGACAAAACTAATGCTGTCATAGAACACTGCAACCGTCTCCGGTCCTCACCAGGACCAGGCCCGGAAGATGTACTCGCAATTGCGCAAGAACCTGGTCGAGAATGTCTTCCGGGAATGGAAGAAGACGGGGTTCGCTTGGGAGCAGTATAACCCCGAGACGGGCAACGGACAGCGCACGCAGCACTTTACCGGCTGGACCAGTATGGTGGTGAACATGATGGCCATGCCGGATCTTTCTGGCGGTGCTGAGACTGGTCACGACGAGCTGTAGGGCCCTGGGGGAGTGAGTGTCCTCGATATACAGTTTGATCTCTCGTCACATAGCGTAGAATTGATGATCTCTGATTAAACCGTGGCATGACGCTTTTCCGAAAAAGTTCGTAGCAATAATCGTTAAAATGGATGGGAATTAACGTCGGCGGTCGCCATTCTCTCGCTTCTCCCTTCGCTCATGGTGCCGACGGCGTTCACCAGGCGAGTAAGAGCGGTCCATCCGACGGCTTCTGTGATCTTCTTTCCTGGCATGGGGACTCCTAGACCGTGAGCGAGATCGCCGCCTGTGTCGATCTGGGTCTCTGCCACGAGACCTCGATCTCCGGCTACGGTGATACCGGTCCTCATCCTTGTCGCGACGCCTCCGATGCCTGCGCTCTTTATCCCGACCTCTCCCATCGCGACTGCGGTCTCTCCGTCCATCCCGCCGAGGACTCCGACTGCGACGTCTTTTCCTCTCTTCTGACCTTTCTCCTTCTCCCTCTTTGGGCGGTCCACCCAGCGGCACCATATTCGCATTACCCCCCTCGGCCGTTGGAGGCAGCGGAAGTCCCAGCGCGCGCGCCATGGCCTCCTCCTCGGCCTTCTTGACCTGCTCGCGCTCCTCGCGCTCCTTTCGGATGCGTTCTTCTTCGTCGTCTACATCGCCCTTGGCGTACCACTGTAGATCGCGACCCTGCTGCCACCGCCCGACAGGGGCCATCAACGAGTGGCCCAGGTAGTTCTCGCGGTGGGTGGAGTCCTTGACATCGGACCATTTGAACTCGTTGCGGCCGCCACTAATACAGTTAGTTTAGCAGATGGACGTCGTTTTAAATATGTTACCTACCGGCTGCCTTCCTTGCGGACACCCGCGACCAGATCCATGCTGATATTGATGCTGCCGCTGCTGATGACGATGAAAGTCAAGTAAAATAAAGTGAGGCTGGCACACGTCGAGTCCGGCTCGTGTGGGGAACAGACAAGGCGGTGAACCGCAGCATAAGTACGGCCCCGCCAAAACCCATTGGCACCCATTCACTTCATGGCCTGACATGGCATGTTTCTATGACTTTCGGACAGTCAAAGTACTACGGTGGTTGGCAATGACATCCTCTTCTCTGTCCTGCTGCTCCCAGTCCGCTGCTTCACGCCTGACGGTCTTCCTACGTACTGAGCTCAGTGATAGCGGCAGATCATGGAGTCCCTCACTCTCGGCGGTGCGATGAAGGTCGTTCCAGAGGTGAGAAGGGTGACACGGCCGCAGCTTGAGGCTTTGAATGTGGAGAAAAAGGAACAGCGGGTATGTTTTTACGGGAATGTTGATGTAGTTACTTGGAGCATGAGCTGACTTGACTATAGTTTCCACGGTAGGTCCGACGTCATCGAACACGCGACAGCTGAACTGATGGTTTTGGAAGGCGAGATGACACAAACGGTCCAACTATAGCCACTTGGAGAAGCAATCTGGTAGGTGGAACCTAGTCAACACCAAACGCAATTGATACGGGGCCGGCGAGCTGACATTCCTGCAAGGCGGCTCTTTCGCAACGGCGAAATCTGCTTTTCGTGGCATATGGCTGTGACATCTACGTCTGGGTACCGACTGGCCCGGGGCAGCTATTGGGAGCGCAAGCCGAGATGGTCATCACTCCCGTGATGAAAGAGTCCCAAGCCAGCGGGTACATCGATCCTTCGAACCCCCATACAATCAACAACATTCTCGTGGACGATTTGGGTCTCGATGAAGTTCTGCTGCTGGTGACGGACTCGGGCAATGTGTGCGGCTACCAGGTGGAAGCGATCTTCTCGGCAATCAATCGCTGCACGAAGAACAACTACACGCGTCCCTACGACGGTGCCGAAGCCAGCCCCTTCTTCGTCGAGCACGTTGGCAGAAGTGCTTGGGGCTTGGCGACTCACAAATTTGCGCGGCTGATTGCCGTGAGCTCCAACACGGGTCTGATCACCGTCTTTGCATTCGCGCTTGTGGATCCCACTTCCGGAGACGACGTGCGCCACCCACAACAGGACTTGGAAATGGATGAGCAAGAGCAGACCTGGGTGCTCATAGAGACTAGTAAGAAGCTGCGGCAGCTGCAGAAGCTCATGCCCAACCACCGGTCTCGCAATCTCCGACTCACCTACTCCGGCCACCATGATAACATCCCCTGCATATCCTTTGCGAATTTCGATCTCGACCCCAATGGCATGTGGATGGTCAGCACCGATATCAGCAACCGGGTCCTTGTGTGGAGAATCTGGGACGAGACCGGACCAGTCCAGTGGTATTATCCCGGAGATCCATTGAACGAGCCCCGGCAAATGGGCTGGTCGGTGCTACCTCTCGACCCACGAACGTTTCGATGGCATCATTCTGCAGAAGAGGCATGTGGCTGTGAGCCGGAGCAGTTGGGAATGGAAGGCCGTATTGTGCTGGATGTACAAAAGGCGCTTCGCGGGATCCCGGATTCCTCGCAGATGTTTCTGTTCGGCGTCTCCACGGAGAAACACGTCCCGCCGGAGCTCCTGCCTGACGATCTGTTGTCTGCTGATTGCTGCGTGAATGACAAGCGTCGACCGTGCTTGTCAGATGAGGACCTTTCATCTTCGCCGTCTTCGAGCCAAGTCGAAGACGAAGAACCGTTTCATGGGCCCAGGGAATGGCCCGAAGATGAACAGAGCGATTTTAATCGCCGCGTGGTCCGCGTAGAACAGCCCTTTGCCGACATCTTCCCAGAAGACAACGAGCACTTGAGAGTGCCGCCGTTTCTCAATGTCGATCCATCATCCGATCAGGATACTAACATCATGCACGACATGGACCTGCTAGGACTCCATGCAATCCATCGTAGGAACACCCACCCACACATCACTACCGAAAATATAGCTATTAACAAGATCCAATCCAGCCCACGACCCAGACTTCTTCCCCGTCATGCACTTCTCCCAACACCACATCAGCCTAGCACCCTACCCCCTCGGCCCAGACTTCCAAATGGTCTGCCAAGCGCCGCTCTCCCAACGCACCTTCAACATGGGCATCAGCCATGCGTGCGATCGCTTCAATATGATCAAGTACATCCCCGATCTCGGCCTTGTCCTTGCCACGTCCCAGAAAGGGCGTGTCGCCATCATCTCGCTCACCTGGCAAGAGAAAATCGGATATGCCTTTCGCGTGGACTGGATCGTTCCCTTCGCTACCCAGGAACGCGACGATGAGCGTCCTATGCTGCCGCTGCTTGGTATGGCGGCTAGTCCCATGCCGGGATTTGAGGTCCCGCCTGATGTGCCCATTATCCCGAGAGACGTTGATCCTACCGACGGGTTGAGATTCAATTACCGCATTCTCAATCCAGGAGATGACGCAGAAGCAGAAGCAGAAGCAGCAGAAGAACCGTCTCCTTCCTCCTCACCCGAACCACCCTCGTCATTCACCTCTACAACCCCCTCTCCCGCTCCTCAACCCCAACAACCCGATGAATCACACACACGACGCGCTACTTCATCTCCTGCTGAGGGCACCAGCTCAGACGCAGTCTCTTCTTCATCGGCAAATTCAATCTCCGACTCCGATTCCCCTCCACCAGATCTACACCACAAGCAAACCGATATCAAACCGACTCTCCCGGAACTCCACGCCAAAGCCTCGCAGGCTTACCATCCGCCGGAACGCTGGCATGGCTGGCACCCTTCGCGGCACTACAGACTGCTTCTGCTTTTTTGTGACCATACCGTCATGAGCTATGAATTCTGGCATGACTGGAATAGTTAGGTAGTAAAAGTGGTGGTGGGGGATGGTTTGGAAAACATCGAGTTTAGCGAAGATAGTATCTAGCTTTTAGCTTTGGCATGGCTATTTAATTACCTAGACAAACGTGCGGCTCCGTAGCTTTGATCAGCGGGAGACGAACTGTAGTGGAATAGTTACTGCTTGGGGGATCAGCCGCGGAGGAGACCTCGGAGTTGGCCCCGCACATGTGTATGACCATGGTGACTTTTCTACTCTTATTCCCTTTCTCGAGAGTTTCGTACAATGGCGACTACAACCACAACAGAGGTCTTTTCTCTCGAGAACGAAGCTAAACCCGCCTTGCCCGATCTGCAGCAACAGCAACAGCAAATTCAATCACCATCCACGGCAGCCTCGGCACGAACAATTGAGCCTCTCAACATCGAATCCACCCCAGACACAGAGCCCAACTACCCAACGGGCACCAAATTTTGGTTCACCATCATCGCAATATGCATGATCCTTATTCTCGGAGGGCTAGATGCCAACATCGTCGCTACGGCCGTGCCGAGCATCACTGACCACTTCCATACCGTCGCCGACGTAGGCTGGTACTCGTCTGCATTTCGGCTCTGCACCTGCGCGTTCCAATTCGGGTTCGCGAAGCTGTATAAGCTCTTCTCAATCAAGGCCGTCTTTTTGGCGAGCAATGTGATATTCCTCGTCGGCTCTTTACTCTGTGCCACGGCTGCTTCATCGACCATGTTCATTGTAGGGAGAGCAGTAACGGGTATGGGGTTCGCGGGTGAGTTGGCTGGGTGTTTTGCAGTCGCGGTGCATATTATGCCGCTCAACAAGCGACCCGTGTTTGCGGGTTTGATGGCGTGTGTGGAATCGCTTGCGATCATTGCTGCGCCTATAGTTGGTGGTGCATTGACCCAGTCTCTGGGGTGGAGATGGTGTTTTTGGTATGCTCTTCTCGGCACTGGCAGGATCAAGGTATCTTGACACTGACGTCTTCGTAGGATTAACCTTCCTATTGGCGCTGTATCGCTGGCGGCCCTGTTTTTCCTCTTCTCAGATCCAAGAACGCGCCAAGAGGACGACCTCACAGTGGCTCAGAAGATCAAAGAGCTCGACCTCGTCAGTAACGCCCTGTTTATCCCGTCCCTAACAGCGCTCTTCGTCGCGCTATCTTGGGCGGGGACGAAGTATCCTTGGTCAGACGGAAAAGTCATTGGATTGTTCATTGTATTTGCCGTGCTCCTCGCCGCCTTCATCTTCAATCAATACCGACGCGGAGATTCAGCTGCTCTCCCTTTCCGCATCATCAAAAGCCGAAGTGTCATCGCGGGATTCATCTTCACGACGTGCACTAATTCAATGACGAACGTCTTGGAGTGGTATTTACCAACTTACTATCAAGTCGTTCGATCCCGGGTAAGACGGTGGCCAGTTTGCGACTACAAGAAAGTACACTGACAATGCTATGCCCTGCCAGACTCCAAGCGAGAGCGGCTACCTGATGATCCCCATCCTCGTTGGAATGATGCTCGGGCTCTTTCTTCAGGGCATCGGTACCACGATGTTCGGCTACTACGCTCCCTTTATGATCTTCGCCTCCATATGCATGCCGATTGCAGCGGGCTTGATGACAACATACGATGTCCACACACCCCTCGCCCAGATCATCCTCTATTCCGGATTCGCCGGCTTCAGTGGAGGCATCGGCTTCCAAGGCTCCCAAGCGGCTGTTCAGACAACGTTGAGTGCCGCAGATGTCAATCTGGGGATCGGGGTCATCTTGTTCGGGCAGAGCCTGGGCCCGGCGGTGTTTATCGCTATTGCGCAGGTTATATTCACGAATCAGTTGTCGTCAAGTCTGGCAGATGTTATACCAGGATTGAAACCTGCGTATATTGAAGAGCACGGACTTGGTGATATTAAGAAGGGAGTTCCTGTCCAGCGGTGGGATCAGGTGTTGGGTGGTATCGAGCGGAGCTTGACGCATACTTGGTACCTTGCTGTCGCGTTGGCTTGCACGACGATTGTGGGAAGTCTCTTAATCGAATGGCGCTCGGTTAAGCAGAAGAAGTCGTGAAGTATGGGCTGGCGGCACGAAGGGCGCGTTTAGATAGTAAAGGTTGTGGATGACCTACATCAGTTTCTCAGGAAATTAAATCCCGAACCCTAATCTGAGAGGAAGTAATCTAATTTTAGTGCCCCCATACTCCCTTCTAAGCTGTACCGTATTTTGTTGTAACAATCGACGAGTCATTGTCATAATTCAGTAAAAGTCCATCGAGCCTGGTTCGTCATTGTTCTCCGTCAATTGAATGTGCTGAAGCACCATCACCTGAGCGGCTTACGCGATTTCGTCAAAACAGAGAATACATTCAAAGCTTCTCTCCTTCGTTGTCTAGCCATTTTCAGATATAGTAATTACTCGATCTTTGTTTAGGGGGCTATCGATCTACCAGGTCGAGAGGCGATGATTGCCTTCAATAATGATAATCGGAGGAATTGCCCGTTCTTACGAATTGATATCTTAGGATAACTGTAACCCACTCGCGACCTTCAAATTGCAGTAACATTGTATTCGAGCGCCTATCGGCTCTTGTAACTGCTATTTATGTCGAGATAATGCCCATCATAAATCCAAACTTGTCAAAGTTATTGATATCTGACTCTGCCACCGTATACTTCGCGACCGTGTCGTGTACGAGGGAAAACCAGCCACAAATCGTTGTGTATCTTCGCATTGAGTATCCTTATAGTCGTGTCTTCCGCAAAAGCGTGCCTTGAGCCATGGCTGTCGCTTAACAAAGCTGGAAGCCCAGAGCTTCCCGACGGGCTGCGCATCGCGCCCCGCAAAACATGACAGGCCGAGCCCAGATCTCTTGCTGCAACAAGGCTACGTATTCCGGAGACACTGCCAACACCGAAAGTGATATCCTAGCAGGTGCATTGAGCAACCTCGTCGGCGTGGCTTGGATTCCACTCTCGGCTTTAGTAGTGTCTCCGGCATACGTAGTCTTGTGCAGTAAGAGATCTGGGCAAGGCCACTTCGCTTGGCCTGCGCCTGATGGACCGTCATGTTTTCAGGTACAGGATAGCGGACGTAACTATAACACTTCCGAGTGTTCACCGATAAAGCCCAATGACAGTGGAGCTTTGCGAAAACTGAAATTTTCGCAAGTGAAATCATTGGTTCTCCATGGAGCGTCGGGTTTGGGATATATCTCACGCAAAAGAGTTCTTGACGCTTAGACTTCCGTATTCAGATCATTCAGTCGCCTAATTCGACCATTATAAGAGATTCTAGCCTCAGAAATGCAAGACACTCACTTTTCGGTTATCTCTCGTTTTTGTTCTCTATAACCGCAGCGGAGGCCGTGGGCTGGGACATATGGCAGATAGGACGATAGCCACTGCATTTATCCTGTTGTTCTTAGCAGATTTTGGAGGCCTGCCCAACCCTGCCTCCGTTACTCTAGTCGATGTGACGTGATATCCGAGATATAGGAAGCTTCCTATTAGATTGTTACTAGTTATTTCGTGAAGTACTGATCCAAGGGAACTCCTTTGCCGTACTTTGAGATTAACTAGAGGTAAAACTGTCGATAGCGCCTAATTAGTCCTAATTAGTCCGAAGAGTGGAGGGAGCATTGTCTATACAACCAAATAACGCAAAGATCTGTGGATCTATGAATCCTGGGTGCTGTTGGTATCAGGGGCCATCCTCGCTCGGTCTCTTGCTGCAGCAGTAGAATAGAAGATAATGCAATGTACTAGTAGAAGGAATGAAAAAAAGAGGTTTTAAAACAGTGGCTAGAGTACTTTAATAAAAAATTAATCGCCCGCTTTCTACATCCCTTTGTTGTGTTTCACTGAGGGATCTATAACCCTCGATCCTCTGGGCAGCATTGCTCGAAACCCTATAGAGAAACCCCCCTTACCAACAAAAAATAAAATAAAAATAAAAATAAAAAGGACGACGACAGGAACGGAAACAGGGATGATATCGGCGAATATTGAAATAAAGGCTTCTATGCATGTTCAGCTGAAAATAAAAGTATGGATGCTCTTACATCAGGCTTTCGGTCGCCAGACTCGAGAATAACAATGTTGCAAGACTATCTCTCAACATCTCCTATGACTGCATATCTGTCAACTACTGCAAATTCTGTCCTTCACCATATGGTTGACATTCTCATGGTTTTGGCAGGTCCCGCAGTGCGAAGGGTTGCCCGCCGACAGTTTGTTGTTCTTGCCCGCAGAGCTAGCTCTTGGCGCGGATGCTTTATCCCTCCCGTACTTCCCGCCAATGAATTGCTTTGCCGTGTTCATGTTCTGACTCCTAGTCCCTGTGCCTGTTCCAGGCTTCTTCCTTTTGCTCTTTCTCAAAGAGCCCCTTGTCCCCAAACGAGCACGCCATAAGGTGTTTCTGTGGCGTGGATATTGAGAGATGTCGCTGGGAGGAGTGTTAAATTAAAGATCAGAAACAGTAGATGTATGGACAGATGTATATAAGCATTCATTTCTCCATGTAATTCACATTTCAGACCAACACGCGGACCACAGAGCGCGCTCCTTAATTCTCAGCTATCGGACGGATGGTATGTTAGCTATGGCAGCCGCGTGCGAGAGAACTAATACCAAGGTGCTAAGTCGGCTATATTTTACCAAGTTGAAGAAACATACCTAGCCGCTCCACAACTTGCATCCGCCAATCATTAAAACACTCAAACATGGGTTTGCTACAAGCTATGTGTGTATGAGCCCTAGCGGTCTATGCAAAATTGTTCTTAATGCCGCTAACGCGCTCTGGGAAAGGACAGGTATCTCAGGACCTATATGCAAGGGGCTAACGGTTACCTGCCATGAACCCTACAGCTTATCCGATTAGACGGATAAAGCGGCCGCCAACTAATAGACATGTGGCGTTAGGACCCTCCCTCGAGTAGGCTAACTCTGAACGGTAACGATTTACTACATACAGAGTTCTCCTTTCTTCCAAGGCTCAACGCTATGAATTTAGTTTTATAGCTAATATTATTTTATTAGGACGAAAGGGCATGCCTATGAGATAATTGAGAAAAGGAAAATAATTAGTCAAGGAAGGCCTCTAACCCAGTCTAGCGCTCTATTGACGAGATTTCACAGATCTCTAGAAATTTTCGAATGACTGGTTCGGCAACTTGTTCTACTTATCTTGAGGCTATGCAAACCCTAACCTAGATAGGAGGAATAGCATAGCTATAGATGGTCGGATACAAAAGCCCTATAGAGCTTTTAATGCTCAAAATACATATATTACTCTTATGCAAGCGGTGCAAGTTCCACCGATTCCTAATCAGACCGATACAGTCTCAGTTGCTAGTACGCAATAGTATGATGATCTAGAACCTATGCGGAATACCCTGGACCTATCGTAGAATGAGGGTTCAAGCCAAGGAAGCGCGATGTCTATCGTTTCTGAGCCCTCTTTTTAGTACAAAATTACTATTTACGCACTATCCACATTAAATTTAGCGTATCAGGCGGTTAAGGTTTCAAAGAGCGTGTCTCTATTTTCGACATGGAAGGCAATAAAGGTCGCGACTGTAATAAGCGGAAATCATATAATACCAAAAACCACTATAACTCCAGTGCGTTTCTGATTGATTTCTCCGTTTGTCCACGTCAGGCGACGCTGAAATCTCATAGGACTATTGTGCTTCCGCCAACCGGACGGCCGGCGGAATAGCTGAGAATTACATTGCGGCTGGCGGAGGAAGAGTATGGCAGAAGTCGGCCCTGAATTTAGTACCATTCAGTTTCAATTTATGGAGTCATCCTCCCTCCGTACAAACTATATTACCATTGCTGATGATCTCTTAGACCCCTTCAAAGGGCCTTTCTTATCTACATAGACCCCGAAAGCAAACGAAAAGAGAATTAAATCGTTGATCGGAGCAATAATATCGACCGAGTACAATAAGCGTTTGGGGTGATTCTCACGTCAGATCGCCCAGGCTAGGACGATTCGGGATGGATACGAAGCTTAGCCACGTTTTGATACGAGCTTAGCAGTGTTTCATGATGACAGCTTCACGGGCCTAGACCCTCGTTCTGACTATAAGTACGACATCACATCCGTTGCAATCATATTAATCCTCCTCAGAGCAAGACACTCTTTTGGTCATCTTATCAAAAATGGCCAAATATCGTGTTTACAACCGCCGCCAGCAAGGTCTCGCCGAGACAACCCGGTTGATCCTTGAGATCAGTGGTGCAGAGTATGAGAACGTATTCCCTGAGGCGAGTATTGTATTGATATTTAATTACGGTCGTTATGCATCTAACATGGCACGGTAGGACTGGGACAAAGAGAAGGGATCAACTCCGCTAGGACAATTACCGGTTCTCCAAGTCCGAAAAGACACCGGCGAATGGGTACAGGGGTTTGCCTCATGATAGGAAACGAGAATCTGCTGATCGCAACAATGTAGGAGTCAATTGCCGAAAGTCACACCATGGAGCGTTTCCTCGCTGCAGAACTCGGCCTCCTCGGTTCAAATCCGCTAGAGGCGGCCGTGCTAGATATGTATCATGCAGCTTGGAGTGATATGATAGCCATGTTTATGTGGAAAGTGTGGCGGGCAAGCAATGAGGATTCAAAGAAGCGAGGCGCTGCAGAGTTCTGGGACTTGTTTCCCAAGTTCCTCAAGGTGCACGAGAATATACTGGCAAGTAGGGGTTTGTTTTACGGAGGGGAAGACGTTAGTTGTGATTTGCCAGTTAATCGTCTATTGGGTGCTGATCTATTTCTAGCCCTCATTGCCGGACATTTACGCTTTCACCTGGCTGAATCGTTTCATAACCAAATGGATTCCGTGTCCACCCGGCTCTATCACTGAAGAGGAATATCCACGAATGTGGGCGCTTTGGAGGAGTATTAGGGAGAATGTCAGGATTAACGATTATATTGAGAGTGGGCGGTGGCAGCTCAAAGAGTGAAGCCATCATTTGAGTCCTTTTCTTGGTGCATTTCCAGATTAGGGACTCAAGTTCTAGTCAGTACATACTGCGAGAAAGAATTTTTTTTTTTTTTTTTTTTTTTTTTTCATGACCAGTACTACGCAGCCCGTATGAATATCCCGGGAAGCGACAGCATTTTCTGATGATTGCGATATTTTTGAAAATTTATCTGACGCATCAAAGTTGCGAAAAGCTAGGGTCAGTGGTTATCTTCACTAAGTCGGTCAAAGCAATAGCGGTTGGCATGCATCTGTCCTTAGATGTGGATATGGCATCACACTTCCCCTTTCCTTGCATGCAGACAATTGAGCCGGCACGTCGTGATGGAAGTTGCGTGATCCATCCCTCGGTAGCTACGGCTCAGTCCGTGCAAGATAAACTAGACACTGTAGTGTAGCAGCTTCGACCAAGCTTGTACCGTTAGCTATCAAAAGAGAAGGGGAATCAACGACACCAATGAGGTTCGTGTTCCGTCAAGATATAGAAGAGGATACGAGCCCTAGCTACGACTATTAAGATAGAATTATCGACGCGAAAGAATTAACACATATCTTGTCGTTGGAGCTAAACTCATGCGCGTAGATACTAGGAGAAAAACTACGAATACGGCACAAGGGCCAACAACCTTTCAGAGACAGCCGCTACCGCCGTCCCGAGGCACCATCAAAACGTGAGTTATGCGTTACTTGCACAGGAAAAGCTGACGATGCGCTTATTATCGTGAATTGCCTTCCCAGAGGAGTATAGACCGAGGCCGCACTATACCGTGGTGAGCACTAGATAATTGTTAGAATGAGTAGATTAACATACCAGACATGCACCAAGGCAGAAAATCAGTATATTCACGACCGACAAGAATATATATTTTGGCGACGAGAACCACCGTCCCTTGTTTAGGAAGAACCAGAAGACGCCGCATAGGCCGTCTGCACAGAAGTCAGTCAAGGGCCAACGATTCATGGCGATAAAGAAAGGGACCCTTACAAGTAAACCAGCTCGCAAATAACGAAGTCTGCCAAGAGCTTAGATTAGCATTCTCTCCATGAATAGGGCCAGCGTGAAGATGGGAAGTCGTCCGTACCACCAAGCCGAGGAGGGGGTTGAAGACAGGGATGCCCTCCGCGATGACCCAGGCAATCACCCAGAGGCTAAAGGTAATCAGCACCCAGGAGCCCAGTGATAGTAGGTTACGCTGGTGCATGTGATTGGTGCCGCGAAACAGGCGCACATATACATATTTACTGGCAACGTGCCCGTTAATAACGCCGCCGATCACGATCTGTATAGCGTGAGCTTGTGGATCAAGACACACAGGGTCATTTCGAAGCTGCTCTGGAAGTGGGGCCTCACCTCTGGGATGGCAATGCCATAGGCAACCTTGCTCATCAGCGGACCCAGTGAGCCTAATGCAGGTGATGCAACATTCTGACCACCATAGTAGTAAATCACAACTGTAGCCACCACGTAGTAGACAATGTCTATAGACTGTAACAGATACAGAGTTTTCGGGTATTCCTTGGGATCCTTCATCTCCGAAATGAAGCTGAAAAAGTTCACATGTCCCGCTGCACGAAGATTGTCAATACGATTATCTCGCTCTGGTACTCAATGCGGCGACTGGCAGAACCTACCGTACGCAAATACAATATCAGTGACAGCGACGAATCCCTGATAAAAGCTCGTGTTGTTTGTCGGTTTAATCTCGCCTCTCCATGGATGCTGAATCGCAATGGTAATCATCGTGACCAAGACAGCACTGAAGATACCAATAAATGCTTGGATTGGGTTGCTGTTAGCGATAACTGCTGATCTAAACTAACTTTTCCATTGCCTGGCGGAGCTTTTGATACTTACATCCAATTGACAGCCAGGAGACATTCTTCAGTGTCCGCGGGAGATTGCCAAGAAACATCAGAGCCATTCCTACAATGTTGAAGATTATTGTGCAAGCACCGTGATCTGTAAGCGTATTCATCATAATGGAAAATGTGAGGATATGGCTGCCCATCACGAAAATTAGGACGATCAGCTGGGCATTGCCGAAAAGTTCCCTGCCGAAACGGCCTATGAGGACTTCGCCCGCGTCTGCCATGTTGTGCACATGGGGATATGCCAGTCTAAACTGGCCGAGCACATATCCAGTGTACGTGGCGATCAGGCCGAGGCCCACAATAAGAATCACGGCGCTAACGTCCAGGGTTCAGCATTCCGTGCGCTACTACCTCTCAAGAGAAAGGCAAGAGAGACGGGCACTTGTCACTTACGGCGCGAGGCCGACTGTTGCAGCCACTGACGGAAGAGACAAGATGCCTAAACCCACCGTCATCGCCGCCATGACTATCACAGGCGTAGTCTGCATTAGCTTCACGAGGAGATTGGATACGGGTGTGTATGTCCTCACTAATTCCGCATTGCCTAATCACCAAATTTACGTCAGTGAAGCTCGTGATTAGCACCGCGATTGTGTGACGGTGGCTTACCACCATGCCATAGTCCTGTATCTCACGGCTGCGAACTCCTCGTCGCCAAAAGGATCCTCATAGCGGTGGGAGGTCGAGGTCTCATGCTTCTCGCCACTGCCCTCCAGATCCCGCACCGACGCGGTTTCGCTGGGCACTTTGGACTCCATTGTTCGCATGGGACGGCTGAGATTCTGGGCTAGTATGGCTATAAGGGGCGAACTGATCTCGGTTCTCTCCGCTGCAGGCAGACGTCGACAAAGAAACACTACAGAGAACCACTGGAATGGGGTTCGCAACTTGAGGATTAGGAAAATTTCGATTAGTTACTCGCCGTAATATAAAGAATAAACGCAATCCAATTGACTCTTATCTCAGCGTCGGCAACCATCCCAACGAGGGTGGGGAAGGGCCATGTCCGCAGTACCCTGGTGCACTACCCGCATCCCCGCAGGGCTACCACCGGGGAGATAAGGTTCATGTCTCCAAAATCAGCTGGTGTGTGGCTGGATTTGTTATTTCTTCTAGCGAGCCGACTGTTTATCGCCCTCCTGAAATCGATTTCCTATCTGAACGGGCTTTGCACGAGGTAAAGAACTTTAGCCAGCAACTTACTGTTTTGCCCTCATCCGCTCGAGCAATGGCAAACGCGAAACAACGCAACAACTTGCAAAACGCTATTTGCCTTTCGCATCATGTCAATGCGAGGTCGAAAGCTCGACAGCCGAGCCCTCTGAAGGATATCATTCACTTCATGTCTCAGGAGGGAATGATCAGCTTCGCTGGAGGTAAGCGCAAATATGACTGTCTTAATGGCTCATCAATGCTCAAACCCTCTCATGCAGGCCTCCCGCATCCGTCGTTGTTTCCAATCCACAGAGCAAATTTTGTGGTTTCGAATGTGTCTGCTGGCCGTGCTCTAGAATCTAACGACGAAAGCGTTCTTGAACTGTCGAGTACGGCAGGCTCGCCGACTCTAGTCAACTTCCTTCAGTACGGTGAGCAGAACTAGGCCTATTTTACCTCATTGGGGGCTAATAGAAGCCTAGGCAATGGTACAGGAAACCCGCAGTTGCGCCAATGGTGCTTGGATTTTACCCTGCAGATCCACCAACCGCCATATAACGACGTTGAGGTTCTCCTGCACCCGGGAAACACAAATGCATGGAGCAAGGTAGTTGGGCTGCTATGTGAAGAAGGGGATCACATCCTCTGCGAGAGCTTCACGTACCCGTCGGCTCAAGCTCTGTGGATTCCTTTGGGAAATTTCGCTGCGCCGATTCCGATGGACGATCAAGGCATCCGGCCCGATGCGCTTGACCAAATGCTCGCTAATTGGAATGCGACACATCCAGGAGTACGGCGCCCACATGTGCTTTACCTTGTAGGCGTGGGCTCCAACCCTTGCGGTACTACAATGCGTGAGGACAGAAAACGGATGATCTATTCGATTTGTTCGAAGTATGGTAGGTCGAAGTTTGCCTACCCTAGGATTGTTGACGCTCCCGCTCATCACGTTCAGATATCATAATTGTTGAGGATGACCCATACTATTTTATACAATACTCTACATATGGGGCCGGTAACGGCGCATCATATGAACTCCAACCAAATGATGCCTTCAAGGAGACTCTCGCCCCGTCTTTCCTTCGTTACGACTATCAGGGCCGAGTGATCCGTCTCGAGTCGTTCAGCAAAAGCCTCGCACCAGGTTTGCGGCTGGGATATTTCGTAGCGAATTCTTCTTTTACGGAGCGCCTACTGCGGGCGACAGAGGTCGAAACACAGGACCCCGCAGGCCTATCACAAGCAGTGGTCTTATCAATCCTGCGCCAGTGGACGGTCGATGGTTACCTTACCTGGCTACAGAACCTGAGCAATCAGTACCAAATGCGACGCGATTGGATGATAAGCGCCTTCGCAAAGAATTTCGGACTCTTGCCCGCGTCTGAATTCCCTGATCTCAATGCGGACGGACTCGTGGCAGCAATAAAAACAGGATCTGGCTCGATCCCGATCTTTAGTTTTGTGCCTCCTGTGGGAGGGATGTTCATCTGGGCGATGTTTCATTTCTCTGCTAACCCGCGATACAAGGAACTCCGGAACAATAGCAAAATCGAAGACCCCGAACAGACCTTTGCGAAGGAGCTCTGGATGAGGTTTGCGGAGAACTTGGTATAAGCACTCATATTCATAGTTTTCCCTGGATGCCGGCTGACTGAACCCCCAAGGTCCTTCTGACTCCAGGGTCTTACTATCACCCGTGGCAAGGCGCGGATAAGGCCAGCACCCAAGCTCGCGGAGCAGAACCTGAAACGTCACATTTCAGGTTCTCCTTTGCCATGGTGACGGTAAGTCTCATGTCCGCCCTTTGGTTAATAGGGCGCCGCGCACTAACGGGATTCTATTACAGAGAGATGACATAGAGTTAGGTGTCGCTAGGATGGCAGAAGTTGTGAGATCATCGTGGAACTTATGAATGTACTTTCTATGGCAAACAGAACCGTGTCGCGATCGACTTCCAATTTGTGTGTTCCTTGGACTGGCGAGCAGAGACATTCTTTCAGTAGAAGCACAGATCGATAATATAATTCTCGGTCATTCTGGTTTACACATGGGCCTTCGGACACGATATCACAATAGTGAGGAAAGAAAACATAGTAATTTCATTGCCTTTCTTCTGCTTCTGGTTTCGTTACCAACTGAGATCTACGGCATTGTTCTCATCAGGCAGAGTTCAAAATGCAAACTAAGCGGAGCGGTGGCTGTATGGCTACGATATATACCTTTACCGAAAACCATGCCTTCGCGACCGTGACCCGAAGCCTACCTGGGTGATTTTGTGTTCACTTTTTTGTCACCAGCCGCTTCAGTTTTGTCATTTCCTCCGACATCCACACCGTAACGGCGACTATATCAGCGCCACAATTCACAAAATCAAATCCTTGCATATATTTCTCGGACGCTATACAGATGATGAGTCGTGCTAGATTAAAACGCATCTTGAGAGGAGGACAACGTACCGATCTCCGCCGATAAAGCGAAGTGGCCCGCATACTTCCCGGCAGCTTTCGCGGCATCGAGAACACGCTGCGAGGCATGCTGAACTTCGGCAATCTGGGCATGGTCAAAAGCAAAATATCCCATTGATGACGCAAGATCATTTGGGCCCACGAAAAGCATATCTGGAGAAACGCAAGAAAAAAGGAAGGCCAGGAATTAGCCAACAAGCTGCTGAACCTCGTGGTTTTACGTACCAACGCCATCGACGCACGCAATCTCCTCGCAGTTCTCAACGGCCTGACGGGTCTCGATCTGAACGATGACCATGACCGAATCATTAGCACGGGCCAAGTATTCTCGCCCATTTTGATTAAATGCAGCCGGAGCAAACATGGCCCCAGTCCCACGAGCAGCTTGCGGCCATTGCGCTGAAGGATATTTGCAGCCTCGCACGATCGCCTCCGCCTGGTCCTGCGCAATGTCAGAGGAGAGGCAAGACGATTTTCTGTCTGTTTGTTTTACCTTGGTTTCGCACATTGGAACCATGATTGCATGAGCACCGCTGTCAAGAGCTCTCTTCATCATCCACGGCTCTGCTGCAGGAATACGGACAATCGGCGATATCCCTGAAGAAGACACTGCGCCGACTTGTAGGTACATCTCGCTATCGTCGATATTCCCGTGTTCGCAGTCGATTAATACCCACTGCATATGCCCGCGCTGTAAGACGGTGTTTCCCACCAATTTGTGCTAGAATAGCTTACATCTTCTCCCAATTGCGAAACAGTCCTTGCCAGCGAGTAGCCGGGAAACTCAAGCCATTGTCCAATAGATGGACCCTGGCGCGCCGCAGCGGCTTCCAACGACACCCGCAGCCTGGTTTTCCCAGTTGAGGTCGCCTCCGCTGCCGTAGAGGTAGTAGCCATTTTCAGTAGTTCTGGCAGGAGACGCAGAAGAAGCACTATAGCTTAATTTCGCACCATTTCCTTGCACCGTTGTGTGAGGTGTCCGAGGAAGCACATACGGTACACCTAGTACTAGTCTGCGGATAGCACCCCAAGGTGCATGATCCGACAGCGGGTTGAGCCGACAAGTACAGAGTTCAAATTACTGAATATGGGGTCTAAAATGTGAGTTTTGTTCCGCAGCCCCTCCCGGAGTTTAACAGCGTCGCCTCGGGGTACCACAAACAGACTAGCCCTGAGCTGGACCCGCCTCGATCTTTTCTAGAGCGGGAGTCGGGTTCGTTCGCGCATAACCTTGGATGGAACCATACCACTGGGAATTGGAAGGTTCTAATCTGCGGGGAGCTCCAACATGACGCCGGACCCTCGCGCAGAGAGACCAGAGCGTTGGTTACTAGGGCGCCGCTGTGGCCCACATAAGTGCCCCCCAACACGGCACCTTTTTCTGTTTATCCAGCTACTCGACCGTGAGCTATCCGATATATTTCTAAACAGTTGTCAGAAGCAGCAAGGCGTCTTAATGAGCCTATGTGAAGGCATACCTTGCCTTGGAGAGCGAAGATATAACAAGTATGCTGTATATATGCCATATTTACATTCGGGATTACAACGCCCTTATCTACGGCATATAGACAGCTGTTTCGGATAATAAAAATTACCCAAAAGCTCTGCACCAATGTATTGGATATTTCCGCCTGCTAAAAGAACGCTGGCTTTTTATACGGGATTTCTGTTCCTATCAACACCAATCATAATAATGCTCTACTCCGGCAATGTCAACCCGATATGGCCCAAGGGGCGCGACCCGCTCGCTGCTCTGAGTTGTCAATTGACCTCAAGATTACCCAATAGTACCTTGGGCATATACGTATACGAAGGAGCTGTAGTGACGACCTGGTATGCTATACCCAGAAGCTAGAGACGTATGAAAAAGCCCTTCTATGGCTTATGGCCTATCCGGCGGGTTTCAATATAATGTGTCAATATCTGATATTCAAAAGTGTTTTGGGTCGGAACTTTGAACATGACCAGTCCAGTAATTGTATGAAATCAAGATGGCAATGGTCCTGGTGCATCAGGCCGTGATAAACCCTGGTCTCCAGAGGGACTGAAGACAAGGTACTGTGTTCGTCGTTGACGATGGAAAGCTTCGAGGATCTCAAAGCATATCTCCTTGCTAGCCTTATTATGGCTGCAGCTTCTGCCAATTTCCTAGCCTCAGCTATGAGGCGTGAAGTTTATTCGGTTCTTTCAGCTAACAGGAAGCCGGGAATGCCAGTATTTTCATCTAAGAAAAGGCGCAGCAGCGGGTCGGCATTATTCGTCAGCTGCAGCCAGTCACTAGCTTGTTGTTCATTTGCAAGATCGAGCGACAAGGTCATGTAATCCTGGCCGTCACTCTCTCCATCGTCGGGCCGCAAACCTTCACTCGATGTGCTTGGTGGAGGAGAAGTAATATTTGGCCAGTCACTTTTGCGGCCGCTTTCCGGCCGGATAGAGAGAAGCTTCTCTACATAAGGTATGCCATACTCTCGTCGTCGGCGCAGGACCTGCTGTTTATATAAGTCTATAGCCTCTGAGAAACTTCCCAAAATGCGGTAATATTGATCAGCTTGTGGGCTAACACGTCCCAGCAAGCAGAGAACGTGGCGCGATCCGTGGAAAGCTGTGCAATGCTCTAAACTTGCCTGGTTCTCGCTGAGAAGTGAGAATCCTAGCACCAGTCCCGCTGCAAATATCCATGCCCTGTTAACGCGGTCAGTCGTCAACCAATCGTCATAATAATCTGGGGGCATTTTCGCACTTCAGGATACACATGTTGGCCAACAGGATGCCAGAATCTGCTGCATCGCGGCATATCTGGGTCATGTATACTGCAGCGCCAGAACACACATCCGATAACTCCGCAATCTTTTCGTCTATCCTTGATCGATCGATTTCTCGGTATGAAGCCATTCGGTACGGTCTCTTGCCGTCGATCCGTGGCACAACGTGCATGATTAAGAATTGACGTGTGACTAGAATGACAGCGAAGTAATACATGCACGCAACATGGATATTGCCAATCATGATTTCCTTATATTTTGGATCGACGCGCGTCTCGGGTTCTTCACTAGGTTCCTGACGCAGTGCTTGAGGAAGCCCATGGCTCCATTCGCGCAATGCTTGGAGAAAGTTTTCTGCAGAACTGACGTCCAAGCTGGGTTTACTGGCCAGTTCCTTCACAATGGTCCCAAGCACAGAGGTCACTCCATATAGAGCACCCAACGCAGTCGAGCGATGGCTGATGTCATGATCGGGACTGCCGATTTTAGCACCGTCTTGAATGAGCGGAGTGCTCTCCTGCCGCCCAAGTATCGTGCTGCAAACCATATCAAGCACGCGAATGCTCTTCCCGGTGCGTAATCTTTGAGAAAGTCAGATTTCAGTGATAATCAACTCAGCGGGATAAGCAAACCTGGCCTCCGCCTCCGCTCGACAAATGCTACTGCTGGTCGCCGACGTATGCAATCCTAAGATGACACAGGCTTTGGAGGCGACCCCAATGTACATTAAAGCCGAATTTCGACGACAAGCGCCGAGCATATAGAATGCCATCAGAATAAATGAGCGCGCCATGTCGACAGTCGGCGCTTCGAACATGTCTTGAAAAGCCAGTTTTCGAGCACGGCAGAAATACTTTGCCGCGTACTGAAGATCTTGCTCATCACGACCTCTACACTGAGCACCGATTGCGATCATCAAGCAGAGGCAGGAGATCCGCTGTCTTTCGATATCGCCGATTGGATTGGGTCCCGGGGATTTGAATTGCCTGCAGAATGCCAGGAGATGTTCCATTTCCGTCTGGGTGAACAGATCCAGAAACCCACTAGACTTTATAGGGATCTTTGCATGAGAATCATTCGTAAAAGAGGTACAGGAGAAACCGTGGCATGTGAAAAGCTACTTACAGCACCCAAGAAGCACTGAATATAGACCCTCTTCTCAGACTCTTGAAGAACATCATCGAAGTCTGCCTTTCCTGGGTCCAGAATTTCAGCCTCAAACATCAAGCGGCCACCTTGGTTTTCGGAGAAGTTGTTGGTGCCAATGGAGCGCTTTAATATTTCCTGAAGAAATCTCATAAACGATATGGTTGCTTCATTTCCCAGAAAGACTTTGAGGGTCCAACAGTTAGTCGAATCCCAAAAGTGTGTTTCTCACATACATCTTTCACCAGTAGAACTGTACATCATAACAGGCCTCTGTCCACCGGACGGAATAGTGTCTCGTGTGCTTTGTAATTGCTCGTCTGGAGGCGCTAGCAGCATCTCGCTAGGTCTAGAAGCAAAAGGTGATTGATGCTGAACGGAAGACCGAGTTGGTTCGCCCCATGGTGGTATCTGTGAAGCGACCGAAGCTAGTAGCGTCGGTCGACCATTTGCCGACGGCAGCTCTTGCCGCAATGGGGCATATACGCATGATCCGCCGAGATACTTGCGGACACACGTCCGACACGGCTGATGCGAGTCGCATCGCCTCTTTGAAGCCCTACAGGGAATACAAGCGGTGGCCGAGCGCTTACGGTCCTCCGGTCTGACTCGCGAACGGGGCATCGCCGGGAATGAGATGATCAGGTCGAATTGTGGAGCCAAGGAAAGCACCAAATAGAAAAGGTACCGGAAACGGGTCCGTCCTGTGTGGAGAACAAAGGAGTAAGACTGAGCCGGAGGAGGAAAGAAGTACTAGACATCGGTGTAAAAGCTTCTTGGTTGCGGTCTGCATCACAGGGAGGGGAAGAGCAGGCTAATTATCTACTAATGGGCCCGGTGCAGTTGAGGTTATCATTTAACTTACTATGTTGAGGTACTAACGCTATCTAGGCCTAAGGGGCGGGGGTGGAGGAATCCGATGCGTTCGAGACCTAAGATAAGGCATAAGTACGGATTTGTTTAAAGTAGAAACGGATATTAATCGTAAGATAAGAGAGGGTACAGGGTTTTGGAAACAGCCTACGAAGGCAAGAAGAGATCTCTACCATTTGTTTCACGTAGCATTGCTAAAAAAGAGTTGGTCATCAATGCCCGTATCAGCAGTGCAAACGATAGGACGTAAAGATGAGGGGTTGTTTAATTTCCGAGGAAGATTCAAGAAATTGAGTTTGTTACTAGGAAGTTCAAAAGGGGGGGGTGAAAGTTACGTGACTGAAAATGACATCTTAGCTAGGACTCCTATGAACACGAATATGCAGGCAGTAGAGCGGTTAGCATTAGAGCAGGTACAGGACTAGAGGCACGATGAGAACTAAAGGGGGTGAGCAACGGGGCGAGTGCTGGGTTGCTTAGTGAGTAGCTCACCCCGTGATCTGGGGGCCGATCGCTACCCGAGGCGACAGCCTTACCGTCACCATTTTTACTATTTGGACAATGAGTGCCTGATCAGTTCTCCAACTGGATTCGTTACCAGAAGCAAAGGTGAGGGCTACGCATATTGGCCTGATTATGGCAATTATCTTCCAAGTGGCCATCGCAGCAATGAGAGCAGTCGAATGGCCACTGAACTGCTACAAACACACGCTCAAAAGGAGGGTGGCTGGAATTTCCATAATGCCTTCTCCGTTGATACTGCTCTATTTTTGCTATTTTGCTTGTGACCATCCCCCCCCCCCCTTATATGGCTTTCTATTTACTCCGCTATCATCCTGTGTTAATGTCTACTTCAACCACTTGCATTGCATGATGAGATGGCTTTTAAAGAGACGATTTCCGGATTCCTTTTCTTACATTACTACCCCTGTTTTCATCAAAAGTGGCCTCTCTGCCTGATTCTTGTATATCCATCAAAAGCCCTGCACAGGTCTCGCCTATTTTTTAGAAAGATATCCATTCTTGCTCGCTCTGTGTAGTTAGACCGCGATTGTTATGAAGCATGAGTTTCCTTCGGACACGGTAATACTAATTTTGGGCTCAAGTGAGGAGCTTCGTCTCTTTCCCATCGTCTGCCCTCCTTGATCATCTCAAATTCGGTAGCTATCTCCTACCCACTCTCAACAATATCAACACTCTGAAACTCCACATACACGGAAGTTTTAAATGTACTAACTGACGATCTCCCGCTCCGTTGTCACGCTATACATAATATCGAGACGGAAATAGGTTCGATACTCTCGCAGGTGTGTCACATCTCAAGTATTCTTAGTGACCATCTACCGATAAATTGATATTCTTCGCGATACTTTACAATCCCATGGCATCCATGCCTTTTATATTTTATCCAGCGCAACGCAGCTATACATTAACTGCTCTTCAAGGCGACAATTTCCATGGCGCTTACTGAAACTATAAAGATGTTGAAACTGCCCTTTGGTGCATCATCTAGGATAAGGAATGCCTAGAACGCGGTCGAGGCCCTTAGGATTTTTGGCGAGTCATTTGCGACCATACCGAACTTCCGGATCCGCGGAGCCACCCTCGGCTCGGGCCCCCCAAAAAGATGTTCTTTCCTTGGGAGAGCCGCTGACCAGAAGCCACAGCACTCATATATGGTGACACGATAATCAATTGCGGGACAGGAACCATGAGGTTAAGATGTGAATTTTGATTAATAAACAACAAGTCTTAACTAGTTAGTTAATTCTCCTGTTTTCCTTTTAAACGAAGCACAGCCTTATTGTTACTAAAAACAGCTCTATACAGCTTGTTATTTCTTCAAGAGCTAGTGGGACAGATAAATCGTCCCTCAGGACAAAGACCATTCAGTGAAAGAATACTTTGCTTATTATTCATTCATGACGACTCCGTCATTGAACCTTCGGTCCCAGAGACTAAATATTCTTCCTTCTCAATATACAGGCTTGTGCAAGATCCCGTCAGGACGAAGTATCTACTAAAAAAATTGGCAACGCCAATTCAGAGACCTCGACGATTATACAGAATTTCCCGCCAAATTTACGGCTAATGAGCTTCTGTAAAGAGGATTGGGGATGAGACCAGTCCCATAAAGCTCATTTGGAAGATACAGGGAGGGGGTCGGTTCCGCGGCACCGAGCAGGTGTGGCGTATTCCCGGAGTAGAGTTTCTCAGTAGCCGATAAATGACATCTACTTATCAGAATGAGAATATGTGGGCCATATAGAGTGTCCGGGGTAAAGCGAGCTACGTCGATCACTTAAAGTACAGCCAGGCTCCCGCGTGTAAGATATCATTCTTATTCCATCTATCTCTGCCTACCGTACTATTTCATCTGAAGTTTATCTCCCAAAATTTTATCCATAGCGGGAGCTTCTTCCTTGTCCTTCCACTGCCAATGAATCGAATGAAGATGGCTCAAGTTGAAATCTCAGGAAAGCTGAACGAGATGCCCGACACCATTGCCGAGCACACCCTGACCAATGAGTCTGAGGGAATCAGCGAGGTCAAGCCAAAGGTGCATTTCGGCTTGCTTTCTGCCATAGGTGTTCAGTACTCGGTGACTGGTGCCCCGATTGCAATTGGTAGCTATCTATCCCTAACAATTGGACTTGGTGGTTCGCCGGCCTACTTCTGGGGTTACTTCATGATGGGCTTCTTCCAACTGGCAACTTGCTTGGCAATTTCCGAGTTGGCGTCTGCCATACCTCATTCTTCCGGTAGGTAAATCAACACTGGCGGTGGCTGATCACTCTGGTTAATTTTGTCAAGGACCCGCACATTGGGTGACTGTCCTAGCACCTTCTCGCTACGGCCGAACGCTTGGCTACATAATGGGATGGTTAACAAACGCTGGCTGGTTCTTCATCAGCGCCGCCTGTGTTCTTTACACTGCCCAGCTCACCATGGCCATCGTCGGAGCAGCGAATCCAGACTTTGTGATTATGCCATGGCAGACCTACCTCGTCTATTGTGCGTATGCATTGCTATGTTTAGCCATCAACCTGCCTCGGACTTTCAAGACCGTTAATTTCTTGCTCATGGCGGTCATATTTTCAGTCAACGGCACAGCCATTTGGTTACTTGTTGCACTTTTAGTCCGGGCTCGTCCGAAACAAAGTGCCCATGCGGTTTTCGTTGAATTTGTCAATGAGTCTGGCTGGTCCTCCAACGGCGCCGTCTATTTTCTGGCCTTGTTGCCTGCGTACGCCTCCTTGTCGGGATTCGATAATGCGACACATTTGACTGATGAACTGGATAACCCAAAAAAACAGGTCCCGCAAGTGATTATAGGATCATTCCTCATGAATTATTTCACTGCACTGCCTATGATTGTGGTCTATGAGTTCTGCAATGTTGACCCGAAGAGCCTACTTGACCCGGTTGGAGGTCAGCCAATGATTCAGCTCATGCTGAACGCCTTCCGTTCGCTCCCACTGACGGCAGTCACCGGAGCTATCGTTATTTATGGCTTTTTCTTGGCTTCTGCATCTTCGCTGATTACATGGTCCCGGCTCTACTGGTCTTTCTCTCGCGAGGGCTCTTTACCATTTTCGAGAACGATGTCCAAGCTCACATCCCGGGACAGCTTGCCGGTATATGCGTTGTGCTGGAACACCGTCCTCCTCATTGCCATTGGGGCTATCAGCATCGGTTCAACAACAGCCGTATGTATTATTATTTCCCTATATCTGAGTTAGACAATGTTCAAGACACTGTCTCATAAAGCTTAAAACACCGACACTAACTTTACGGAACTTTAGATGAACGCTCTCCTTGGGGCGGCTAATGTTTGCATTATTTCCGCAATAGTCACGGCATTTGGATTGGCTCTCTATAAAGGGCGCAAAACATTTGACCCAGATCGTTGGTTCAACTTGGGTCGATGGGGCAATGCCATCTTTTGGCTGGCAACGTTGTGGAGTATCTTCATAACCGTGATGCTCAGCATGCCACTCTATCTTCCAGTGACCCCAGTGACCATGAACTGGACATGCGTCGTCTTTGGTGGTGTGGTTGTAATTGCAACCATCTACTGGTTTGCCATTTTCTCCAGGAATAAGGTGGTCCATTACAGTGAGGACAATCAAGGTGGGCAAGCGGACCAGCATTGAGGAGGTTCAAGACTTGGAAGTAGGTTCGATATACCGGCAACGTATCTGTTGGGCATGGCATGTCCAGAGGGGTGAAAAAGATGTGCGGTTTTCAACGTTTCAGCTTGTTCGTCGTGGGAGGATGCTCTTCTGGCGAATGTTTGGTTCAGCGAAAATCAAATTTCATGGAACAATTGGTCTGACGATTCTGTTCTGAAGCCTATAAGCGTTTATCTCGTGAATTTGAGGCCGAATTTAAAGTATGTTTCACAGATTTTTGGACAGGAATCTTGCTTGGAGGCCCTACAAACTTGATTGTTCTAGAAAGGGGCTCGTGTTGGATACGAAATGAATTTACGGTGAATTCAAACCTAAAACGTGCCTTAATTAAGCCTTATTCAGCACTACGAACCTGAAATTGTCTTCCAACAAGATAACAACAGGATGAGTAAAGCTGAAACCTCGAAAAAGTGGTGGATTTACATACTCTGCGGTTGTGACCACACTTATCTGACAGGTTGTATCTGACCTGGCCTGTTTGATATCCTCTTTAGTGACTATAACCTGCATCATGCTACACCGCTGCAGGCATCTGATTGAATCTTCAACATCAATTAGTGGAGCGGACTTGATTGTGTAATTGGATCGGGTACTGTAATTCGTGGGATCATAATCTCGACAATCCGAGGCTGCCGCGGTTCCGCGCGAAGAAGCATATTACACTAATCTGATAGCCAGGACGATCAGCTGTATCCGGTGGTGGATTGCATTACTCCCGAGTCATTCGGCACGGCTTACGGCGATATCTACTCAGGCTTACCGACCTCGGGACCGCGGATTAGAAAGTAGGATGAACGGGACAGAAGATTTGATTTTCAGGGGTGTTCGAGATATAAAGGTACGAATTTTTAGAAATGCCAATCCGCGACTTTAATAGGGTGATTCGCATGCTAGTTCGAACATAATCTCTACAGATAACACCACTAGGTGCGTTATTCTTTGATGTTTCACCTCTGCCACAACGAGGATCAATATTAGATTCACGAGTGTTCTTTGCGGTCCCCTTGTCTAGCTCTTTTATTGCTCAGCATATTCGAAGAGTTATCACTGATGTTGCTAATCAATCCTAGATAACTCCGACCAGCATGGAGGATACCTTTGACGTTGCAGTGATCGGGGCCGGTATGGCAGGTCTTGTCACAGCACGCGATCTGAGCCAAAAAGGCCACTCAGTGGTTCTTCTCGAGGCCCGAGACAGAGTGGGCGGGCGGACTTATACGAAGACTGTGTTTGGAGAATCACTCGAGTTGGGCGGTGCTTATGTGCACTGGACACAACCTGCCTTGTGGCAGGAGCTGCAGCGGCAGAATCTGGCTGTGCTGAATCCGCCGAAAATCAACAAGAACGTGTATTGGTTAGCAGATGGTGCAGTTCATACAACCACACGGGATCGCTACAACGAAATAACCTCGCCACTCCTAGGCCAGCTATTTGCTGACGCACGTGAACGGTTTCCTGTACCGTTCGATGTGAATGCAGTTGATACCAGCGATATAGAGAAGGTGTCACTCGAGGACCGCATAAATTCATTGAATCTACCGGCATACGAACGAGACACGCTGAAGGGGACAATGGCCGGCGTGTGTTCCTCGTACCAAACGCAGGGGATCGCGCAACTCCTGCATTCTGTGGCTGTGTTTTTTGGAGACTACCGGGCCTTCTATGAGACTGCTGGACAATGGAGTATCCAAGGCGGCATGAATGCTCTTATAGAAGCTATTATCTCTGAATCCAAGGCTCAGTTACGACTCTCAGCCCCAGTTGCGTCAATCTCCGATAATGGCTCCCGGGTATTGGTTACCACGCGGACAGGTGGCCAGCAGATCAACGCTCGTATAGCTATCGTTACTACGCCACTCAATACGATGGGTGACATACGGATCACCCCCGATGTGTCTCCGAAAGTTCGAACTATGATTGACCAAAAGAATCCGGTAATGGCCAGCAAATTATGGGTCCGAGTGAAGGGTGCGATTGAGGACTTCAGCATCTACGCGCCCGCCGGGCAGCATTCTATAAATGTGGCTAGAACCACGGGCCGCCTCGGAAATGGAGATGGGCTAGTTATGTGCCTGTGCACCAATGCTGCATCAATACGTGGGAATGATTGCGAGGAAGTGCAAACAGCGCTGCGAAAATTCATTCCCACTATCGAAGTGGTCGACGTATTCTGCCAGAACTGGGCGACGGAAGAATTCTCTAAGGGAGGCTGGATAAATCACAGACCAGGAAGCCTGACTGGTGCACTTCCACAAATTCGCAAGCCACATGGTCGTATTTATTTTGCCGGTAGTGATGTTGCCGCCCTCTATCCTGGTGCAATTGAAGGCGCCATGCAAAGTGCCACAGTTACTGCCCGCGATGTGGATACAGCGCTAGCTAGTGACAAGATACCACGCGTGAAGCTATAAACAGTTGTTGGTGGTTTGATATCTGAGGTGGTAAAGCTACTACTCTGTCGGCACCAGAGATATGTCCAGATAGCATCATCATACTAGACCAACCAGGTCAAATTTTGCTTTCTTTTTTGCGTTCTTTTTTGTGCCTACAGGACTTGTAGGAATAAGTTGATTTATTCTCGGCCCACAGCTTTTACTGAGCATCCGCGGATAAATGGATTAAGCCTCGACGACCTCGCAGAGACAATGGGGGTGACATTTTATTATGCGCTACATGATGATACTAATATCCTTCCGGAAACGTTACAAACGTTTTCTGAAGCACTTGGAGGGTCTGTAAGCAACTATCCAGACCCATGGACATTTCCGCTGCTCGGTCTGCGTCCAATACTCCAATATAGCCACAAACTTCCCTTGCAAACACTTTCGCAGCCAACGTGAAGACTTTGATCAGCATGTAAGGGTTCTGTGAAGACAAGTCAGCTAAGAACATGTTATCATAGAAAGAGGAGTAGCTCCCACTGGATGTGCGCAAATATCCTGAACATATGCCTTCAGGCCAGTGGTACCCTGGTGTCCTGGTCTCGAAACACCCCTGCATGTTGATGAGATAAGAGCGACTTGCTGGGAACTTAAAAGTGACTCTTTCTTGCGGTAGGCACTAGTTGATTGGAGGGCATTGAGGAAGCAGCTGGCGCCAGGTGTGGATGCCTGAGCTACTAAACGTGTTTCGATATTCTGAGAAACCTCGCAGAAAATAAGTACCGCGAGCTCGGTGTCGATGCAGGAGAAAGCAACCAACCGCCAGAGGCTGAAATGGAGGTTTTGAAGGTCGTACCGCATCGTGTCACTCAGAACCCCAAATGCAGACCGCCAAAGTTTGATAAGTGTTATCGTAGCAACATAGCGCTTGTGAAGGACATCCAAGTCCGCTTCGTCGATATACGAAGCCCTCGATACTAGCACCAGGTGGGCTAGGTCCTTCCAGATGAGCACTACGAGGGCTGCCAATTGCCTAATGCTTCGCACGATCGTATCGTCAGACAGTCCGTTGACCCAGAGGACTGTGAAGGGGCCTTCCCTTTGCTTCACGTGGCTTAAAATGGAATCTTCAAACCCTCCACTTAAAAATGATACCAGATATTGTTGGGATTTGTCTGTCTGTGGTCGAGGATCGTCGTCGGCCGACATGTAAGCCTCAACAGGCAGTGCACCTAATTTCCCAAGCGAGATGCCAATTTTTACTGAGTTCAACATTGTTATTAGCCATTCAATGGCACCAATTAGCTCCGATACGTTGCCCTTGATGTCTGACTGTAGGGAATGCGCCAGAGTGGGAGTTGGTCTTCTGCGGCGCGCTTCGATCTCCAAATCATAGTCATGGCCTCCCGACGTTGCCTGTGCCATCAGACGCGCCCGGGCTCCTGCGCAGAGCCTCCTCAGGCGCCACACCCCTTGGCAGAAGGCATACGCGGAGTCTTCCTCGAATTCCTCCTGCCCAGTGCTATACTTGAGAGGCACTATTTTGCCGAACAGAAGCATCGCCAGGGCCAAGCGGAAGGAGCTCACAGCGGCCAGGTTCCCGAACACCAGATGCTTCGCCTTACGCCAAGCAGAGTAAGCGATATCCTGGGCCTGCTGCGTACAAAGACCAGCGTTGGAGTCCCCTCTCGTTCCACTTCTGTCCTGGTCGACGGCCAGCTGCGCTGCTGATGCCACCGCCACCCACTTGTATGCTTCCGTGATTGCCGCATCACGGGATGCCATAGATGCGCTGTAGGTTTCTGTATTTTCCCTCTGGAATATCGTATCCAAGAGGCTGACAGCTCGGAACAAATGTGGAGCTGCGAAGTTCTGATCGTCGTTTGAATCAGTATCTGTATCCCAGCAGCTTTGGATCCATGTATTCGCTCTTCCAAAGTACGTGGACATCTGGGGGCTTTCTCCCAGCAACGCCCATGCTGCAATACCAAAGGAATACTGCGGTGGCATGCTGCCTTGGCGCAGGCATTCTGACATGGGCATGTCGACGATATCGACGTAGAGGCCGAACCGCTCCGAGCACGCCTGTCGCGCAAGCAGTTGACCTGTCAGGTCCTCACTCGCCTTCGATATGGGTGAAACAATCGCCGGAACGGAAACCCGTGCTCCCCGTGCCTCATCCTTTTCTGTTGTGCCGGTAGGTTCCACAGCCTTGTTTCTTTCAGCATTGCGCGACTTGGCGTTCGTCTGTCTAGAAGACTGTTGGAGGGCCTGCTTGCGGGCTAGCCACGCAACCGTACATTCTATGCCGCGAATATTGCACTGCGAGCAAACTGCGGAGGGTCTCTGCCTGTGGATGGTCAGATCCAGCGGTAAATCGCATGCTCTCTTTCCCGACCGACACTGATCACATGAATGGTTTTGTCGTCGGGGACGGCCCAGTCGGGACCTGCGTGTGCTGGGTCCGGGGGGTTGATCGGATGCTGCCACCGGCGGGCCGTGGTGTTCTACATCTTCGTCGGAGGTAAACGAGGACCGGGGCGGATGCAAGGACTGGACAGAGTCCAGGATGGATCCGAGACCATCGTTGCGAAGATACGGTTCGTCTCTTGGATGAGGAGCGAAATATGCTCCTAAACTGGGAAATCGGCACCAGTCGGCGGATTCCGCGGTGAGCTTCTCGCTGTAGGCAGACGGTTCTACCATCTGTGATGCCTCGTTTCTGAGAGCGCCGATAGTGGGGCAATCCATTAATTCCTCCAGGTGGAAATAGTCGGACATCATACTGGTTGTCGCATCCATCGCACTACTCGTACCTGCCCATCTCTAGCTTCGTCTCAGCTTTAAAGGACAGCCTTGTTGCTGTCTGTTACCCCGCTTTCTCCAAAATGCAGTAAATCATCGGACTCTGACTCTGGCTGCGGGTCTGCAACTCAAATCTTTCTCTTTGCTGGGGGATAGCAGCATGTCCTTAAGAGGAGGAGTTGGTCGACCCCGCTGGTCTAGACATCCAGTCAAAAGATATCGTTCATCGAGTACAGAGATTCTTTATTCCGTCATGAAGATAGTGTGTACACGAGACCACTGATACCAAGCCGCGGAGCCGCGGAACACCATCTGTCTTGGACGTTAGGTAATAGAGTTCACGCGCTTTTAAATACAGGAATCGATAGACGGTTTGACTAGGCAATCGCGAATGGGTCACTGCTATTACATTAATCAACGCTACTGGATGGGCGTTACCACCTACGATTCTACTCAAAGGCCACACGTTATTGGCGCTTCGGGGTAGGCAAGTGGTGTAGTGATCTAATAGGTCTATAGGTTCCTAGTATATCAACCTATTTATCCTTAAGGCTTCCTCGCTGGTGTGCCATTCTGAGCATCTATATATCAATCCACGTCCAATCTCCAAACTCCACAGATCTTCACAGGTTGCATTCATGTGCTAACCAAAAACTGGCCAAGTCGTACACCGGCTTCTTCGCCAGGTCACCAAATCCTATTAGGAGGCTAAAAATAACAGTGAGCACTTTACATCATCTGCATGCAACCCGTGTGCAGGTTACATAAAACAATACAGCCGATGAGTTCGCACAACATACCAGCACTCAATAAGAATCACTCCGACAGGTCTCTATATCATCCTATGTAGTTTGGTTTCTTTGCAAACCTAGATGACCGCCCCGGGTTTCTGACTAACGTACAACGTTTGCGCCTCCGCGAGAACCTTCCCATGCTGATCCGTCATTCTCGCCTCCAAAAACCATTTCCTGCCATCCATCCACCTCAGCCATGCTGTAATTCCAATAATACCAGGAGTCGTTGCTGGTGCACGGTACGAGATGTTTATATTGGCCGTATACAGCCGCGTCTGTTGGGCAGCGGGTCGCTTTGCAGCGAGATCAAACGAGCAGCGCCAAGCTTCAACGCAGAAGCTCAACGTCTCGTCTAGCAGCGACGCGACTATACCTCCGTGGGCTACATCCTCAAATCCATTCAGTGCCGGACCAACCTGCACAAATACAGCGATATCCGGATTGGCGGGCCCCTGCAGTGATTCTTCAAACTTCGGGTTCAGGAACAGAGTGTCCCTGCGTAACAGGCAGAGGGCTCGTGGGATAGTGTCCGGGGAATTGATTGTTTGGCTGAAGAATTTGTTTTCTGTGGTGGACTTGTCGTAGCGAGATGCGAATGGGATGAGCTGGTAGGGACTCGACTCTGCCAGGTATGGACCAACAATAGGCAGCCGCGAAAAGAAGTCGAGGCTCTCTTTGTCCACAGGAACACTGGCAATAAAATCAAAAAAATGATCCCATTGTTTACGCTGAGACATTGCTTATATCGGTCATACGTGGTTGGCTGGTTTTTTCAAGGGCGCTGCGCTGGACCGACCTCTAGTTCTGGGCCCTTTAAACTCCTAGATCCTTTTGTATCAGCTGGCGTGGAAGGATACAACTCAGCACAACCGACAGGTTTCAGTGAGGTTTGACTTCCTCGGCCCCAGCGCCATAATAGAGGCGAAGTAACAGTGCGGCTCCGCGGTTCCACGACCAAATCTGCGGGGCCCTTTGGTGCGTCCCCCGCCCTTTTTTAGATTTAGTGAAGTGCTAATAGCAGCACGCGTCCTACTGATATATTCGAAAACAGATTCCCCCGGATTCACTCACAGGTTATTTCCCCAACCCTATCTTGAAACACGCTAATCAAAACGGTCTCGTACTCATCCCCCGGACCTTCGTTCTGAATTAGTTGTGAACCCAAGTAGAGCAACGTACATAGCCTAAGGCCAACAATATATACAACGAAAACGTTCCGGCTATCATGCAAACCAGCATCACTACTATATCAAGATTCCTAGTCCAAGTAAAGCCAAAACAAATCCCAAACACGATAACCACTGACAAAACAGATATGGCAAGTAAAATTATAGGGGTTGGCATCGCGATGACAGGTATAACACCTGGGGTGAAACATAGTCTCATTAACGAGTACTCAAAGTCTTTAGGGTTCCGGCGGTCGAGCTTTGTTGGAACACCGTCGTCTTCAGTTGTCTGCTGGCTAGAAAACTCATTCGTAATAGCCAGAATGCCCAGATTATCGGTGCCCTCGCACCGATACCAGGGATCATCGATTCGAAAAGAGCACAGAAGAGTGTTTAACAAAAGCGGGAGTATCCCCACCAATTACCACGCGTTGCGGCAAGTAACGCAACACAGACACTAAAAAATCCACTCGCCAGCATATAGTTATCGCGCCTAGGTCTAAGATAGGCATAGTTCGCCCGACATAAGCCAAAAAATAGTAATTGGAAAGGTGCTATGCAAAGAAATTAGCACATTGATAATGTAGAATACCAGCTATTACAAGTCACTTACAACCTGTTTGGCCGCGAAGTAATGGCAATAGATGAAACCAAGCGACTAACGCCTCAGACACAATAGTCATCCCTAGCATCTAGCGATCAATACACTGCGTGTTGACTGAACAGTAGCAACTTACAGAAGCAAATAATTCCAATGACTGAGTGCTTCCAAGCCTCGTCTCTATCCTCACAGACACTTTGGAAAAGACATAGGCCCACGTCTACCCCAAATACCTGTTGAAAATATTCCAACTTAGCATCATAAAGTTCAGAGCCCCGCCCTACTCGCCATAAGCGGGCTATTTCTTCGGTGAAGTCACGACCTGCATTATGCTTGAATATAAGGGCCTGAACAATGTAATTTCGTACCGCTGCTGGGCTAGCGAATCGATTAGGGATTTCGGCCATTTGAACCGGAAAGGAAAGACTAACAAGAAGAATCTACGATGTTTCTAACTAAAGAGCCGCGGGCGGGGATTATCGTTGTATTGAGGAAACGATGCAGTGCGCTAGAGCGAAGATAGATTCGTCTATTTTCCCTGCAATCCTAAGCGCTAAAGGTAAGCTGAATTGAAACATCACCAATAGTTAGTTACTAGATCGATACTTAATAATAAGCTTTAACTAACTAACTAGCGTGCATTCTTTCTCGTAATCCTCTACGAAAACCTCACAAACCTATAGTCGCGTAGACGACGCGATCGCGTCAACCGCTAGCTAGTGGCACCAGCAAGATTTGAAGGTGTCATTGATTTATTAAGAGCTACCTGTTGGATGAACATGATAAATAATCAAAGTGATTTAAAAGGGGGTGGTTATGGCCCAAGGACGGCTGATTCAATTACAGCCTCATCTTCAAGCGGCCCAGGATCTGAGATGGTCGCTATCAAGCTGCTCATTTCCTCGGCCGCACCACCTTGCGCAACTCTGGTCTGCATGAGCTCCAAGAGCGGTTTGAACATCGCGTTCGAAAGACCGTGTTCGGAATGCGCCTGCATTACATTCTGTAGTGTTTGCACTAATATGCACAATGGCATGCTGTTGCCATCCTCCCTCAGGTAGTGACCATTGTCGATTTGCTTTGCAAAGTCGCCGAGCATCTTCGGATAGTTCTGGCAAAGTAACGGGACCAGCTCATCATACAGAAAACGTTCCGCGCCTCCTTTAGTGTACATTTTGGATGCCTTCAGGACTGCCACCGACTGCAGGAAGCCCGCCGCAAGACCGAAGAAAGCATCCATCATAATGCATCCTTGCAGCGAGGCTAAGGCAGGATCATCTCCAAGGTAGGATGTCCGGCCGAGGATTTGAAAGTAGCCTTCGATGGATCGAAATGCCGTCTCATTGCCAGCGTAGTAAAATGGCGCTTCCGGCAGTCCCACATGCTCAGGTGTTGCGAGAATCGCACCGCGTAAGTAAGCCGAGAAGGACAGCTTTATTGCCCGTTCCTGTGTCTCCCAGGTCTGGGAACGAGTCCCGGAGGTATAGTCTATCAAAGTCCGGCCAGCGCAAGAAAGAGGATCGGCACCTTCCAGAACATCGTGGACGGCCTCCGGATTGAGCAGACAGGTGACGACCAAACGGCTTGCGCTGATGCACTGAGTCACCGAAGCCGCCGCGACTGCGCCTATGGCGACTAGCGGATGAGTTTTGGTGGAAGACCTATTCCAGACGGTCGTTCTCCATCCCTTATCCACAAAGGTTCTAGCAAGTGCAGAACCCATTAGCCCCAGGCCAATGACAGAGACTGAGCGTTCGACTGTCATGTAGGGGTACTGGAAGAGCACGAACGGCAAGTACGAGAATGGTGGAGAGCCGTGTATATAGGGTTCAGTGCTTTATACCCGGTTGTTTCGTAAAAAGCTGGAAAACAACCGTCATCGTGGTTGCGGGGCCGGAGCCGAGGGATATTTTCCATTTCCCAGTTGTCAACTTGAGATATATGTCCCGCCAGGTTTGCTTTAGGTTCGGCCGCGGCACCTAAGCCGCGGATCAGGTGATGTGCTATTGTGATTGCCCTATTGCTCCTTTGATTCCCATGTAACTGCATATCCTCGGATCCGGGGAACTTCAACGTTCGAAAAAAACCCATACATTGCTTCAAGCCTCGGTTACCCTTCGACTGGCCTTAGCACCGTACAGCACTACTATAAGACTGGGTGCCCGGAACGAACAAGACCTATTGATGAAAGAGAAAAGAAGTCAACTTGATTGGAATCTCGCCTATACAACCTTTCATACTTCCTACTTGCCCTCAAATAATTTATACTATACCAGGCTCAACATGTCCAAACCCATCGTCTTTATAGGTGCGTCCGGCGCGATGTGCCAGCTGGTCATTCAGCGCTTCATTAAAGCCAGTGACGCGCCGTTTACCCTTGCGGATATCAACATTGAGGCTGTGGAGTCGCTACGTGCAACTTTGCCACCAGGGCGGGCAACAACCCTGAAACTTGACCTCTTCGATCATGAAGCTCTTGTGAATGCAATGAAGGGCGCAGCGCTCGTCGTTCTTGGGGCAGGGCCATATACTCGCACTTCGCATCCAGTGATGGAAGCCTGTTTAGAGGTCAAGGTTCCATACCTGGATTTCGACGACGATGTGGAGAGCACCCAAGCGGCCCTGGACATGAATGAACGCGCGAAGAAGGCCGGTGTCGCCTTCTTTATTGGTTGCGGTGCCTCGCCTGGGTTGAGCAACGTTATTGCGGTTGATGCAGCCAGTGAACTTGATAGTGTCAGCGCGATTGACCTTTGCTGGCTGGTTGGGAATGAGAAATCTGGAGCTGGGAGGGCCGTCATGGAACATCTCATGCATATTGCTTCCGGCCCTTGTCTGTCATGGATCAATGGCAAACCCACCTTAATCGAATCATACCTAGAAACCCGATATGCGCCAATGTTGGGCGAGTCAAGCGAAATGATGCTTCACGAGACCGCTCATCCAGAGCCTGTTACCCTTCCCCGGCTTTTCCCCACGGCAGACAGTATTAGATGTTTCGGCGGCCTTTATCCACCAACCAAGTTCGGGTGTGCACGAGGCTTGGGTAATGCTGTCCGTCGTGGAATCTTGCCCATCGACGAAGCCTGTGATTTTCAGGTCAAGGCTCGGCACGGCGAGCTGGAGCCTGAGGTCGGCGGCCAACTTCTTCGCGATTTGAAAGCCCAATTTCATACGCTTGAAATAAATAGCGAACAAGGTTCTCGGCTTCTAAAACAGGCCAAGGGATCCAACAGAGCTGCGGCTTATGCTTTGGAGGGATTAATGGACCAGATTCGGAGGGGGGAAACCTCCAAGGAAGAGGTACGCGATTTTTTAATCGAAGCGTCGGGGTACACCGAGAAGGTGGAAACAGCTGGTGCACTTCTGGTACGAGTGGTCGGTTCCCGCAATGGCCATCCAGCTATAATCACCAAACGCACGCCTACGTGTGGTTCTGATTTGTATTTGATGAGAAGCATGGGAACTGTGACAGGGACATCCTGTGCAGCTTTTATGGTCATGGCCATGCAAGCTGGACAGACACTGAGCGGTGTCTTTTGTCCCGAAGATTGGGCTGAACCGCGGGCCTTTTACAAGGCACTCGAGACTGTTGGCGTACCACGTCACGAATTGCCCGAAACACACACGTTTTAATGTAGTTTTCAATTTTGGGAGTGACATGACCACGCAGCTGTGACGGAGGGTTTCGTTTTTGTCTGTATTTACATGATCATGGGTAGTTCCGTTTGCTAGGTGACGAAGCTACGCATTATTCACTCGTTTCCTCATTTTTGCGATTTGGACATTCTACAAGAATATAGTGGCATATAGCTTGTTTAATCTTGCTAGAGTTCAACGAATTTGGTCATGTGGTAGCGTGTAGTAGCGTGTTGCTGTAGGTGGTATGGGAAGGGCGTATTTTGCAACACCGCTGCAAAAATGGCACGAGTTCTAGGACTGTGTACATCGAAATACAATAGCCTTTGCGGCCGCTTTGGGCAACAAAATGTTATGTAAGGTCCCTTGGCTCTCTTCCAGAGTTAGACACGGCATGGCGTTAAAAGCGTCCAACTGCCAGCTAGCAACGACGGTTTAATGTCAACTGGCGGGCCATCGACATACACTTGACCGCAATGGAAAATCGCCATCCAAAGCGGAAGATACCCCATCTGCATTCGAGTCACCATGTCGGCGGTTAACCTGACCTCGGTTGTGAGAAACGCATGGCATGTCATGGTCAGATACTGCTCAGCCACTCGGTGCTCGATGTTAGCCCGTGGATCCGCGGTTCCGACGATTATCTGTAGCTGCGTCAGTGGACTAACCCCCTTCCCCCAGCCTCTGACGGATTGGCATATATCATACATTGATAGAAGGCTACCAATACCTCGGGACCAGCGTCCAACCCCGCAAATGGTTCCGCGGATCACCCCGCAACCAGCCCATTGTACATCCTCATTGGCTCCAAGATAGCTCCAACTACTTTTGAGTACGGAAGGAACGCATCGTGTACAAGGATTACGCTCAGATCCACGGCAGCGCCGGCTTTTCCCATATCCACGGAATCTTGTTATGGGACGGCCCGCTGCTCTTGCTAAACAGCATCAACGGCTAGAGGTGACAAACATATAAAGTCAGCAATGTCGGCGGCATCACATATTAGCATCTGGCACACCAGATTCTTGGCAGCCTTTCCAGCCTCATAGGCATCGCAAACATTCGCCACAATGTCCTTCAAACTCATCAATCCTCTCACTATCCATAAGGCCTCACCAACATACTCTCATGTCCAAGCTACGGCTATCTCGTCCACTTGCACTCTCGTAACCATCGCTGGGCAAGTTGGAGTGGACGCTAAAACGGGCAAAATTCCACCTTCCCATGCACAACAAGTTCAGATCGCCTTGAAAAACCTGGGAGAATGTCTCGAGTCTGTAGGCGCGACCCCCGCAAATATTATCAACCTCACGCATTACGTGGTTAATCTCGACGTTAATGACTCTGCAAGATCGGAACTCGTCGTCAAGTTTCTGGACGGCCATCGCCCACCAGGTACGCTGGTAGGGGTTGCGGCTCTAGCTCACCCAGAGCTATCCTACGAGGTGCAGGCTATGGCCATCGTGCTGGAGAAATGACTAAATTGCAGAACTGAATAGGCTTTCTGTCATCGGAGAAAACCATGTACCTAGTTTATGCCATAACGAAGGCTCACAACAATCACGATGCCTGGGTTTTTAAGGACCACATTGCACTGTGATGCGGCAACGGATTGACGTCCGTTTTCTAATGCTGAATGAACTAACGGTCACGATATTGTGGAATGGTCCCAGGGGGAAATGTCGTATGGCAGTGAAAGTGTAATTTAATCATCATAGGTCATGTCAGGTCTCGTCCAAATGTTCGCCATGCGACTTTGTGTCGTTGATGACATTATCTGGTATATAATCAAGAGAGAAAAGAAAAGTACATGTCCGTGCAAAACTAGAAATCCTCGTCTAGTTCATCGCTATCCCATTCGTCTTCACGATCATTTTGTACCAGGTCCAGAAAGCGCTGTAATCCCGCTCTCCAATCCCGCTCTCCGTCTGGCTGCTGCGCGGCGTCTGCACGGGGCAGATCAGCTCGTCGCCGTGGACGCCCTGCTTCTGGGCGATTGCGGACCTCGGCCATTGCTCTTGCTTGAGCCTGGCGTTCGGCCGCGGCGGCGCGGGCGGCGGCATCATTGCGGCCAGGGTCATTGTTTCCCGGCCCGCGGACACCGCCAGGAGCGCGAGGTGGGATTGGGGCGGGAGGGGGAGGGCGACGACGGTGTTGACGGTCGTGTTCGTCGCCGCTGTCGTCGAATTCCCAGGCTGGACGGTCATCATCCTCGTCGTCGCTGCTGCTGTCGGCGTCTGGGGGATCGTCGTCGAAGACGAGGAGTTCGTCGGGGATTTGGTGCAGGGCTTCTGCACCGTCTGGGTTGAGGCCATCGCCGCCTTCGAGATCCCACAGTCGGTTATAGCAGCCGCTATCGAGGTCGTTGAAGTGGCGGTAGGGATTGTCTGCGGAGAGCCAGCTCGAGCAGAGGTAGCAGAAGTGCGTGTCGCATTGGAAGCAGCGCATGTGGTTGCAGCCCATGCGTTTTTGGCATGGAACACTGCATGTCGGGCACGGCGATGTGTATAGGCGAAGGTACTCTTCTGTGGCCTTTTCTTCGGCGGTCTGCTCCGCCTGGCGGCGCGGGAAACACCGCACCAGCTCGCCGTGCCAGCCTTTCTTGCAGACGGAGCAGAAAGCGTAGTTGCAGTCTTCGCAGATGGCAACTCGCTCGGCCATCGGGGGTAGCTGCGCTTCATCGCCCTGGGGGTCAAATTCGAATCCGCCGTCTTCTTCGTCTGAAGCTTCGAGGTCATCAGCCATGGGGTCTGTTGGTTTGGGATGTCGTTTGGACCGTGCGGCTCCCTGGCACCATTGTCGCGGGCAGTATACCGTTGTCTTGTCTGCCTCGATTTTCTTTTTGCGTTTGAGGAAAACATAGCGCTGCACGATCTCTGGTGACAACGGGATTTGGAGCAGCTCACTAGGTCCAAGAGTTCGATCACGCTTGTTGCGTTTCGGGGTCTGGGCTTCCCCACTGCGGGCTGGTGCAGATCGGTGATTCTGGTCGCAATCCGGTGCTAAGCACTTCACGCCGTCGACATCTCCTTCAGTGATGCAAGCGTTGTAGAAATTTTGCAAGCACGTAACACAAAAGACGTGAGAGCAGCGCAGCAGCCGGTAACAATTCGAGCCTTTCTTCGGCTCAAGACACACCCCACACTGGAAAGTTTCTTGCTCGAACTTCTCGCGTTCAGCCTTGTTGTTGAAATCCAGCAGTGCAATTTTCAAGTCCCGAGACAGATACAGTTCATTGTCCGGCGTGCCTTGCAAGCCAAAGGCGGTCTCGGCGAGTTGTTGAAGATGGTCGATGTAAGTATAAACCACCATGTCCTTTCCACATTCTTCCCATAACCTTCTGCAATCATCTGACAGTTGTGCGAAGACCGGAGATGGTATCCATGGCGGGTCTGAACTGAGCTGGACAATTGGCGGCTTGTTCGACGGATATCCGTCTGGCAATTCGATCTTGAGGCTAAGAGGTGGGAAGTGTGACAAGACATGAACATCCTTGCGTGCAGGCCGGTCTAGATCGGCTTCGCTGATATCTAACGAGGTCGGTGGAGTCAAAATGGTGGGAATGTTCGCGTCAAATGCCTGGAAGCAAACGTGGGAGGCAGTCGATGGCGCCACCGGGAGGTCCAGCGCCGCGCTGAACGGAGAGGATGGATCGATCTTGATTTCCGGATATATGGCAGCGATGGAGGACAACTCCACGGAACGGTCATCCTCGGGGACGAAATCGAAGTCCGTCATCGTTTGGGTTTGGACTGAATCGACAGGATATATATTTTTTTTTATAGTGGGGTGCGTGTATAGGCCCGGGGAAGCCGAGATCTCGGAGGTGCTCTCGGCGGCAAGCGGTCCAGTGATAGATAATAAGTGTTAGCACTGGATGATCATGGTTCTGCTGCCACCCAAGAGCCCGTATATAGTTGTGGGGGGAAAAAACTCGAGGACGATGGAAGGCCAGGCGGTTTACCGAAAAGGCGATCGTGCAGAAAGGGCCTGCAGGAAGCGTCCGGGATTAGCTAAGGGGCGCGACCAGGGGTCTGGACCAAACAGTACTAGTAATAATAGTTATGGGTCGTGCACTGTTCGAGCTGGTTCCCGTTTGGCGAGGAGGGAGGGATGTCGGTGATGTAACAGGTGGGATGGCGATGATGGAGACGGGGACTGCGTCATGGTTTGACTGACGAGAGACGAAGTATGGAGCAGGAGTGTGAGGAATAAGTCAGTAGGAAATGAAAAGAAAAGAGGGAGAAAAGAAGAGAGAGGGACAGAGAGAAAAAGAAAGAAAATAAACCCCGTTGGTGCCCAGCGGTAGTCAAATGTGGCCCAGTGTGGCGTGGTGGGTTAGTTATCTTATCGCGGTACTCAGGCACTTCTATGTTTGTCCATGACCACCATCACAGCACCACCATCACCACCATGGGCGACACACCTCTGGCCTCGCTGTCCCTGACCCATGTCCACTACGTATGTTCTGCCGTGAGTTTGCAATCATTATGATTGACTGACTTTTCTACCCTGCCAGAACCCCGAAGACCCCCTATCCTTCGTGTCCGCCTGGCTCGCCCTCGTCCCGCAGGCACTATGTGTTTCCTACGCGACCCTAATGTGGGCCTCGAGGGAGGCCGAGGTTATCTTGATGTTCGTGGGCCAGATGGGCTGTGAGGCATTCAACTTTGTGCTCAAGCGGATCATCAAGGAGGAGCGGCCAAAAGGTGAGAGCTTTCGCGGACCTCCTGGATCTACCCTCAACGGCAAGCTGATAAGCAATGCTTCCACCAGAAATGTTTGGCAAGGGCTACGGCATGCCCTCCTCTCACGCGCAGTTCATGGCCTTTTTCGCCGTCTACCTGACCCTGTTCCTCTTGATCCGACACACCCCGACCCCTGCCAGCGCCTATCCATTCCGCGATTTCTTGCTCCGCGTTGCTCTGGCTGTGGGACTGTGTGCCGGTGCCTCTGCGGTGGCTGTGAGCCGGGTTTATCTGAGTTACCACACTCCCAGGCAGGTCCTGGCTGGCTGTAGTGCCGGGGTGTTCTGCGCCTGTGCCTGGTTTGTGGTGACGGGGCTTCTGCGCAGCTCCGGGTGGATGGATTGGGCCCTCGACTTGACGGTTGCCCGACTAGTGCGGATTCAAGATCTGGTGATTAGTGAAGACCTGGCCGAGGCGGGGTGGCAGCGATGGGAAGTGCAGCGGTCGAAGCGGCGCGGCCGTAATCAAGCGCGCAAGTCAGAATGAGCAGGGCGTGTTAGTCAATAGATCCGCCGCATTCAGTACAGTGTAGATTTCCATACATCCTGTTACAACCTTGTAGTTGTATACATCCTCTGTTGACATGAGCACGTGACATGACTCCCCACCGCATCTCCCGCCGCATCTTTTCTGGCGTCGACACAACAGGCGACATGATCGATTCTTCCCCCAGATGATCTGACTGGGTTTACTTCTCTCTGTTCTTTTTTTAGCTTTCTTTTTGTTTCTCCCGATGTCGCTCTTTCCGCTGCAGTGATACTCCTCGTGCTGCGCATTCACACCGCGCCTTTCTGTCATGATGGATGTCCCTCCACGCGCCTCCGGGGCGCCCGTCCAGGAACACCACATCGTCAAAGCCGACGAGGTCGATCAAACGGGGACGGACATTTCCCCCGTCTCGGACGACCAGCTGATGGAGGAGGTGGCCGAAGGACTGCGACAAGAGCAGGCTTCCCAAGCGGCGCCCGCGCCTGGGCCAGCGGGAGCACCACCTCAGCCGCAAAAATCGGCGAAGCGTCCAGAGCTTCGTCGCGGTGGTACTGCACCGCCTCCACCACAGCAACCGCCACCCCCGGCGCCGGTTCAGCAAAACATGGATCGGCCTCCGGACTCGCTGAGCCTAGCGCAGCTCAGACGTCTGGTACATGAAATGCCCAAGGTTGAACAGCCAGCCTATGCATTCGAATACGCCGATGCGCAGCCCTTTCCGGAAGAGCTTGAGGAGTGGTTCCAGTACAACGATTTCGATCGTGTGATGCTGATGGCCTCAAAGACAACTTTTGACCGCAAGTGGAGCAGCTTCATTCAACAGAGAGTCTCGGATGCAAATGAGATCTCGTGGATCGAAGCACCCGAGGATCTGTGTCGGTCGTTCCTCACCCAAATACTGACAGGATTACGGCATGCCGATATCTCTGTGCGGCTGGAAGCTCTAGAATGCATCTCCTACCTAGTCACCGGGGCTTGGGCGCTTACGGCAGGACGAGTTGCGTCCGGTTATCCCCAAGAGCCGGATTCGAAAACAGCAGAAGAAACCCCTCGGTCGAAGTCCCTGCAGATTGAGTGGATGGAGAAAAACGTTTCGCTTCTCCAGCAATGTTCGGGGATCCAGGTCCTGGTCGAAAGTCTTTGTCATTTGTTTGACAAAACCAGACCTTCCATGCGCCCTGATACGGACGGAATGGAATTTGAACGACTCAATACGGGGGATATTGCTGCCCCAGAGCGCGAGGCGAACCTCGTGCTTACGTGTCTCTACTTTGCTGTCGAGGTCGGCCGTCGGCAGGAGGCTCAAACTCCCGACCAAACACCAATTCGCGATGCATTCCGGGAGTCCGACCCTAATCTACTGGTCACAATCGTTGAGATCATTGCACGGTTGCGATGGGATGAGTCTGCCAACATCCCCCTGACTAGGATTATTCTTCTCTTGTGGAAGTCTTTGCTTCTAGTATTTGGCGGCACCGAAAGCCTCAAGCGGGCAAAGGCAGCGTTGGAGCCTTCCTTCACCCCGGACAGCTCCTCGAATCGCAGGACACCCTTCCTAACTGCTTCTCCCCTGGACTATCACCTCTTCCGCCAAGAAATCACGTCCAAGTATCCTGCTTATAACCCTCCACCGCCAATCGTTCCTCTCGAGTTGGAGAACAACTCGATCTTGCCACCTCTTCCGCAGCATCCTAGCCGGATCAATACCTCAAGCGGCCTTTTCTCTGGAGTTGGGCCCTCGATTGCCGGCGGGAACGGCTCCATTCTACAGCAATCTGTTCACATTGCAACGCCTGCCCCATCTCCCCCTCCATCACCCATTGGGCCAGGAGGAAAGACCGGAAAGAAGCAGAATTATCAGACGAACCAAAACTTTCCATTCATGTATCCACCGCTTGATGACACTAGCAACCACATCGGTGGCAAAGGCACGACCGAACGCCAGGATACATTGGTTGGGAAGCGATGGGAGGGTAGTGATGTCCCTGCATCCATTATTGAGGCTGGAAGGCTCTTCTCGACACATGTCAAGATGACTCGCGCGATGCGGCAATTGTGGGACGAGCGCGAGCACTTTATGAAGTACGACCGGGGGTGGAATTTCGACGATTCTGCATGCCCGCCAGACTCCACGTCGGAGGAATTGGCCAATGAAGTGGACGAGTTGAAATTATCGGGGAATCAAGCAAATACTGAGCGTGAAGCACCGCCTCAGAAAGAGACGGACGATTCCGATGTGCAACGACGCTTGGATGCGGTTGAGACGTTCTATGTGAGTACAGCATCAAGATCGAAATCGGCATTACTTACTTAGTTTCAGACACAAACCTTGGCACACCTTCAGTCCATCACCATTGTCTTCCTCAAAATCATCTTGACGAATGTCAGCGCGGTGGTGAACCAGGTCAACGCTCAAAGCTCTCAGATCATGAGGTATGTTCCTTTCTTCCTGTGTACATTGTCACGGACCTATCTAATGTCTGCAGCAACGGTCACGGTGTCAATGGGACCACAGATCTCTTCTCTGATGCCTCGATTGACGAATTGGACAATATCCGCCTGCGTGAAATCACCGGCAAAGCTGTGTCTGGGACCCTGTTACTTCTACTGAAGTGGTTCAAGAGATCTCGTACGTCTGGCATTTCTCCGATACAAGTGCATTCCTAATTATAGCGCAGATGTCTTGAAGTTTGAATATATGACCCAGCTTCTTCTCGACTCGAACTACCTGCCTCTCATCCTGAAAATGTTTGCCCATCAAGATGTTGACCAGGCGGTGACGCAGAAGAATGACCGGGAAGACCTGGCGTAAGATCTTTTTATCTACTTGTTAATTATATCATACTGACCGTTGTTAGCTTCTTCCATTTCTGCCGTGCCAATTCAGATCACGCCGCCGAGGCACATTCAGGCGATGATACCGAGAGTGAAGACGATGCCGCTCCACCACCCATTGCTCGCCACCGCCCCGATCCAACAGCTGGCAGCAACTCTGTGAAAGGTCCGTCTCCCGAGGACTCCGTCCATGACTTTTTCGATGGCCCTACCCGGCCTGAAGTGGACGAACTAGGGTATCCGACAGCACCACCACCCAAGGAACCGATCACCGTGTTTTCCTTCCGCAACTTCTTCTCTGCCATCAACTACCTGCATATCATGCAGAAGATCACACGCGATAAGGCGCACCGCTGTCTACTGCTGGTGCAATACAAATCCAGCACCATCCTTCGCAAGGGCCTGAAGATCCCCGACCCTCACCTCCGGTTTTACACGCTCAAACTCTTCAAATCGCAGGTCCCCTACTGCGGCCGCAAATGGCGCCAGAGTAACATGCGCGTCATCACTGCAATCTACCTTTACTGCCGCCCCGAGCTGCGGGATGACTGGCTGGCCGGCTCTGATGTTGACGCTGAAGTGGAAGAAGCTCTCCCGCTGGAACAGGCGCTGCGAGGGTTGACTCACTGGTGGCATCTGCGCCAGTACCAGGATGTTATGGGCGGCCCCGAGGGCGCGACCATGATGGAGGAAGAAAGGGACTTCTTTGTCCGTGAGCTCGAGTCCATGGGCTGGGGCTTTGCGGATGAGATGCTCAGTGGTGTCGATGAGTCGGAGATGGCGAGTGGGCCGCCCATGATGAATGGCGAGTGGGATGGGGGGCCGTTGCAGATGGAGGGGTGGACCTCCTAATAGTCGAGCGAGATGAAATCAATATACCCATGGCATAATAATGTTCTTCGTTCAATCGTACTTAATGTGTTCCGAGTCCATACCCGCTCCCGTGGTCGTTATCGATAAGAGTGGTTCACGTGACCGCGGACAAACCAAACTTTTTTTTTCTGCATCCCCGGCGATCAACACTCCAGACTCCAACCACCACATCCCTCTTGCCCACCATGTCGGACGAAATTGTCTGGCAGGTGATCAACCAGCAGTTCTGCTCCTACAAGCTGAAGTGAGTTGTGCTCCTTTGTCTTTCCAACTCTCGCAGCAGAAACTTCTCGTATGGCGTGCTAACAGATTTCACCAGAACAACCAAAGGCCAAAACTTCTGCCGCAACGAATACAACGTCACAGGCCTGTGCAACCGACAATCTTGCCCCCTCGCTAACAGCCGCTATGCGACCGTGCGCTCAGACCCCGAGACGGGGGCAATGTACCTGTACATGAAGACCATCGAGCGGTCGCACATGCCGAGCAAATGGTGGGAGCGCGTGCGGCTGTCCAGCAACTACGGCAAGGCGCTGGAACAGCTCGACGAGCGACTGATCTACTGGCCAAAGTTCCTGGTGCATAAGTGCAAGCAGCGCCTCACGCGGCTGACGCAGGTGAATATCCGGATGAAGAACATTGCCAAGGAGGAGGAGCGTCTGGGTGAAAAGGTGGTTCCTAAGTTGGCGCCCAAGGTTCGGCGGAGAGAGGAGACTCGTGAGCGCAAGGCGGAGAGCGCGGCCAAGGTGGAGCGCGCTATTGAGCGGGAGCTCATTGAGAGGTTGCGGTCTGGTGCTTACGGTGACCGGCCGCTTAACGTGGAAGAGGGAATTTGGAAGAAGGTTCTCAGGGGCCTGGAGAGGGCTGGTGATGGGGAGAGGGATGAGGATATGGATGATGGGGAGATGATCGAGGAGGAAGAGGAGGAGGAGGGTGTCGGTCAGGTTGAGTATGTCAGTGATTTGGATGAGGATGAGGAGGATCTCGAGGATATTGAGGACTGGCTGGGTGCTGAGTCCGGGGATTCGAGCGATGAGTTTGACGATGAGAGCGAGGACGACGAGGACGAGGACAGTGATGATAACGCTGCCAGCGTTGATGACAAGAAGCCTGCGTCTGCGAACAAGCGGAAGCGTCCGGCGCCCCAAGTGAAGCCGCGCAAGAAGGGCCCGCGCATCGAGATCGAGTACGAGACGGAGGGCGCTGGCAAGGAGCAGCTCATGGCGTGAAACCAAAAAGTGTGCATGGCGTTCTTGGGTTTTGTATCTGTGTGATCGGGCATCATACCTAGAGCATCTTTTATTTGCAGATATTCTTCAGTTCCATAATTCATGTCCAGTCCCGTCTTGTCGACATTCTCTCGGCGGAGTGTATAGATTATCACGTGAGTCGTTGGCGACGACCTCTCCCGCTCTCTCTCTTGCCTCAACCAGCAACCACCTACTTCCTCGCAGAAGCCGGCTCTTCTGTGGATACCACAACATTAATCTTGGCATTGCTTTACTTCCCTGTCCATATTTTGTCCCTTTGAAGCGTCCCTTGAGTCCTCATTTTGAAGCAGCCGGCAGTTCCACACTACCCCGCGACGAAGCTGTCCCAACGTAACAACAAACGACCACGATGTTCTCCTCCTTCACCTCCTCATCTGCCATCTCCAATCTCGGCTCCCGCCTCACCAACCTCCGTCGCGCCATCACTCTCGGCGACGAGGGCGACGACCCCGACAACGAGGACTGTTCGCACATTTCCAACGCCCTACGCGCATACTACACCGAAAAGGGCCGCCCCTTCCCACCCTGGCTACCGCCAGACCCCAAGGCGCCGGCACCATCACCCTCGCGCATCATTGCAACCACTCAGATCCCCGCCTCGGGCCCATACGCCCAACCGGCGGCCGCCGCCTCAGCCCCTTATGGCCGCAGCAGCGGCGGCGGACTAGGTGATCTGTGGGGTGACACCGGGAACGCCCCGCTGCCGACACAAACGGCGAGTCTGCGACGGCCAAGGGGACGTGGAGGAGACGGCGGTGCTAGTGGTGTCCCTCCCGGGGTGAACGTGCACCCTCCGCTCTCGCCTGCTTTCAGCGCGCCTGCGGGTCCCCTACCGTCACCTCATCCATCCCCGTCTCCGCCGCCGGGCTCGCTGCACCCGTCTGGAGCTCGTCCGCTGCCTAGTCAGCGTGCGGGCTCGTATCAGGGCCAATCGGCGCGATTGGATCGGACAGTTTCATCGGCGCAAGAGAGACTTCGGGCTAGAGTGCAGGGGGGTCAGCGGTCGCCGAGCCCCAGGGAGGATCCGAGTGTGCGCAAGCCTGTTGGCATGTCGGGCCGACGATAACTTTTGTCCAAGGGGAAAGTGGGGAGCGAATCGGGGTAGATCGGGAAATTGTCGCATTTGTCGTCAGCATGGCGTTGGGTGTTTTAGAGTTGTTGGCCGTCCGTGTCCTTCTGGAATGATCTGGTTGTCCCTCTCGGCCAGATCCCGAGTTACTGTTGTAGTTAGGAATAACCTAGACTCCACACACACAAAGTCTGTTTTTCTGTTTCCTCCACATCTTGTCCATCTCAGCGAATAACACGCTCGGTCCGGCCCTGGAAAATCCCGCATCGCTCCGATCTGATGCCGTGACGGGGCCCGGTTTCCTGCTGTCGGGAGCTGCTGAGTGGCCGGGCTGCAGCAGATTCTCCGAGGTGTCTCCGAAATGGCGCAGTGGGTTCGGCACGTTTTCTCCACGGGGAAGAAATTAGCGGAGAAGGCAATGTCGTCTTGTCTATGCAGTGCCTTCAGACAGTGAACTGCTTCCTCTATCGATATGGGGTAGGATCGCAGTCTGTCGTAGAGCCCAGACAGTCTGGCGAGTCTCCGGAGTATAGCTTTCCAAGCTTCCTTGGCAAAGATTAAATGCGCCACAACCAAACAATGGTCATCCCGCATTCTGCATCCCTGCCCGTCATGCCGATGAATACTCCTTTGGGTGCCTGATGTACCTCCCGGTGAACCGAGTTTCCCCCAAACACAATTCGGTCTGCCCCGATCGCTGGCGCCCCCGATCGTCATTTATCGCGCAAGCCAAATCACCTAAATACCCACGTCTCCCTCTGTTCCTCGCGTGTCTCTGTATACTTCCCTTCTTTTTCACCCCTCCCGCCTGCCACTGTCCTACTCCGATCATCATGGCGGATAACAACAACAATCAAGAACCCAAGGATGTCGAAGCGTCCCAAGAGACCCAAAAGGAAGAAGTCGTTCACCAAGAAGATGATGCCAACGACACCAAGACCGCCAATGCCGTCACCGAAGCCGCCATGGACGCCGAGCTGGCCCAGCTCGAGGAACAGCTCCAGAGTCTCCCCAAGCGCGGCTTCGAAGTGACAATGTCCAACCCGGCGTACTTCACCTACATTCTGGTCGCCTTCGCGTCCATGGGCGGCTTGCTGTCCGGCCTGGACCAGTCGCTCATTTCAGGCGCGAACCTGTTCCTGCAGAAGTCATTGACTCTCTCCGATGGCCAGGATAGTTTGGTTAATGCCGGTATGCCCCTTGGCGCCGTTGGTGGTGCGTTGATTCTCTCGCCTGCCAATGAGTATCTGGGTCGCAAGAATGCGATTATTCTTTCGTGTATCCTCTACACTATTGGTGCGGCGCTCGAGGCTGGCGCAATTGATTTTGGCATGATGTTTGCGGGTCGCTTTGTTCTTGGGATGGGTGTTGGCTTGGAGGGCGGCACGGTGCCTGTCTATGTGGCTGAGAGTGGTAAGTTCCTGTTATTTGGGTCCTTCGATCCTGGAATAGAATACAGCTAACGAACGACTATTGTATAGTCCCCCGCAAGATCCGCGGTAACCTTGTCTCCCTCTACCAGCTCAACATCGCTCTCGGTGAAGTCCTCGGCTACGCCGTGGCTGCCATCTTCGTCGGCGTCGAAGGCAACTGGCGGTACATCCTCGGCTCGTCACTCGTCTTCTCCACCATCCTGCTCGTGGGCATGCTCTTCCTCCCTGAGAGCCCGCGTTATCTGATGCACAAGGGCCGCGAAGTGGAAGCCTACGGAGTGTGGAAGCGGATCCGCGGGTTCAACGACCTCGAAGCCAAAGACGAGTTCCTGGGCATGCGCCAGGCCGTCAGCGCCGAGCAGGCCGAGCAGGCCGCAACCAAGAAGTTCGCCTGGATGGATTTCTTCACCGAGGGCCGTGCCCGTCGCGCCATTGTCTATGCCAACATCATGGTCTTCCTCGGCCAGTTCACCGGTGTCAATGCGATCATGTACTACATGTCCACGCTGATGGAGGCCATCGGCTTCGACGCAAAGAAATCGGTCTTCATGTCCCTCGTCGGTGGTGGCTCGCTGCTGCTCGGCACCATTCCCGCCGTGCTGTACATGGAGCGCTTCGGCCGCCGATACTGGGCGAACGCCATGCTTCCGGGCTTCTTCGTCGGCCTCGTCCTCGTCGGCGCGGGCTACACGATCGACTTCCACACGCACCCCGCCGCCGCAGAGGGTCTCTACCTAACGGGGATTATTCTCTACATGGGCTTCTTTGGATCCTACGCATGCCTGACATGGGTGATTCCCTCAGAGGTATTTCCGACCTACCTCCGCTCGTACGGGATGACGACCGCAGACGCGAATCTGTTCCTGTGCTCGTTCATCGTGACCTACAACTTCACCCGGATGATGGACTCCATGACGCGCATTGGGCTGACGCTTGGTTTCTACGGCGGCATTGCCGTGCTCGGGTGGTTCTATCAGATCATCTTCATGCCCGAGACGAAGAATAAGTCGCTGGAGGAAATCGATGAGCTCTTCTCGCGCCCTACTTCGGCCATTGTCAAAGAGAACCTCAAGAGTACGAGTGAGATTATTCGCGATCTTGCACACTTTCGGATTAAGAAGGTGTTTTCACCGGCGCCCTCTACCTCGGTTTTGGATCACTAAGTCATTGATTGGGGGGCGCTGATGGGATTGTCGGAGAGCATTGGCCCTGCACAGGCTGGGAATGGCTTGGACGGGGATTTTTTATGACGTTCCGATGAAGTACTTGTGATACTTGCAGTATATATATACCCTCAGTCTAAAAATTTGAATACTTGTTAAAATTTGACATTGTTACTGCTTGGCAGTCAAGATATATATAGTCCGAGATCAAGCCGTTGAGTACGAAAGTAGATATTCCCACCGATGTCACGAAATGGCATCCTAATTATAGAGACACGCCAGCGGGTCAATTACTTGGAAAACGTAACAGGGCTTGGAAGGACAGAAGGGGTGTCGTTGTGAGGAGTGGTCTGGATCCGATGGTCCCACGAGGCAGACTCTTCAACGCGAGGATTAAATGGCGCAAAACCCCAGAGGTAACCAAGAGTGCGGAGGGTGGAACTAGCCGAGTAGGACACAGTTTTCCCCTGATGATTTGATACCATTTTGCTCAACAAATCCCTTGCTAAACCACGGAAAAATAAGGAAAGCCGGGATACGGCCGTTAAGACGGTTGAACTCATAGGTATAGTTCTTACCATTCGGAGCTCCCTCTATATACGTAAGATTATCGCGGCGTGTTGCAAGAGGTGGAGGAACGTAGTCATGGAAACCACCAGTCTCATCAAATGTCAGGATCAAGAGGCTCCTCCCACTAGCTGATCTCGCAATTTACTGGAAATACTCGTACAGCTGATACGCGACACCTCGATGCCCCTCATCGATCTGATATTGAGGACATTCCACTTTATGGTATGGAAGGTAGAGATCTCAGATCTAATAACCGAAGAGACAATGAGACTGGCTGTTTTTAGGCTTGGGTGTCCTCTGATATTTCGCCGTAAAGTCACCTGATAATAATGAACTTAAGAGTGTGCCCCTCCTCAGCTGTGACTGGCAACTTCCTCCCGCGCGAACTACTGGATCCTGCTTTACGTTGATGATGGCATCAACAACATATACTGGCGTGAACCATGGGCTCCAGATTGGGAATAACCAGGGCCCGATCACGGCGGAATTTCATCCTCCTCCGGGTATGTCTACGAAGGATATAATCAGGTCAAAGTCTATTTACAGTAACTAAAAGCCGCTTCTCACCTTAGAAGACTTTAGGTTTCGCGGGCCCGTTGGTGTCTGTCTAGGTCAAGCGCCTTATATCACACCAGGACTCTTCGTCGGTCGTAGCTCCGAGCTCCATGAAATCGCACAGGTTTTACAGAGTCTTCACACTTCTCACAAGCAACAGCGCCTGTTTCTCGGTGGTATGGGTGGTGTCGGCAAGACCCAGCTTGCTATTGCTTACGCAGAGTCTTATCGTGGATCATAGCTCAGTATTTTGGCTGAATGCAGCATCCGAGGCCGCACTGAAAGACAGTTTTCGATCGGTTGCCTCCCTCATCTTCTCCGTACAGGATCCGGGGGTCTTGCAAGGTAATGCGATTGTGGGACATGTACATCAGTGGCTGTCTGATTTAAGAAATACTGGATGGCTTTTGGTCTTTGATAACTATGATGAACCCAGCCAATTTGAGATCAACGACTATTATCCACCCGCCTCTCATGGGACTGTTGTAGTCACCACCCGACGGCCAGATCTTGTTGCAGGAAGTACTCTGCATATAAAGCCTTTACGGAACATTGAAGATGGCCTTGCAATTCTGCAGTCCGTATCAAGAAACAATGTTCAATCAGGTATGCTACGAACAAATATATTTCGTGCGGACGACGAACTAAGCATCGTTATTAGACCCTTACGCAAATCGCCTCGCCGAGCGACTGGATGGTCTTCCTCTTGCTTTAGCCGCCGCTGGCACTTATATCTAGCGAACCGGCTTTACTTTTGAGCGCTATTTGCAAGAGTACGAGACACGTTTGAATATTGATCCCCGCCGCCCCACCAAGCTCCAAGAATATCGTCAACATACCCTTTACACGACTTGGGATCTATCATACGATCATCTGAAGATCGAAGATCCTGACGCGGCGAAGTTCCTTAGGTTGCTGGCCTACTTCGATAACCAAAGCCTTTGGTACGAGCTATTTCGTGGCGGACTTACGAGTAATTCTCACGAGTGGCTTCGTGAAGTGGTTGCAAACGACGTGACTTTCCACGGAGTGATGGGGATCCTGAGCCAGTACTACTTTCTAGAAGTTGACAGAACATCAGGATCATGAAGCATGCATTATTGTGTACACGACTGGACATTAGCAGCACTCAACAAGGATGTCGATATAGAGCATTACTGGTATGCTTTTGACTGCGTTGATGCGAGTGCCGTGGGAGTCGCGGATTCGCTTGGACACATTTCTTTCTCCCGCTTGGCAGGCCATGCAGCACGACTAGTGAAACTGCGCTTCCTCCAAAACAATATAATATCTGGTTTTGCGCCGGATCGACTTAATAAAGCCTCACGTATTGCGCGACTACTTCAAGACCAAATTCAATTGGATGAAGCGGAGCAGATGTATATGTGGGCGCTAGCTGGGAGGGAGACAGCGCTGGGACCAGATCACCCATTGACCCTCCACACCGTCAATAGTCTCGGGATCTTATATGACAAGCAAAGCAAGCTGGTTGAAGCGGAGCAGATGTATATGCGGGCGCTAGCTGGCAGAGAGAAAGCGCTGGGACCAGATCACCCATCGACCCTCCATACCGTCAACAGTCTCGGAATCCTATATCGTGAACAAGGCAAGCTGGAGAAGGCGGAGCGAATGTATATGCGGGCTGGAGATGAGAAATAGAATAGTACTGCTGTATGCTGCATATAACAGTGAAGTTATCCTTTGATGATACTGTACAGTTCTGCATTGTTTTCAATCAGAGGCATGATCGCAGCAACGCTGGCATTTAGAAGGAACGTGCCGAGTACGCGTCGTTTAAGTAGCACGGTCAGCCTAGCCCCTCCATCATGTGTCGTCTTATTCGCTATTTAGTAACTGGACATTCTAACGGTGGGCATTAACTAATAACGCTCTTCATTTCAGCGATATACAGGTTATTTCTAGGAGTAACTAATCCTTTTAGAGCATGGTGAACACTTTTTGACGTCGCAATTCCGGCCTTGAAATACGCGTCTTAAGAGACTTGTGGCGCACCACCCTGAGCCCCGGTGGAATACAGGTTGATAAACCATGCTATCTATAAGAGGAGAATGCATTGTAAATATTTCAAATAGTCACGCTCTAACGCCTGCTGGGCTTGCCAGGACAAGATGATGTCCAAGATGCATGTACAAAGGTTACAGGCAAAAGGGTGGCCGTATGTCTGATGAAGTAAAAAGGGAAATAAAATTGAAGTGGAAGAAGGGGGAAAATCAACCCCGGACCTTTCGGTAGCTCGGCGGTTTCCAGGACTGCTTGATCAGCTTCCCAGCCCACACAGGGATGAGTGCTACAGCCACCACGGCCGCGACGCGCCAGACCCAGTCGATCGTGATCACGTAGCGAAGGTCGAAATACTCGCCCAGGAAGGGTACACTGCCTGCGAATACCAATAGCGTGCCGATCAGACAGACGATCATGATTGGGTGCCAGGTTGTGATCGCGATAGCCACCATACCCAGTTCATTGAGCACGAGCGCCGTGAATGAGATGCTGATCAGGCGCGGGCCGGTGATCTTGTCGAGCAAGATCTGAGACAAGCCTTGGATCACTGCGCCTTGGTACACCGAAATCAGCACCCAGGTGAAGAATGACCGGTAACTGAGGCTGCGTCCCGTCTTTAATTCTCTGTACAATTCCGGATAGAGATTTGCTAGTCGCTCATCGACGTCACGATCCCAGACAAGAGAGAAGACGGGAGCGTTGGTGTAGACAGTAGCGTAGCCGACCATGAGCCAGTTGATGAACAGGCCCTTGGGGTCGAAATGGCTGGCAATGCTGTACATTGTCTGGCAGGCACTGATGATCAGGCCGCGGTGCATGATGAACTGCGCTAGCTTCGCGGAACGCTTGTAAGAGTTCCGTCCGTGCCAGACCAGGAGCTTGGTGAGATGGTGGAATTGTGTGATGCTGAAGTCAGCTGCCAGCGAAGCCTGGCGGCCTTCTTTGCCCACAATACCGATTCCCACATCTGCCGCCTGGATCATGGAGACGTCGTTGCCGCCATCTCCAATACAGCACACTCGCTTTTTCGTGTGCTGGCGGATTAATTCGGCAATCTCAGCCTTTTGCGTCGGTGAGCATCGGCAGGCAATAACAGCTGGTAGGAGCACTGCAACTGAGATGAATCCTGTCCGGAACTGGCTCAGCATGAGCGCCAGAGACTCGCCATCGATCAGGAGACAGCAGTCGGTCTTATTGCGCAAGAAGTCCAATGCTTCCTGAGCGGTTGACTTGTCCGTCACTTTGGAGACAGTGTGGATGTATTGCCCTCGGGATACCAGCTTGGCAGAGATGGCAACACATCGCGCGGTCTCGACCTTGTCTCCAGTCAACATCCAGATCTTCACCCCTGCATTGCGCATCAATTCCAGTGACGATTTGACGTCCCGCTGCAGCCGATCCTCAACACCAGTGACACCGAGCAGCTCCAGATCTCGCTCCAGGTATTCAGTCACTACCTTGGCCATGCTAACATCCCGCCCTTGTAAAGACATAGACGCCTGCTTGTATTTGGCCGAAAATTCTTGATACTGTTGCAAAGAGAGCCGTTTCCGTCCAACCACTAAAGTCCGCAAACCTTCGCGTGCCATGTTTGCCGTCTCTTCATCGAGCCAGTCATTGGTCGCAACGATCGTTGACATGACAGTATCAGCACCCTTTTGGTAGAACCAGATTTCGCTGTCGGCTTGGCCGGGGGAATCAAGAACGTTTTCATCATGTTGGAACTGGACGATAATACCCATGCGCTTGCTGTCGGAAGTGAACGGGAAGATATCAAGGATACGAACGCGCACAACAACTTGCTTGGACTCGGTGGACTCGAGAACCACGCTATGTCGGTCCCGGTATGACAGCTTCAACCCAACTTCTTCGGCATACCGAACAATCGCAATCTCATCCGGAGATGATGCCTGATAAGTCGTAACTTTCTGCCCATCCTCCTCCTCGGTGGTTGGTGTGACGTTATGGCAAAGAGCAAGTGCCAAGACGATGTCTCGGACCCGAGAACCAATCTCTCTTCTGGTCCGCGGTGCTGTCCCGAGTCCAGCTTGGGTTCCAAATACAGTCGAAGGAGTAGTCAAGGTGTTGCCTGCAAACCCTTGACGGATGAACGATCCTACTTCGTCCATAGCTTCGTTGGCATACGAGACCGTGCCCACGTGGATCTTCTTTAGCTCCATTTCTGGATATCTTATTAGCAATCATCCACACAAAACGATTAGGAGAACCTACCGTTCTGGGTCAGGGTCCCAGTCTTGTCCGACAGAAGGTACTCAATTCTCCCCAAATCTTCCGGGATCGTACTTGTCCGGACCACCGTCCCTGGAATATCTTGGTCTCGCTCAATGAATCGACCGTACACAGATTTGGCCATATCGAGATTGACGCGCAGACTCATGGGAATGATGGTCGAGAAGAGAATAAGGTAAATCATGATCGCAACGTACCACTCTTTGTCATTCGTCGGCTGGAACCCTTCTAATGCAACCAGTACAATCGACAAAGTGAGCGTCAAGACACAAAGGATTTTCGTCAAGTTGTTGATTTCGTATTCCAGTAAGCCAACCTTTGACCGTGAAGGTGAGGTAGATAAGGCAGCTCGTGTTTGGGATCCAGTGTAGATGATGGCGGCGTAAGTAGTGGTGTTTGACGCAAGAACCGTATTGGCCCAGGCGGTGTTATCGATTGTCAGTGGAGCAGAGTTGCTGGTTCCATTTTCACTGTCCTGATTCCTTCCATCCTCGGCTTGTAGACCGGGCGACTTGTTGATGTGAGCATCATAGAGACCTGCCGGTGGTCCCAACTCAATGGCGCCTGCGAATTCGTTGACTCTCTGGTCGGGAGTACTTGCGGTGACCTTTAGTCGGGTAAAATCGGCCAGAGGAAGACTTTGAGACAAGACCGAAGGGAAACGGAGCTTCCAATCCGTTTCACCGTCCAGCTGATCGGTTCGAATAAAAGTGTCGCTGGCAGACGAATCATCAGTACTCAAACCTTCCTCCGGAGCTGGTTCGGACGGTCCTTGATTCGATTCGAGCAGATCAGCTGAGGTTCTGGGCGCACCTTCACCCGCTGTGGAGTCTTGACGACTGATGCCCGAGTCATTGGATATACTCTTCAAAATCACCACGTCGGCCGGGAGGCGCTGATTTTTTCCGGACCTTCAGGATATCACCAACTTTCAGATCTCGAGATCGCTTGACGATCTCCATCACGTTGGATCTATCGAGTGACAAAACACAGAACTCCTCCGCATTCGCCTCTGCGTCACGCCGCCGCCGCGCAATGTCATCCAGAGCCTCCTTGCCTAATGATATCGAAACCACAAACGCCAAAGGCGCAATATAGGTAGACATGTAGCCAATGCGCAGCATGGGGAGAATCTGCGACAAGGCGACGAGAAGGAAGTAGATGTTGAAAAAGAAGGAGAACTCGTTGTAGAGTGTTCGCGGCAAGAAGCTCCAGGGGGTATACTTTGCATTCGAGACAACGTTTGGGGGGTATTTTGCGGATTGGTATTGACCGACGAGGACCTCTCGCGGAGGCTTGTCTGAGGTGTCGCGGACGTTTCGTCGTAACCGGTTCGTTGCACCGGACAATAAATTGCTAGGGAAACGTAATCGGCTGACCTTGGTCGACTCATCGTCATTGAAGAAACGCACCGAGCTTCTGCGGTCGAGAAGAGGGCTATCGTCGTCGTTCAAGTTGCGCGAGCTGCCGTGTGATTGTCGTAGCTCGTCGTCTTCCACGTTATCCAGCAACGCGCTTGTGTCTTCTCCTGATTCCCTCCGGCCGGACAGACTGCGTCTCCAATTTCGACTTCCCATCCCCACCCGCAGGTTGCGGAGAGCAATCCCGGGTCCGTAGCTTCGTTTGCGTCCGTGATAGTCTCGGGATGGTCGCGAAGGTAGGCCCGCCGTTGTTGTGTTAGGGTCGAGTTCTTCCAGGTCCAAGTCGTCGTCCTCCGAGCCCGAGAACTCTCCAGGGCCAGATGGTCCGTCCAGAGGGTGTAGGTAGTCGCTAGAGGAGGGCATGGTGACGAATGCCCCGAAGGGTGTCCTCGCACAATCAGTCGAAGTCGAGCTGGGCGTCACTCGGCGCTGTCAGCCCTCGCATGCAACGAAGGAGGAAGACCCCAGGTATCACATCAGTAGTCAGGTGCAAAAGGAATGGACGAGCAACAACTGGCGTATGGGAGACCGAGAAGTGTCCGATCGTGCCTGCCTGGACTGCGTGATGGGACCGGATCACATGACGGAGGTCTTCCAACTGGGTTATGTCATCCTTGGGTGAAGAGTGTCCTCTCCGGATTAATTACTTCTCCGTCCGGTCATCGAATCGGCCCAATTCGCCCTGAGTGTCGCCGTGTCGAGAATCTTCCCTGTTGGATCGTCTTATTCTTTCAAGGTTTATTTTCTTTTTGTCTTCTTGCCGAGTCGGCCTTTCTGCCACTTGTTCTTATTACCACGCGGTTTAATGGATCCCTGAGTCGACGCCCTTTGTTTTTCTGGTTCTCCTATTGTTGATCTCCTGAGCGTCACGGGCGACGTGTCAGGTTGATCTCTCCGGACTGCGCTCTTCATCGCCAGCTCACTGATAATCCGAGGAGATACACGGAGCTACCATGGAGGATCTGTTAGCCGCGGCCGGCGATGCGGGCCCGTGGAATCCAGCGTCGAAACTGGATGATAATATTGCGACGACCTCAATGGGGACCGAAGGTCAGGGAGGCTTGGCGGATTTGATTGCGGCCGACGATGTGAACCAGCAGGCTGCCCCTGCTCCCTCCGCGCCGTCTGCCATGGAGGGAGCTGCCGATAGCGCTTCAAGCGACCCACCACACGCGGCGAACGTGAGCCAACCACTCGAGACGAAGGAGGTTTTGCGGGAGGATGATGCATCAGCTGCGGCGGACACAACGCAGGCGCTGGACACTGCTGGAATCAATACAGAAGTCCCAAATCAGACGAATGCAGGACCTCAGAATGATCCCTGGGGCTTCGAGGAAGCCGCAGAACCCGCCACGGACATGGCCACGCAGGAGATTCAATCTGAGCAGCCTCAGCCAGATCCGCAGCATGGTGATGATCCTTGGGGCTTCGAAGAAACCGCGGGACCTGTGTCTGGCTTGGCTGAGCAGCAGACCCAACCCGAACAACCACATCCGGACACAGAGGGTGGCCATGACCCTTGGGGCTTCGAAGAACATCAGCAATCCGTTCCTGAACGAGAGACTCACCCCGCGCAGCCTCAGCCAGGACCGACCCCTGAGACCCAGCCATCGTCTGATCTGAGCCTCGAGACTGAAGGTCAACCAGAAGCAACCCACGAGACCGAAGGCGAGCCAATTCTTGAATCGATCCCTGTTCCTCAAGCTCAACCTGAACCGACCTTCGAGACCCAAGCCCAGCCTGAACCTATTCATTCGACTCAAGCTCAACCTGAACCAACCCCTGAAGCCCAAGTTCAGTCTGAACAGATCCCTGTCCCTCAAGCTCAACCTGAACCAGCCCTCGAGGCCCAAGTCCAGTCTGAACCGATCACTGAGATTCAAGCTCCACCGGAGCCGATTCCGGAGACTCGGCCTCAGTCTCACCAGGTCCCCGAGCCTGAAGCTCAACCAGAAGCGATCCCAGAGACCCAATATCAATATCAGGCCGCGCCGATTCCCGAGACTCAAGTTCAGCCTGACCCAATTTCCGACGTCCAGCCTCAGTCTGATTCGACCCACGAGCCCCTGACGGCCGAAGCCCACCAAGGCGATAGTGTTGACGAGCCGGCCTCTCAAGTGACTACTCATGAGACAAATCAGGAAGACACCAGCGCCGAGTTTCCGAGCGTGGAGATAGCTGCACATGGGCAGGACCCATGGCGAAGCGAACCGGACGGTGAAGTGGAATCGGAGGGGGGCGAGTTCTTCAACCAACTCAATACTCAAACAAAACCCATTTTTGCACCTGAGGAATCCGAATCCAGGTTCGAGGAAGGGGTCCCATTGTTAGACGAAGCGGATTCTCGTTCGTCGGTTCGCACCACGCAAACCGAAAAACCCGTGGATAACTTCTTTGCCAATGACGAAGAGGAGGCAGATGGATTCTTCAGCTCTGTTCAGAATACGGAAACAAAACAGGAGCCCGCCCCTCACCTCACTCGCAAAACCACTGGCCAGGTAGTGGACTCCCTTGGCGTTGGCCTAGACTCTCCAGCTAGCGAGGCTTCGGCAGCTGCTCAGCTTGATGCCATCCTCAACGGTGCGGCATCTGAACCTCATGCACCCGAGCCCGAGACAGCAAATGAACCGACTGAGGAGGAGTTGGCTGCGCGGTGGAAAGCGGAGCTGGATGATGAAGATTTGGATGAAACCCCGGAGGACGATATTGCTGCACGATGGGAGGCTGCGTTGGATGACGATGATGATATGTTGTTGGAGGATGAGGTTGCTGAACCTTCTGCTGCCGGACAAGAACCTGCTATTCAGGACCTGGGTATGTCTAAGGATCCGACAGGCCTGAACAGTCCGTTCGAAAGCCCCCAAAGTCACACTCAGCCCAGACCAGCTCCCAGTATGTACACGCCACACCAGCCTTCCACTGCAGATCTGCTTCAAGGGCCCTCTATGCCAGCCGCTGCACCTCCTGTCGCCGCTGTGCCGTCATATTTTCAACAACAGCAGCCTCCGAATCTGATCACCAACAGGGGGGAAAGTTTTGCGGAACGGTCGAAGGAGGGCTACAAGTCACCTTATGACCTCCCAGACGACCTTTCTCGGCCCCGAAGGGCCGTCCCCAGGCCATTATCGAAGGCACCTAGCATGCCTGTCATGGCTCCACCACCGTCCACAGACAATAGCGTTGCCCAGCGTCCTCCAACTGCTTCTGCCATGTCAAGCTCAGCCGTGCCAGCTCCCCCTCCTATGGTTACACCTCCCAGGTCAGCTGCCGGTGCCCCTTCCAGTATGCCACCACCTGCTCCGAAGAACTTCTACGAGGATCTGCCACCGCCAAAGCCTAGGCAATCCAGCGCTGGACGTTATACTCCGAACCACCATCAGGCTGCAATAACTGGGCAGCCAGTCATGTCCCCACCCAAAAGCTCATACGCGCCTGCCGCGCCACCTGCTCCGCAAGCAAGTGAACTCCCGGCACAGTCTTCGTTGCAGCCGCCTGAACAATTGGATCCGTATACGAACACATTGGCTTCAAGTGCTCCCGCGGGGCCTAGTCTTGCTTCAAGATATTCGCCTCAGCCGCCTGGCTTGCAGCCACCGAAAAAGGCTCCTTCCTTGCCGAGATATTCCCCGGCGCCCCCAGCGCCTGGTGCAGCTGGTCGCAATCGTTATGTCTCTCAACCCTTGAATGTTCCCGGCCACAATACTTCTCTGCCGTTTCAACCACGCACTTCGAGCCCACTTGCCCATCACGAAAAGACCTCGTACCAGCCGCAAGGGACTCAGCAGCCCCCATCACTTGAACCATCTGTCACTCTTTCTCCTCCTAGGACACAGCAAGGACGTACCCAAACAACACCGCCGCCAGCTGGCTACTCTAACGTCCCTGGTCAAGAGAGTGCAGCATCAACCATGGACCAACAGCAGGGCACTCCACCTAGGAATAGATATGCGCCGCAGGAGTACATCAACGAATTTGCCAAGCGCGTCGCGCCGCCGACCAGTTATGCTCCCGCCGTTCCGACCCCAGCAACTCAAACCTCCCTGCCTCCAGCTGGTGATGAGCCATTGTCTCCTATGCGTCGGTCTCAAACTCAGTCTCCGGGTCAGCAAATGGCGGCTGGGCCTCGGCTGTCTGTTCCGACTACTTTTGACCCTCAGCAACGGTCAGCTTCCGTGCATGCCGGATCGCCAACCAAAGCCGTGAATCCATATGCACCCTCGCAAGCCCGCAACCGCGGCCTCTCTCAGCATCTGGAGTTCATTGCTCCCAGCGATGGACAAGAACAGGATCCACTTCAACGATGGAAGGGTGCCCCTGTTTTCAAATTTGGGTTTGGAGGTGCCGTGGTCTCCTGCTTCCCCAAGCATATTCCTCGGTACTCTGCCGGTCAATCAACGCCAATGATCATGCCCTCTCTTGGAGATCCGAAGGTATCTCGAGTAAATCAACTGATCTCTGCGGCGGATAGCATTGTTCAGCACCCTGGCCCCCTCAAGGCCAAGTCAAAGAAGAAGGATCTTGTTACCTGGCTTGCGAGCAAGATTGCAGCCTTTGAGAATGAAGGGATTCCTGGGTTTGGCCAGCCACACCCTGATGACCAGAAGCGCCACGAGGAAAAGATCTTGCTTTGGAAGGTCACCAAGATCTTGGTGGAGAATGATGGCGTTTTGGAAGGCCCCCCCACTGTACAGCAGAGTCTACGCCAGGCTATCTTCCCGCACCTCCAGGCGTCGGAAGCTGAGGGCTCGTATGGGAATTCGGTTGCTTCATCGGGCGGATTCAAGCCCATTGAGATGCCGTCTCAGTCCGACGCTTCTGGATCCCAGTGGGGCGAGGAACTTCGCCAAAAACTGGTTATGGGTGATCGAGAGAATGCCGTGTGGAGTGCAGTGGACCGCCGCCTTTGGGGACATGCATTGATCGTTGCGTCCACGTTGGATCGATCGATCTGGAAGCAGGTCGCCCAAGAGTTTGTTCGGCGCGAAGTGAGATCTGCGACTGGCAACACCGAGTCCATTGCAGCCCTTTACGACATCTTCGCTGGAAATGTTGAAGAGAGTGTTGATGAACTTGTGCCGCCGTCTGCCCGCGCTGGTTTCCATTTGATCAGTAAAACGGACGGTCAAGGTGCTGCCCGGAATGTTCTTGACGGCCTTGATAGCTGGAGAGATACCCTGGGGTTGGTTTTGGCCAACCGCAGCTCCGAAGACCATCAGGCATTGCTGGCTCTTGGCAATCTGCTCGCATCGTACGGCCGAACGGAGGCTGCCCATGCTTGTTTCATCTTCTCTCGTGCTGCTGTATTTGGTGGCGTGGATGATCCGCAGGCCCACATTGTGCTTCTTGGCGCTGACCACAAGCGTTGCCCGTCGTCCTTGTTGGACGAAGACTCCATTCTTCTGACCGAGGCGTACGAGTTCGCTACATCTGTCCTCGCCAACTCACCGACAGCCAGCCTGCCGCATTTCCTGGCATTTAAGCTTGTGCACGCGAAGTGTCTTGCTGATCGAGGTTGCAAGTCAGAGGCGCAGAACTACTGCGACACGGTGGCCGCATCATTGAAAGCAACCACTCGTCCCTCGCCATACTACCACCAGTACTTGTTCATGGAGGTGGATGAGCTCTCCGCACAGCTTCGGCAAGCCCCAGGCGATGGTGGCTCTTCGTGGATTTCGAAGCCTAGTATGGAGAAGGTCTCCGGGTCCATGTGGGCCCGCTTCAACAGTTTTGTTGCAGGAGATGACAGCGATGCGGTGTCGACAGGCTCGGGAAAGGGCGGCGAGGCAGCAGATTTCGGACCTTTTGCCAACGTCGCTGGAACTCCAACTGTCAGCCGCTCACCCTCTGTGACTGACCTCTATGGCTCTTATCCTGGATCTGGAACACAGCCGATCCCGGCCGCTGCCCCGTCGAAATATCACCCTTCGAACCAGTACGCGCCGAATGCCTCTCCCGAACAATTTCGAGGTCGGGGATCCTTCGACTCGCAGAGATCTGCCCCGCAAGGAGTGCCGTTCCCACCACGTCGAAGCTCCCAGGAACCGTCGCCTCCGGTAGATTCCCACATGTACCAGGGGGCGCCCATGTACGGTTCCTCCCCGTCAATTCCTGGTTATCAGTCAACGCCGCCTCAAACGTCCTACGTGCCTCTCGCTCCGGTCGAAGAGGACTTGAGTGCCCAATCACCAACGGTTGCGGCTTCTTCAACGCAACCTCCTGTCAACGGCCTGTTTTACCAGCCGCCGGGTCAGGACGCAGCTTCAGCTGAGGTGTCTCCCTACTACCAGGGACCATCCGACATGCCACAATCCGAGAGCCCTGCTTATTCGCCTCCCTCGACGACCAACGCATATGAGCCCCCTGGACTTAGTACAGGCCCGCCCTCCGCACCCCAGGAGGATGCAGAAGAGCCTTCTCCTGAAGCTAATCCAAAGAAGAAGACTTTTATGGACGATGACGGAGATGATGAGCTTCTAGCGAAAGCCGCTGCCCTCAAAAAGTCAGAAAATGATCGCAAAGCAGACGAGGCGTTTAGAAAGGCGGCTGAAGAAGATGGTAAGAGCTCACTTACTTCAATGTCTATTCTTTGTTACTAACCCCCTCAATAGCCAAGAAAGCGGGCCAACAGCCTGCGAAGAAGGGATGGTTCGGCGGCTGGTTTGGTGGAGGTGGTGGCAAGGAAGCAGACAACGCTGGCGGCGGCCCTATCAGAGCGAAGCTCGGCGAAGAGAACTCGTTCTACTATGATAAGGAGCTGAAGAAATGGGTCAACAAGAAAGATCCCAACAGCAGCGCTGCTGTCCGCGCCACCCCGCCTCCTCCTAAAGCTTCTGCTCCTCCCAGCCGAACTGCAAGCTCCGGCAGCATGCCCTCGATCAATGGGCCGCCTCCAGTGATGCCCTCAGGTCCTAATACTCGGCCTCCGTCCTCCTCCAGTGCAGCCCCGCCTCCTTCTGCCAGCCCTGCGCTGTCTGGTCTAAATGTGCCCGCGCCGGGCCTGGGCCAAATGCCACGATCCGTCTCCTCCAATGCAACTGTTCCAGTACCCCCTGGGTCCTCCTCGGTTGGACCGCCTCGACCTACCGGGTCTCTGACCCATGCGCAATCCATCGATGACCTGCTAGGCGCTCCTGCCGCGCGCAAGGGAAACACTGTCCGAGGCAAAAAGAAGGGCCGCTACGTCGATGTCATGGCGCAGTGATCATTGGATTGCTGGCAGGGCCATCCTTGACAAAAGCAGTCTAGGATATCCACATTTCTTTTGTTTTATTACGCTGATTTCATTTGAGATGTCCTGTATTCTTCTACCGCGATGCTTTTTTCGATCTTCACCCACCCACCCCCTTTGTGTTAATCATAGACCCCCTCTTGTTCTCCCTGCATTTTGCATGCTATGCCTCAGCCTCACGGGCCGGGGCAGACGCACCCCCCATCCCTCGGCGTTCTTGCACACTGACCTTATTGTTGCGAAGTCTTGCGCTTGCACATAGCCTTGCTTTTTGCTTCCCTCTTTTGGCCGGTGGCAGACTGTTCGCCGTGAATCATGTATATCTCTTTCCCCTCATCGTCGGTGGTTTGCCTGTGTTTGTTTTCGCGTGGGGTCTGGAGGTTTCTTCTCGTATGGCTTTGGCCATGCATCTGTTTTAATAACGAATTCTAATAATGCACCACCCCCTTGGCATGCTTTGTGATTGACTGGTCAAGATATCTTGTAGATGAATCGTATCGGCATGGGTAATAGGTATAACTGTTCGTACGATAGTTCATGATCGTCACAGTGCAAAAGAGTTGATATAGTACTGCGGGAACAGGTCAACAGGGGCTCTATTGAACGGGAGTAGATCGACTTACGGTCAGGCAAGAATCTTCGCGGTTGCGTCTCCCGGGTAGATAAACGTAGAGAACCAGCGCCATCTCATTAATAAAGCCTGCCGCGGTAGAATGTCAGTTTGATATCACACCACCAAGTGCACCAGGAAGAGACTCACAAGCCACCACCTTGGGACTGAGTCTTCCGACACTCAGCACACGTCCCCAGTCGCGGCCATCAATCCGGACAGTCGCCCACCCAGACTCGCCATCATCTTTAGCCGCGCGATTCCGCTCACTGGGCAGCTGCGAGTACTCCGTCTGCGACATCTGCGCAGGATCCAGCTCTGGGTTCACGAGCCCAGACCAGACACTCGAAAGACGCAGCTCATCTGTTACAATGGATAGCTTTAGTTTGCCGTGCATATTGGCAGACAGTTCCAGCTTGGGGGAGCTGTTTGTCGACAGCGCCGTGCCACCTGAGCCACCACTACCCCTATTCTCGCTGAACGATGCCGCGCTCATCCCCGGCGCGTCCGGTGCCAGCACGCTCGGGCGCGTATTCTTACTGTCTGAGGCAGCCAGCTTGGTAAACCGATCCGAGACACTCTTGAGTTGCTGCAGACTCGGCAGGATGATGTGCACGTCTGGATCGGGGCAGTGCGGTTCATGGAGACCGTCTACAACGGCCTCGTGGAGGATCTTGATCGGGACCTCCTGCGTGATCCAGACCTCGCGCTCTCGGGCGCCCATGTCTCCGACGACATCTCGATTTGTTGTCGTTGGGAGTTGCTGGGCTTCTTCTGGGGCGCCCTCCGTTGTGCTGAGCGTCATGTTCCCCGGCGTGAACTGGGTGGTCAGCACCGTGAGTGCCAGGAGCGGTGTTTTGCCCTTTTTGGTTAGTCGGAACTGCGCTGAGGTTGAGCCAACTGCGGACCGGAGGGCGCGGTGCAGCACGCTGACGTTGATTTCGATGTTGATGGCGCCCGAGTTGGACTCGAGCTCGTAGGTCGTTTCATCGAAGATGGTATCCTGGGTGGCTTGTATCAGTATAGACCCTAGAAATAATAGAAGGAGCACGTACGATCGGGATCTGGGCCCATACTTGGGTGCCTTGGTCCGGGATGATGGTGAAGCGGATCACATCGTATTCCAGGCGCATCCAGCATACCTTGCCCAAGGATGCGAGGGACGCGGTCAATTCTGAACAGAGAGTTAGTCAATTACCTGTTACTACGACAGGTACGCGTACTGGAGAAGGTCAGTGGGTTGACCAGTTGCGTTCGAAAGCGCATGATGAGTGGGTGAGGTGTGTTGGAGGGAAGAGAGAGAAATGATCCTTATCGGTGTTGATCTATCTTTATCACTACAACTACACCACCCACTAACGTCACTGCTAAGTAGTAACTAACTAACAGGCCTCAGTTGCTTCTTCTTCCCCACACCCATCCGGGATATTTTCCCCATTCACCGCCAATGCGGCGGCCAGTGCGGCGCCCACGCCCGAGCCATCTTCGGCGGCGTTGAGCGAGACCAGGTCCAGCTCATGCGGCGGCCAGTCCAAGATCTCGCGCAGGGCCTGCGCTGCGCGGCCCTTGAAGCCGCTGTACTTATTGAACACCGATCCATCGACCCCGACGTGGCACCGGCGCAAATTTTTCTTCTTGCAGATGGCCGCCACGCCGCAGGCATAGAGACGTGCCGCACGCGTCACGATCAGCCCGATAAGATACCGGCACGCCTTGAGCTCCTCGAGCGACGGGTCTAGACTAAGGTCTTCTTTGAACTCCGCCCTCATGTCGTCCAGGTACTCTGAAATGTCTAGCTCGGCGATGGACAAGAACGACGCCTCCAGGGTGTTTTCCGTACGCAGGCGCGTCGTGTCCTGGCCCTCGAAGAACTTTTCTTGTTCGTGCAGCGTGACCATCACCTGGCGCAGCATTTCCCCAATGTACAACCCGGCCACCATCTTTTCATAGATCTGCTTGCCGGGACGCATCGACTCTGCGTCGATTTGTTCGTCGAATGGCGTCCGCGGCAGAACCTGGCGCTCGTTGTCGAACGCCCCGTATTCCGTGTTGATGATCACCGTCGCGTCCGGGGGCAAGTCCAGCCCGCGCAATTTGGGGATCGCGCTGCATTCCTCCATATATGCCGCATTGCAGCCCGTGCTGAAGATGCTGCCGACTTTGACGTGCGTGTCCTTGTAGTGCGACGCGATGAGCGTACCCGTCGTGTCGTTGATCAGCGCTTCTACCCTCGCCGGAACTTGCTGGGCGAATGAGCCATGGTATTTCCATCTTGAACGAGCACCTTACCTTTCTCTGTAACGCTGCGTCGAGCTGGGGCACTATATCATGGCCATCCACGCCAGAGACATTGAAGTCCTTGGTCCAGCCCTTCAGAATCCCACTCCGGATAGACTTTTGATCCACCGGGAACGAGAACGTAAAGGCCAACGGCAACGGATCCTTGATATGATCTTTGCTATAGTGTTCTTTGATAAAAATATCCAAACGATCAGCCACAAAGTCCCAGAGCTGCTCAGCCGTGCCGGACTTGATCGCTGCCGGCAGCTTAAACTTGCGCTGTGTTTGTTCAAAGTCTCCCTTTCCTTCAGCCAGACACACATCGCACACGCGGAGGTTGGTGCCGCCCATGTCGATGGTGAGGATCCGCCCTCTCTCGTGGCCGGTTGGGTAGCCCATGATCCAGCTGATGATCATGGGCTATTCGGGAGTCAGTAACATTTCGGAGCTTCGTGCCTAGTGAGTCACTGACGATGCTGCCACCTTCCACTGTGAGGCCTTTTTCCAGTTCCCGGACGAGATGGTTGGTAATCTTCTTGAGTTGGTCGGATTCGATGGTGAACCAGCCCTCGAACTGCTTCATACGTTGCAGGATATTGTCGGGCATGCCTTCCAGCATCTCGGGCCGGTAGCGAAAGTGTTCCATCTTGGGCAATTTGGTGAATTGGATGCACCGCAAGAGTACACATCGCGGACATCTATATCCAGTGGCGTGCCACGCCATTATGCGGTCATGATGATTCCCCTGATGCCTCGGAGGCACTTAATTCAGGTATTCCATCATGCATTTATTCCTCTAGACCTATAGTTACCCTCGTCCGTGTTAGTCTTACCTAGAGTAGTTAGGGCTCCACTCCCCCTTTTGGCTCCACCACCAACCACGAACTCGATCAACACTGATTATTTTTCCAAACACACCCCAACTGACACTGGACAATTGATTCCTCGTGTATTGATTCGCGTGATTTTCCCATTGTTTCTGCTTTCCTCCTTGACCTATGTAACCACCGTCCTTCTGGCCCATCTATCCATCCACCGTGTCCAGTCTTCAACCGCGCGTTTCCCTCGCGTTCTTCCATACTCGTCCAGTTCAGTCCAGAACCCGATCCTCCCTCCTCACCCCAACCCGGAGATCCGTTGCAACACCAAACGCGTCTCAGCATGCGGGCTCGACAGTGCTCTCCCCGTCTACCGCTTGCAACCCAGTTTCGCCCCCCGTGCCTCTCCTGTCATCATCAGCCTCGCGGTCACTGACGGTCCGGAACCTGAGCTTAACCGGAAGCTCATGAATCGGCATGGCAGCCAGTCAAATTCCCTATCTTCCTCCAGCCATCCGCCTCTCGCCCGCCCATTCTCGAACAAACTCGCGTTCTACCTCCCCCGAGAGAAACCCGGCCGCGCTCTACCAGAAAATCGACCCCCTCTTGAGCAACCTCTCCCCCGAATCCACCCTTCACGCCCTCACCTCCACGGAAGCCGTGCCGACGAATGAGAAACGCGCCCATGATATCTTGTCACAAAGTATTTCCCAGGTGTCCCCCGCGGAACGGGCCCTGGGGATTCGCGCCGCGGTAGCCGCCCAGAACTTGGCTCTCTGGCTCGACGAGGTACAGTCGTGGGGATGGCCGAGTCCGAACGAGGCAAAGGCGGGAAAGGGCTTTGATCCTCCTATCGCTGAGCCTCCTCTAGATCCTGGGCATGGGGAGTCCTCTTCTTCATTCCATGTTAGCAGCACCGAGGTCGAATATTATGGGAGTTTGCCGGCGGAGGTGGTGGAGCAATATGAAACACGAATTGAAGAAATTCGCGATGGAATGGACGATCTCAACGTGGAGGAATTGAAGGAGCATGTGCTCAGTGCCCACATTCCAGCCCGGTCGAGACCCTCCTCCAACAACAGCAGCGTGTCTATACCTCCGCCGCTCAGCTATGTCCAGCTGAGTGATTTCACCGCCGTCATTACAACTACCATCCTGCGCGCCCTGCCGTTCTTGTCCAAGTTGAATAGCCTCCTATCAACATGGGATGTCCGCCTACTGGTCCTGCGCCAGATTCCTGGTCTTCTAAGGGAGCTGCACCTTACCCGGGCTGCTTTGGATTCCTCGCTAAAGGAATTACGGACCATTGATCTGTCTGATACCACCCAGGCTCCGTTTTCAAGCTCTGAACTGCACTCTCAACATGTCAAACTCGAGTCGGCCGTTGTCGCTGTCGGTAGACGCATGGATCGCGTTTTGGATGCGTTGGAAGGTCGTCAGGATTCATTGCCGGAGTGTTGGATCGATGATCTGGAAGGCGTCGAGTCTGATTTTGCTGCGTGGGTGGTGGAGGCGGAGAGATATAATATTCGCGCAGAATGGTTGCAGAAACAGCCTGCGGTGGATGAAATGCCTGGGCCATCTGAGCCTGAGCCTGAAGAACAGGAAAATAGTGTTCATGAGATGGAGGCTATTGAGGAGGAGCCTGCTGAGGAGGAGACCATTGAGAGCGCGTCTACTGAAAATGATTCCATTGAGCAAGAGCCCCAACGGGTTTCTGAAATATCTCTCGAGCACACTGCCCAGCAACCGGTTGAGCAACCAGCTGCTCAGACAGAGCAGGAATCAATTGTTTCCCATTCTGATGCTCCGGATATTCCGATACTTGAGTATCAATCGCCATCCGATAGCCCACCAGATGTGGGGATACCTGGCATCGTCGTCAACAAGGAAGACACTCCTGAGGAACAACCTTCTACTGCAGTTGCAGAGGACCAGCGTACTCCAACACAAATGGAATTTCTCCCAGAACGATCTGCGAATGCCGGAGAACAACAAACCCCAACTCCGTCAACAACCCAGCGATCTATTCCCGTCCAGGAAAACAAGGAAAATATTCCTCCGCTCAATTTCAAACAACAAAAACCAGGGACACCATCCTTCGATCAGTCATCTCCAGTGAAACCGGTTGCTCTATCTGAGCACAAAGAATTGGCTGAGGACCGCTTCACTCAGTCACAGGCCTCTGGACGTGAGGTGCCATCCGTTGATAAACCTGATGACGTTCATACGGACTTGGTATCCAGCAATGAGGCGAAAGGTGCAATCGACATTGATGCTCACCAAGAGACGACCGCCGAGATGAACTCCCCCAGACTCCGCTTTCATTAAACCGTTCATTGCCTAAAGAAGCCGAGCCGGTCATGACTCCCAGATCTACGGAACTTTCTACTATTCGAGATTCCCAACTACAGCAATTGTCAGATACACCCAAGGTCCCTGGCACTTCGACTTTGGCAGACTTCCATGAGCCAGTGCCTTCCCCAACGAGAATTCCAATTCGGCAAACCGTACCAGTGAATCCGGATAGCTCTTCACCCAAATCTAAAAGCGTGAAACCTCGACCGTCAACAGAACAAAGCCCAGCAGCACGACCAAATACTCGCATGCCCCTACAAAGCCCCATCAAGCTATCCAAAGTGAGACGGCCAGGGAAGCTGGATCTTGATAAGAACACACCTAAACCGCATCGTCGTCGGACTTCGTCAGGCTCCGTGGATTCCCTGCTTTCCGATACCTCATCACTCATATCCAGTGTCGATCCTCCAGAGCCTCGTACTGGCTCGTCGAACGAAACGCCGCTTCTTCGGAAATCGACACATCCCAAGCATGACAACTCTGGTGGTATGCCGCCGTTCAGTGGTCATACATTGCGAGAAGACCGCCTCCGCCGTCTGGATAGTCCCAAAGGCTCATCTCTTCGGGCAGCATTTCAACAAAGCAGGACCGTCAGCTTGCCCATGGAGCGCTTTATCAACGAAAGGATGGATATAAGGATGGGAGAAATGCCGGACACGGAGCTGCCTGACGACAACTCTTCAGCGCCAACACCACAGGTGCCTCGTGGTGCTCCTCGTCATCCGACACTCACTCGAGGGAAGTCTGCGTCTGAATTGACTACACAACTTCAAAGGTCTAGATTCGCCGACCATTCTCGGAATTTATTCTCGAGAAATTTATTCCATCGTGCCCTCAACACCCAGAGCCATCACAAATCCCATCTGCCGCTACGCAAGCGATTGACAGCGCATCCAAGTCTGGAAAGCCTCGGGATAAAGCGACAAGAGCTTGCATTTGTAGAGGAAGATGCAGCGGAGTTGCCGTCCGTGGAAATCCGTGCTTCGACGCCAATCAGACAATTCAGGAAACCAAGAGATCAACTTGACCGGAAGGTCAGCTCCATCTTGAACACCCTTCCCGGCCGGATTCACCTCGTGGATCCTAACAACGAACCGGATACATCTTCATCTTCGTCTTCCTTGGACAGACGTTTGCGAGGGAGGCTCCGCTCCGAGTCACCTACCGGTTTGGCATCCCGAAGCATCACCCCCGCTCCGTCTCTGACTTTGATGCCCGCCGGTCGTCGACGACAATCTGCCCACAAGTCGGAAGATAGCTACGTCAAACTGTATCACCTCCATCACGGTGGTCAGACTGCACCAACCAAACTATTTGTGCGAACCGTCGGAGAGGACGGCCAGCGTGTAATGGTCCGGGTTGGCGGCGGATGGGCCGATCTGGGCGAATACCTTCGTGAATACATTATCCATCACGGCCGCCGGAAGGTATCAGAGACGACGCCTCGTGTTGAGGTCCAGGGCCTGGCATCTCGCGAATCGCCAGCCTATTCGCCGTCACCGGGCACTTTGCTCTCTCCCGCCGCACCCACTTCATCCTATCTCACTTCTGGCCGAGCAACTCCTTCCCGCCCACCCTCTGTGCTCAGCGCCCACCCGCCTTCTTCCCTTACAGTCCGCAAAACAAGACGCGGGTCCAATGCATCTGATGCCGTGGCCCCTAGGGCCGTCACCACAGGACATTTGAACACGCTCGCCACGCCACAAACTGCGTCCTCCGATCGACGGCGTCTTTCCGTCTCATCCAATTACTCCAATGACACATATTCCCCCGCAACCACCGTGGCTGCGTCGATATCTACTCCATTAGGACTGGCTGGACCCAAACCCCGCTCGCGTCAGCTGTCCATGAGCCCTGAAGGTGAAGCCTGGATCCAGGATGTGCTCCAGCAGACTCGGCGCTCAGGATCGTCCAATCCACCACCTTTCCCGCTGAACAGTGCCCCGGACTATTCTGAACCGCCCGAGTGTGTGGATGGCAGCCTACCCGATATCTCTGTGCCTAAGAAGGGTCGCCGCAGCGTCAGTGATATTGGAACCACGGGATCTAGCAGACGGGTCGCCCTTCGAGGACTCGGGAGTCGCAGGTCATAAAACTAGAGTACCACATACCCGCAAGACATCACTGTCATCGCTCTCCGTCGAAAGTATTTGGAGCTTTGCTCCTCTTCCTTGACCGGGATTTGTTTACCCCTAATATCCTTACCTCATTTGCATACTTGATCGATTCCCCATCTCAACGAACCTTGCACACTATACCCATCATCATCTGCGTTGCTTCTTGTTATTCGTTTGGATTCCTTGTTTCTGTTCTCCTCCTCCCTTGCTCTTCATTCTATTCTGTTTACTCCTCACTTGCATCAGCGCGGCGATTTTGTTTTGATATTTGGGATTTGATTGAGATCTTCACTAGGTAGATTCTCCCGGCGCTTTGTGCATGCATACATTAACTAATGGCTAGACCCTTTTGAGGGATCTATTTGAACATAGACGGCATATACTTGCATCGTCAATATTATTCGTGATAAGCTGTGTATTGAGTTTCGTTTTGAGAGTATGTGTCATAGGAAAAAGCTGCGATCAACACAAACGAAACCAAGATAGCCAAAACACCATAATTATTTCCCTGCCTCGAATCCAGTCATGTCTCGTAAAAGGCTTCTGCGGAAAGAAGCAGAACAGATGGAGAATATAAAGCAATGAGTATCGTCCATGTCAATTTGCTTCGTTACCATCGTTATGACGATCTTTGCTCTGGCTGTTCCTGTCCTTGCGTAGTAGCTCCCGCAGCTCTGGTGAAATGACCTTTGGCTTGTCTGCCTCGATAGCTTTCTGCAAACCTGATTGCCCAGAAGCGCTCGGATTGACACTTGTGCTTGATCCCACTGCTAAGGGTCGCCGAGGCGATTTGCCTTTATCGGAATCAGAGACAGAGTCTCGACCATTGTTCCTGCTCCCCGGACGGCGCTGGTGAGCTGATGGAGCAGATGGGAAATTGTCCTTTTTGTCAATAGCTTGAACAGCGCGTTCAAAGCGGTGGAAGAGCGATTCAGCACGAGTAAGAATGGGGAGCAGCTCCATGGTGTTAGACAGCTCGTTAACTAGGGGATTTTATTAGCAAGGTTCTATTTAGGACAATAGTCAGAACACGTACTGTATTTGAGGACTTCATCAAAATGCTTCAAATGGTCCATGATGACATCACGGTGTTTTTCGAGAATGGCGAGGGCGATGAAGAGATGGAAGTTGCTGGACAAATAGTCTGTCCAAAGCGTTTCCCAAAGGCGGAGGATGTCACCCCATCCGAACTCGCGCTTGTACCAGACGAGCAGCATGCGGAAAAAGAAAAAGAAGTTGGTGCTATCGGCTGACTGCAGATGCAAGTAGAGCTGAGGATCCAAGAGTTGGACAAGGTGATCCAGCGCTAGAAGCTGAGAACGCATCCCAGACTGGTCTCGGAGGAAGTTTTGTTCCTAAGTATGGTATCCCTTAATTAGCCAGAGAAACATAGCTGGATCTTTTCGTGACGACTAACCATGCGGTTCATGAACCCCACAAATCCCCAGAAAGCCACCGCGTCGTCTTGCATGACGGCGTAGATCGGGGCAAGCAGATCGCTCATTCCTTGCACATAACCCAGGTCAGGGTTGTACTCGTTGTATGTTAAAAGCATGTCTTTCATCTGCTCCAGATGGACGTTGGTGCCCACATCCGCAAATGGAGAATCTGGGTCTGGATGAGGGGTGTCTTCTCCAGCAAATAGTGGAATGGTGCGGTCTGTTCGATGGACATCCTTTTCTGTATCTAAGTCAGCATCCGTCCTAGAATTGAAGGGATTGAAGGCGATCCTTTTACCTATTCGATTCCGCTGCTCTTTCCAATGGTCATACTCTTCCGTGGTCGAGTTACCTTCGACCATCCGTTCCCACCAGCCGGCCTTCAACCGGATGTATTCGTCGCGTTTTGAGTTCATGATTGCTTGTCGTTCTTCATGGCTGCTGTCCCACGGGTAGACCCCGAGAAGGAAGAGCCAGGCCTCCTTCCGAGAGCCATCGTTGGGATCCAGACTTCCATGAAAAATGCGTTCTTTGACCTCTTCTACCGTGACTTGCAGTCTTCCCGATATTGGGTCAAAGAAGCCCTCCCACTCTGCGAGTGTGAGGACCCGGCGTCGTTCCTGGAGGGCCAGGTTACCGGTCTCCAGTTCCAAGATTTCGAAATCTCCAACAGAGCTGTTCTCCATTTCCAGGACATCCTGAGCTGTCCATATGCGTTGGTTTCGTTCTTTCTCGCTCTGCTCGGCAACACTCATAGCCCACCGAGCCAGGTAGAGCCTGGCGCTGTCGAACTCATCCTGGAGAGTCTGAATCTCTGGATTCTTCATCAAGCGGCGCATTTGCGGGGGCAATCGGGGATGATCTGCAATCTCGTTGGCAGTTCGGCGGGTAAACGTGGTGATTTTGCTGAGCTGCTCGAGCACTTTCCACCGGGTTTCTTTGATGGTTTTCATGAATGGGTCCATGCCGGCGTCGTGCTGTCCGCTAGGGCCAGCAGCAGCCTGTGATTGCGCTGCAGTGAGCAGCGACCCATCCCCTTTCGCCGCCGGCCGTCCAAACGACAGCTGGTCTTCCTCGGATGGATTGATCAGATAAACATTTCGATCCACTGCCGAACGCTGCACTTGGACGTATCTCCGCAACCATCGTAGCACCTCATCTCCTCCCCAGAAAAGACCTCCTTCGCTATCGAACGGATCAAAGCTTTCTCGGACCCGTTTTTTCTTCTGAAGGATCGTCGACTCGCATTCGCTGTCGTGGAAAAACAAGGCAGGAAAGCTGTCGCCGGCCCGAGTGTTGATCACCAAGCTACCAAACCACCAACCCAAGCTGGGTGGCCGTACCAAGAGGGAGTAGATGTCTGACAAGGGGACCGCAAGGGAATAGAGGCCGATGGGATCGTTATGAGACGTGGTAGTCGGAAGTGGCGGAACGAGATACTTCTGTCGCGGCGGCGAACCGCCCTCGGCCTGATCAACCTTAACATATGTGCTGTAAGCATCTCCTAACGAAGATTCCGGCACCCATGCAAGAAGGTACGAGGCAGTGCTGGACTGAGCGGACGGGGGAGGCTTCTGCTGGATGAGGGCGATGAAGCCAGGAATGTTGTCCTTGGCGGAAGGAGTGGGATGCACGTAGACCTGGAAGCATTGTCAGCGCAGGGAACACAGATGTCATAGATGGAAGTCGCACTTTGCTCTTAGAGAACAGCAGCTTGACCCCGCGGCCCGAGGCGGCGTGAGCGATCGTGTTGTACTCTCCCTCGTCATCGTCGCTTACATCGTAGAAGGATGCTGAGGGCGACGGGGGAGATGGGGGAGGAGTGTATTTGACGGGTTCCGCCATGGTTTTTAGGCAGGGAGCATGTCAAAGTGAGAAAAAAGAGAGCGAGAAGAGAGAGAGAGAGAGAGAGTGAGTTGAGAGAGAGACAGCGACGTAATGCCGATAAGATAAGGCGATCGCCTGACTTTTCCCCAGGCTCTTCTCTCCTGGTCATCCTTGCTAGAGTAGAGATGATTGCTACTTGTCTTATTATAATTATCACTGTTATTATCATGTTGTATTTCCTCTATATACACAGATGTTTCTCTTTGATTCTTTCGTTTCCCAGATGGAGACCTCTGTTTGCTCAAGGCTGCCGGTTTCTACCTCGTCTAGGCAGCAACTAACCCTAACCCCCTTCATTACCCTATCATCATGTGGTATGGATAAGCAGAATATACCTGTCTGGGGCTCATGTCAGTGACAGTGAGAGAAGATTTAACTATGACTTATAGATCTATGATTCTGAGTTTGGAATATTCACCGGAAGGAAAGCCTAGAAAATAAAATCAGATCTTATATTCAACTACAACACTGTACTAGGCTCCAAAAATAGGCAATGGACAGCTCAGAGTTGTGCTCAATGCTAATCAGTCAGGCGATGGCCTGGATTCGCTGAGAATCGTTCTCATGGCCGCAGAGACCCAAGTCTTCCAAAATGAACGCGTTGAGTATTTACAAGAGCCTGATACGTTCAACAAACTCCAAGGCTTGACACAATAACGATCAACCTTATCGACCAGACTGAAGATCTGCCTTTATCAACCTAGTGCCTACGCAGAAGAGAAGTATTGTCAGCACGGCAGATCGGCATGGGCACCCTGTTCTTCGCTACTTACGAGGCGCTCTTTACAACACTCCGGATATGCTTGTCGGCAACACAAATCGACACAGACGCCTATATACCCAACTTCCAAACATAGTGGAACAGTCCGAACTGCTCTTGATGCTACTGCACGACTAGACCGCACACAACCACCGTACACATTTGAACTCAGCATCGGTCTTCCGCTTTGGTTCACCTGTCTCAGATGCCACGAACCAAGAATCCGGCGCACGGCATTCGCCTTAATACGCCGCTCGCTTCGGGAGCTAGGGCTCTACCAGACCCACTCCGCGGCCACTTTCGGCGAGCAGGTCATGGTGTTAGAAGAAAGATACGGGATGGCAATGGACGCAGCTCAAGCGAGAGCCAGTCCTGCAGTACGAGAATCAACCAACCCGCCTAGTGAACCTCAATCGGACAGGCAAGGCATGCTTAGTGCATATGTTTCATGCTTGGGGCTTCAAAAATTCAATATCGACAGCAATGTTCATACCGGGAGAGGCACGCATGAAACCCATCAAGATCAGAAAGCGGCGAGAGGCGAGCACTTAAACGGACAAGGGAAAATCCAAGTCGTGCCATAATAATCTGCCTCCTGGAGCATGGACGGCTTGGGTAACATGAAAAGCCACAGGCTTCCTTTTCTGGCTTTCCTATGTCCTTAAAATGGATGTAAACAAAAGGGCTGAGTTTGTGGTCCGCCAGGACATTCTGATTCAGAGTTACCTAAACTCAAAGGCACCGAAACGTAGTCATTTCCTGCCCATCGGGCCGCGCTTTTCGCACTCTCCACCGCTGCACATCCCACATGCCCTCATCGGGAATTATAAGGCAGAATATATCGCCTATACGTATGTCCAGGAGGCCCGACGGTGCTCATGAGTCAGCTT